CTCTGAGGTGGTACAGTTACAAAAATCACGTTAGTCAATAGTGAAAATATGGTATGGTTTGTATGAAATTACGTAGGGATTCACTGGGAAAATTAAAGAAGTTATGGAAAATTTTAACAGAAGAAACTTTCAACCATATGGGATGCACCTATATATAATACATCAACAAGTGGAATCAAAAGTTTTGTTAATTTTCCAGTTTTTGCTTGGTCCTGATTCGCGAGAGTTCTATAGGTGAGAAAGTTGTCGAAGTGCTTGAAAAGATGGTGATCGACTGGCGAGAGGTCTGGGGAGTATTGTGGGCAAGGCAGAACTGGTTATTTGTGGAACGAGCGGATGGTCGATGTCGTGGAGCAGGATCGGACTTCTTCTGTTACCAGTAACGGCCGCTACACAATTCTTGAAACATTTCGTCGATTGTCTCACAATAGAACTCTGCTGTGGTCTGACCCCTCTGGACCTGTACGTTAAGGAGGTTGCGTTAATGGCCATGCTACGATTGCGCACGGCTGGTGTAAACCTCGAAGTAGGAATGGGTCAATTGAGGCTGAGCCTATGGCGAGAAACGCTTACTGCACAACCTCTGCTGCAGGCAACTAGTGATGCAATTGAGCACAGGTTTGTGTTTAATAAACCCTACAAAAAACAAATAAAACAGAACACAGAGTTTTTTTTTGTCAACTAAGGAAACACCTCCATGATATGTGGTTAGTGGATACACCTCTATGGAGGATGTGTGAACAGGAAGATGAAACATAGGCATGTTCTATGCGAATGTTCGGAATTATCGTCAATAAGAGAGTGTGTGTTCGGCGAGTCTTGGCCTACACCTGCCGAAAGAAAGGAGATGTCTCCCAGAGACCTTTCCACCTTCTTGGACAGGACAGGATGGACGATATGAGAGGACAACTCCTTGGGAGGATGTATACTGGGTCACATGTGGCCTAAGTGGTGTGGGCCTACACTCACCCTGCCTTCTCTACAGATACAGATATAGGACTCTGCTGTGTGATTTGCCCCGGTTGCACACATTCATAGTAAATCACACCAGCCGCTCCCCACCATACAGTAACCCTGGTCTTTTTTGGTGTGTTTTCGCATTTGGAAAGTGCTTGGGTGGCTCACCGGTCCAACCACTGTCCTGAACGTCTCTTATTGTAGAGGATCCACTTTTCATCACACGTGATCTATCGATCGAATAAGTTTATTTTCTATCAATGTTGTTAGGTTAGTATTACATAAGTTCTCTGAGGAGCCTTGCTATAGGCTAGTGCCTCTTCAGGGGCTGTGTTGATTTACAAAAAAAAGTTATTTTCATGGATAGCTCAATTTAGGTTAGTGGTTTGTGTTTTCTTGCTGCTGGGTATTTATGTTTGGTTGTGCTGGGTACAATGCTTTTATTCTATGGTGGTTGAGTTAGTGAGGCTTCGTTTATTCCGTGGGCAGTGGTGTTCTTGTATGTGGGTGGAGTTGTCCTTAGTGGAGTTGTTGCGAGTGGCCTTGGTACAGTTGCAGGTGGTTAGTCGGTTGGTTCAGGTTGGGGTGGCTCTTGGGGGATAGGTAGAACTATTCTTTTCTAGTTTTCTCTGGCAGTGGGTTGTCCTTTACCTGATCACCAGCGGAAACTTGTTGAGGATATCCTGGACCGCTTAGAGATATCCTCTAGGGCTCCTAGGAGCCTGGCTGGGGGAAATGAGAGCTTTCTCCTTAAGACTCTTCTTGGACCCCTGCATCTTCTTGGGCGTCCAGGGGGTGGCCAGCGTCTCGATTGCGGTGGTGATGCTGCTTCTGATTGTTCTGGTGATGTATCTGCCTTGGAGTTTCTGGAATCTCAAATTTATCGGGGTTAGTTTTATAGTTCGTTGGAGGGGAATCGGTAAGGAAGATTGTGTACGTTTCGTACTATTCTCTTCTCTGTGGTTAGTAACCGGTGTGTCAGTCTAGGGGGGATTGCGCAGTAGATATGGCTTCATGGTCCATTCTCGATCTTATGAACGTCTTCTAGGTGTGTAGTAGGGTTTTGCTATTGCATCTTTTGAGCTTGTCCCTCGAGGCTTCCAGGAGGCTTGCTCTTTTCTTGACTCTATCCAGGGTGTCTCTCAGGTCTGTTTCCCAGATAACAGTTCTTGTGAGAATAACCCCCAGGTAGGTCACCCAGTCTTGGAGCGGGAGGCGTTTTCCTAGAAACCCAGACCATCCTAAAGATGATGCTCTGGGTTTCGTCGGGTTGATTTTGATGCGCTACTTACTGCACCAGAGTACGAAGTGGTTTATCATGTCTGGTGTCATGTCATGTCTTCGTACTAATACGTGACGATCCGATCTAAAAAATATCGTTTTGGTTGCGCAAAAGCAAAGAAGAGAAGACATCGAAATGCGATACTTTCTGTCGATCAACCATCAAAAACCGCATGTGAGCTGCTTCGGAGCTCGTCTTCAAAGCTGAAATCTCCGGAACGAGGCAAACAATTAAAATTTGGAAAGAATTAATAACATGAAGATGTGCAGTACACAATTCTCTATCGATCAGTATAAACCACAACATAGTGAAATAAATATTTATTCGGATATGGAGTTACAAAAACACATGACACTAAAACGGACAGAACTTTTAAAACAACCTAGATTACTAGCAAGAGGGTCAATAAAATGTAGGGCGAAGCGAATTGGGTTAATGTATTACCTATTCAAAACTTGTGTGCCTATATGTATTGTTCGCCCCACACAATTTATAAAAATATTGACTTGAAACAGTCGCGTCAGTCCAAAATGGAGACAATCATTTTTCAGAACCTTCAGTTCGAAATTGATCATCAACTGCACCATCATTATATTCGATTGTATTAATTAGTACCTATACTTCGAAAACGACTTTTTTAAAACGAGTAACAAGCTGAATCAATTGGGTTCAACTTGTGATCAAAGTTTCTCTGATATCTACAGTATGTTTACGTGTCGGTACATCCTTTCACCTAGAGTTTCACTGTATCTTTTTCTATTTTGCCGCATGCATTTTGTTTTGAATCCCCGGCAAAGACTTTTCTATTCAGAAGTAAATCTGATAAAGACCCATATATCATTTCCATATCCTTTCGTATAGTCTGAATCTAGAATTCTTATCATACATGTGAAAATATATCATTAATACACTCTTTGATTTATTGCAATCATAACGAGAAGGGGTATAAATGTATCTAAAACAAAGTATATTCTCTGATATAAGGCTATCAAATCCAAAGAAGTATATTCGATTTTGTTCAGGGATGATTTGAATAACGCATCAAATTATGCGAAAGTTTGGGATGACTTTTCATTTCTTTCTGGAGTATATTTCTGCGCGTGTAAAACAGCACACAAGTTTTCGAAAGTTGTCAACAATTATGTTGATAAATAATCCCATTATCAGTATTTATTCAGCCACCGAACTGAGTCATGGTCGGTGGGAGAAATCGTATATGCATACAGTTTGGGTTGGTGTGTGACAAAGAAAGTATTAAGCTCAGTCACTAACTGAATACGGTCCTGTTTACAGCTCGAGTAATCTAACAGACTGATAACAGATTTCTACATATCTACTGCACATCTTGCCATGACTCAGTCTGGTAGCCATAGTCTGTAGGTTTTTATACTTGAAGTTTCGTCTGCTACTGCGCAGACATTATCATTGTATTCTTGGAATCCGAAATTCCAGTCCAGAGGAACATCGATGGAAACCCATCTGAAAAAACCTTTTAATTTCCACCAAAATAACTTTCATTAGTAGTAGAACGGAAAAACATTGCACCTGAACATTTCACTCAGAACTTTCTCGTAAATAGGCGTTTGCGTGTATCTAGCGATAGGAGACATTGTGAATCCTTTCACCAAATTATTATTAATTATCCGAATGAAATTTCAAGTTCAAAGTCCCCGTTTATGTATGTTGTTCGTAGAAATAAGTCGTTTTGACTCATCACGTCTATTAGAAAGTTCAGAGAATGAATTTGCACACATCTGATATTTTAAGTAGGTTCGAAAATAATTATTCGAAGATGTGAATGTAGGTGAGAGATTGCCTGATGTCAAATAGGTACTCATTTTTTATTGTATTGCATGTAATTATGCTGATCTCTGCAGAATTTTAACTATGAATCACTAATGTTATATGCAAACGACCTCATGGGTCAGTGTACTAAATTTTCTAAACAGTTACAATTTCTCCAACGTATGGTTGTTCTTTAACATTTCTTACATACACTGTCTGTTCAAAAAACGGGGAGAATTTTCATTTTTCTCAAAACATATATTTTCATTCATCAATTTCTAATTTGTCCCCTTCAAAGTCCTCCTCTGATATAATACACTTGGGCTAGCGTTTCTTCTAATCTTCGAAGTAGATTTGATATGCACTTTTAGTATGTTCTTGAACACTCGGTTTTTATGTCCTCATTCGTCGTGAAACGCCATCTTTTCATGAGTCTCTTGAATCTTGAAAACAGGAAAAAGTCGCAGGGAGCTAAATCTGGTGAATACGGTGGCTAAGTCATGATTACGGTGTTGTTTTTACACATGAATTGTTTTTCCACAATACCGGACGTTTTCTTTGTATTGCTTCTCACAAGCGGCATATAACTTTAGAATGATACTTCCTATTGACCGTGACAAGAACTCCTGATAGACTACGCCATGGTAATCGAAGAAAAAAGTTAGCATAACGTCGACATTTGATCGAACTTGGCGTGTTTTTTTTGGTTTTGGCTCTTCTGGGCTTTTCCATTGAAACGATTGGACTTTGGTTTTGATTTTATAACTTTTTGGGCAAATCTGGATTGCTGTTGACGTTCTAAACAGTGCATCACAAATTATATTCTTATTTTTGAAACTGATGTAATTCAATTCGAAAAAAAAAATAGACTCTGGGATGCTTCGCTTTTGAATTGACACAGTATAAATCTCAAGTCACGAAGCAAATGTATCATTTTCTCTGAGAATCACTTCCTAATCTCGATTTTTCATTTCAGAAAAAATGTTTGTATAGAACGGGAAGAAAGTACAGACGACGATGATGGAGACGATGATGATGAAGAAGACACCGATGAAGGAAAGAAAAACGAAACCAGCGCAGCTCCCAAATCTTTGCCGGACTTATTTTCAACATCAATCAGCTTGTCCAACTGTTTTGAAACTGCTACCAAATATGAATGCGTCACGAAGTGAGTTTTTTTTTGTTATATTTGTAGTAAATTGATACTCAAGTTTATCGAGATTTGAAGTATCTGGTGCGATTTTTATCAAAAATTAGTTTGCGTGCATTGTGATTTACTACTTAGCTAACTGATACAAGAAAGTTAATCAGTATTTTTGCTTTTTCTGTTGAAAGTAGAAGTAATGAATACCATACAATGTATTCATCTTTCATTTAGTATTTCACAGGATTTTGAACATGACTATATTGTCTCATTACTTTGATCACGATGGTTTATTCAATTGCGGAACGATTATAGATAAATTCATTATGAAAACGGTAAGTGCGCTAGTATTACAGCACCTATGTTTAACTATGTTATTGGTTTTTCTCTATCTACCACAAAATCTCAGGGGAAGTCTTGCATCTTTTGAAAGATACTGTCGAACCCAAACTACATTTTTGTACATAGTAGTCGTTACAATGAGAATAAGTTGACATTTCAGTTAACAGTTTTACAAAAACGCAACACATGTTTCGCTATACAATAGATTCTTCAGGCGTGTTTGTACCAGCTCAGATTCAATTTACTGAATGGAGCTTTAACTAGAGTGAAAGCATTTCTCAAGCTCATATTGATTTTCAGATTCAACGACAATTCATAAAATCAAGTATGTACTTAGAAAATATGCGAGATATGTTTTTTAATTGATTATCGACATTTCAACTCAATGAATAGACTTGAAAAAACGTTTTGGCTTTCTACTTCTTCCTCTTCCTCAAAAACTAATATCTCCTAAAAATATATCTATCACTTTCCATTCAATTAGTAGACGCTCATTAATTTTTTGAGTTCTGGAAGGTTTCATGTTTCATTTAATATTATTATTGTTTCACCCAGAAGTAATGCAAGGAATTGGTAGTTCGCTCGACTCACGATCGGAAGGTCGTGGGTTCGATTCCCGCCTGGACCAGATATTTTTCTCGAGAGAATTTATCTGGTTGAAGCTGGGATGATTCTGCAACCGTGTTAGAAATCACATGTTAAAAAGTAAGACCTCGTTAGTCCTTAGCTCGCACAAGTTTCTCAACTTCTGAGAGTTGTCGTTCGTATGGGGGTGACAGCTGATTAACGAAAAAAAACAGATTTTGAACAGATTTTTCTTTTCAATTACGAATTAAAATCAATTTGATGAGATATTCAATTATATTAAGTATACAATGGAAACGTTTGAAAAATATTCAAACTCTGAGGTGAAATTGAAAAATAGAACACCAGGACAGTGTTACTGTGAAAGTATGAATTCAGATATCTACATCTCCTGAAATTACATTTTATTCGAATATCTAGGTAGATGTTGAATACTTCCATATACCACAAGAGATAGGTAATCATCGCTATGTGCTGCGAAGATTCTAATCGATAAAAGTTCACAATATACTTATTAGCAATGAGTTATATTACGTTACTACAACAAGCAAGGAATACCTAATCAACTTGGTTATATCATCAAACAGGATCTCAGTATTCCTTTCTATGCATTAATAAAATGTAGAAATTATGTACATACTGAAATCATCTTTAAAGATATCTTAACAAACATCCTTGCTCACGTTCAAATCATTTTCTTCAGAAATAATTCACTGGAACGTACAGAGGTTAACAAAAATAAATTTATTCAATTTACAAACCTACTCTAGTCTCAGGTTTTTAGTAGATCTGACAAGAACGTGCGAACACACAGTATATTTGAACTGAGCTAGGAATCAATTTCAAATTCTTCTGATATCTAAAAAACTATTAGTGCAGACCAATCAGGAGTGGACATTTGCATGGATAACCCAGACATCGCCCCCACCAGCATCCCTACTATCATCCTCACCACCCACCCTACTATCACCCCCACCACCATCCCGATTATTACCCCCAGCACCTTCTGAAATTATAAATACGTGTGGACAAGTAGCTCGCCGGTCAGTCGTTGCTGAGACTTCGAGATATAACCTTCGTCCTTGCAGTTAACACACTTACCACTGATGATGTCTGACGCAGTTGCAGACGAGACGTTTGGTACTTTGGTTTCCTCTCGACCACGACCTACTAGCCCGGATTTTGTTCTTTTGAATCGTGACTCCGGTCGTGGAAGTCTCTGTTACTATAAAAACTGTTTTTATTTCATGGACTAATGGATGTTTTTGAGTGTGACAAACTATATATCATCTTTTTAACTTTCTGTATGGTATCATCTCTTCAATAGCTATTTAACGTGACTCAAATTTCAGAAAAAATGATCTTGAAGTTTTGAAAAAGAGCTATCTATAGTATTACTCTAAGGAGCTAAGTACTGGCAGCAAAAAATTGATTATTCAGTTATTATGGAGGTTACAATGATGGTTCATTGAAATATCTAAACTATTCATTTCAAAAACATAGGATAATGTGTTACTGAATAAGTGTGATGATAGTAAACGTAAAATTTCATCTACGTTACATTTCAGTAAAAGGTAAATACTTAAAGAAGTTGGAGTTGAAACGGTTTTTCCAATATGTTATTTATTCAGCTTTTGGCCTGGGCCGGATTTAGGGGAGCGCAGGCGGGGCTACTGCCCCGGGGCATCCACAGGAGGGGGGCCCACAATAAATATAAAAAATATCCAAATTTTGAAAAGTCAGCAATTTTTACGTTTTTCCGCCCAAACTTTTTTTTTTATTCACCAAGAATACTTGCACAAACATAATAATATAGTTATTGATATATCGGAAAACCCTGATTGCAAATTTCCATCAAAACTTCATTTGCTTTGAAAGACTTGACAGAAAAAAATAATTTTTTCATTTGGAAAATAAATAATGACTTATTGATTTGTTATTTTACATGGTTGCCGAAAAACCTGCCCGAAAACAAGTTTTTTTGACTCTCAGACTTGTCTACTCGTCCAAAAAACAGTATTTTCCATACTTGTTACGGAAATTACCATTACGTAGGCAAAAGGGGTATTTTATTTGTGTTGAAACGTTCGCATTGAAATTCAATTTCAACCCAAATATTTAAAACTGTAACTAGCCGCTTCACTAGTTCCGATGAGTCAATCCTCATAATTAATTCTAACCACGTATTTCAAGTATATTAGATTAGCATGAGGCCCCCACTAACGCCTACAACAAAGATATTTCGCGAAAGTAAATAAAACAAACATAAATGTAATGCGCACTGAATAATATTAGCACCGATTGTTCGCCTAGGTTAATTTACGAGTATTTATTTTTTAATTGAGTAAACAGAACAATGGGCCGCGTTAAAAAACAATTACGAGTATGTTTCGAAGAACCTTCACGGGTTGTAAAACACAAACCGTCGTTCTTACTTTGTAGGTGATTTATTGTCAATTAGTTGCAGAGGAAAGCAAGAATTAAATTCGCAATTAGTAACACGCCTAATTTTATAAATAAAAAGAACATTGTAGTAGATTTCAATTTCAAGTTACCTCCCCCAGAATGGGAAGCTGTAAATTAACTTTTCATCACCCGGTATGATACTTCACCACGAGATTCTCACAAATCAATTTGCAAAACCGTGATAGGTTAATGTAACACATGGGCTGAAAAGTCCCGGGCCTAAGAAAGAAAACGCGTTTGTTTTTCAAAGTTGGCTTTATTCATCAACTCGATGTTAATTGTGAGTTATTAACAAAAGAACAATATTTTTAGTAGAACTGTGGAACCCCGTTACTCGGAAACGAAGTAAGTTAGGACACACGTTCATATGAGTATTTTTTTTCATTCAATATGACAGGTAATCACCATGACAGCATTTGAGATACACCCTGTATACATTTGAAACGCTACCTTTACCATTCTTTGTTATATCATGAAATATGTTATAAAGGAAGATAACAAAACTGAATTGCAAATCGACCCTCAAAATATTCCAACAATGAGTAATTGCCATTGGTAGATATGGTAATTTTATGCAACGAATTTGCCTAAAATATTTTTGTCTCACGCTTGAAATTCTGAGGTGTTTAGATACATCATCGATGACAACTGAATCATAGCTACAAGGAATCTGGTATACTCACGGTGTTGTTAATGACTCTTTGGAGTCCTTAGCTGACCTTAAACTTTGTCTGATAGTTTTTGTTGGCCTGAATATTGGTTTAACGCCGCATTTCTCTAAGATTCCTCGAATCCGGTCTGTAACAGTTTTAATAAAGGAAAGGGAAGCTTTTCTCTTGACCATCCTAGCTGGGGTAAGTGTGGCGCTCTCTGGAAGGTTAATTGAAACTAAAATCATATTACACTTTGACAACTTGGGTACGAGGGGTGCAAATTTGAAACAGTTTCACGGTTTTTCGAGTGATAATAAAAAATAAATTTTTCATTCAATAAAAGCAACTGAAAAAACAAAACACCTAACCCAACCTAATCTTACCCAATCTTTTTTTTTGTGGAAGGAGAAAGACCTCCGCATCCCCACGGACCAGCTTCGCGGGCATGTGCTGTAGCTACTGAAACTCCTCCCTCTTCGCCACGATTCATGCATGCGAAATCATCTGCATCACATGCATCTGGCAATATTTTCCTTCCTAATTTCCAACTTCGTCCTCTGTTCACATCCCTAGTTGCTCCAGTTCATCTTAAATTTTTGTCTCCATGATTTTCCATGAAGGAATCATTTTTGTTTATTGCGTCACCTCCGTTATTTCTCGCTATTCCAATTGCCATTCCGTCAGAGTTACGCCTGTCTCCTTCTTTCTTGCGTTCTCCGTGTTGTCATTCCTCCTTTCACACAGCCGCCTTCGCTCTCTGATCAGAAGATAGATCGGTATCTGGCCCGCCATTTCTTGCAGCCCTCTGGTTGGTGGCGTTTTATATCCACATGTGATTCGCAACAGCATTTTTCATTGTGCACTGTCAAGCATTGCCTTGAACCGGTCTATCCGGATCACATTGTGCCATATTGGAGCTCCATACAGGATAATAGACTTTCCGGCGCCAGCAAATATCTCTCTTTTCCGGCTACCGAGACATCCTACGTTTTGGAGTATTCTCGTTAACATGGCTTTCCTGGTCTCTGCCTTTTCCATTGTGACTCTAACGTGGTTGGTTTATCGTTATTCCCAAATACCAAATACCCCTTCTTGATGCTTGTTCCATCGACTGGAAAGCTAATCCCGTCCCTTTTCCTGGGACCCTTTAGGATTGCATCCTTGATTTTCTCTGGGGTAAGAGTGAGATAGCGCTGCAGCATCCACCTTGTGACTGCATCCATCGCCCTTTCCATCAATTGCTTCCTTAGTCGGCTCTAATCAGTATGGCCAAATCGTCTGCGAAGCCTATTTCTTCACAGTCCTCTAACAGTCTCACCCCCAATAATGGTCCTCTAACAGCCTCACCCCCAATGATGGTAATTCTATTTGAATTGTTTTTAGTTTTGCAGCAGTATTCGATAAATCGAGAATAAGGCACTTTGGAAGGCAGTCTAAATATTTGCAACAGTCGTACTCAAGTGTTTAGGCTGTAAGGCCGGCCACTCACGTATAATTTAAACAGTCAGTTTCAACTGTACAGTTAAAACCGACAGTTTCAACTGTGAACTGAGATGTACACAGAAGTGCAGAAGTGCAGTTTTTCTATGATTTCAAACAGGGACGACGATATAGCTGCGCTCGGTTCACTTTTTGCAATGTTACTACAAAAAAGAAAGAAGAAAAAGCGTATCAGTGGTGCAAGATGTGGCTATAAAAACGGAATGCATCTTCCCACGTAAAATTATTAAATTAATTGAGGGAAGAACCATTATATTTTCTTAATTACACAACACAACAAAGTTTTTGTTTCGGGGTTGAAATTAGAGATGATTTTAATGTATTTCCACGTGTTAAAACCGAAAGTGACCATAAAAATTATATATTTGCTCTTGTTTTCAAGATATAGTATCATTATATTATATATATGTATATTGAGTTTTCAACAAATGAAATATTTCATCACCAACAGTTGGTACACATGTTTGTTTACATAACACCCCTCTCATCAGCTGTTCTTAAGTAGTAAACATAACCTATGTGAGTTTGTCAATTGTACGCACGTGGTTGCTATTGAAATTATCGTGTGAAGTTGATTTTTAAATTAATTTAAGTGCTGATCTGAAATGCCTCGAAAGTGTGTGAATTCTGTCGATAGCTTTTGCTATATATGTGGTGAAATAACATTTAAGGCTCAGAAACGTAAAATGACACCTATCGTTAAGACAGCCTATGAACATTATTTTGGTGTGAAAGTTGGGGACCAAGATAAATCATGGGCTCCTCATATATGTTGTAATTCTTGTTCCGTCATATTGCGAGAGTGGCTGAAAAATAAAAACCGGGCAATGGCTTTTGCAGTACCTATGGTTTGGCGTGAGCCTACCAATCATACAGACGACTGTTATTTCTGCTTAACTCCTCCCATTAAGCAAGGTTTATCTATGAAGAAAAGAGGAACGGTTAAATACCCTAATCTCCCATCTGCTCTTCGGCCTGTACCACACTCAGACAATTTGCCAGTCCCTTCTCCACCCCAAAACTATGAAATTTTAGAGGAAGGTGATGAAGACTGTTTAGAAGGAGCAACCCATTCTTCTACATCTTATGACCCTGATTTTGAGGTAAGCGATAGGTCTAGTGATCCGCACAGAATTAGTCAAGCAGAGTTGAGTGACCTTATAAGAGATCTTCGCTTGTCTAAGGAAAATGCTGAGCTGTTAGGGTCAAGACTACAACAGTGGAATCTTCTAAAACATGATGTGAAAATATCTCAGTACAGACAGCGTCAAAAAGATTTGCGAATGACGCAAACAGTGTACCGAAACAAACGGCACCTAGTCTTGGGTTCAGGGAAAGTTTGACCCGAGCTGTTGACACAAACTAAACTGAGAAGTATGGACAATGCCAGTTCAAACCGCCACAAACACTCAGTTCAGTTTGTCATTTCAGTAAAAATATGAATATTTGCATTTCTCTCAGTTAAACTGTACAGTTGAAAAATTGGAGTTGAACTGTGACCAAAATAGCCACACACGTACAGTTTTAACTGTCAGTTTTTACTGTACGTGAGTGGCCGGCCTAATAGAAATTTCATTTTGAATAATTTCCCAAATGATAAAAACAAAATCATTGAAACAAAACAGCATGCTATGATATTTACGAAGAAATGAATCTGAACTCATTGAGTCAACTTAAGGTTCCAGAGCCTTATCTTGATGGAATTTGGTATATGATCATGAAACTGCATGAAAAATAACTTAAAAATAATATATTTTGACAAATAATTAATGACAGTTCATACAATTCACCCTGCAAGGTTTACAAAATGACGACACATGTTTCGAGATACAATAATAGCTTTCTCAAGCAAGACTAACACGTGTCGCAGTTTATTTAATTAGGATTCTGGGACACCTAATCTGTGTAAGGCGATTATACAAATTATTATATGAGATGTAACAAAAATTTATGAAAAAAATGTGAACTCAATAGATATGGAACACGTTCACTTCAAACCTGAACCAGAATTCACTATATCAAAAAAAAATCTTGTGTACTATCCGACACAAGAATGAAGATATGGACTTCAAAATCTCCTCGATACCCGCTCATGAAAACAATCCTGTGGCCACTGTTCCGTTTCAAGATGAGAATCTTGACGGAGAGCAATTCGTTCAATAAAAAACGATCCGTGGCACTGACCTTCATCAGTCACTAATTATAGAACAGACGTATCTTGTTCTACTGCCTCTGTGGCAAAAATTCGCAGACTGTACCCATTTAGTTTCTATTTGAAGTGTATTTCCTTTGTTAGAACTGTTCTGACCCAAGACCGACTACTGAAGTTTCACATGATTGCTTTCATGATATGCCCCTTGATGACTCAGCGAGGAAAAGGCATATGCAATTTATTGCTCTTTCTTGCTGTACTGGTTGAGACACGTTCTTTCAGATAAACGAATAACGATGGATGACGAAAGTCACGAATTTCAGAGTAGCTATCCAAATGTATGATCACAGTATTTTTATCCTGAATTAAACGGAGGAGTTTATATGAAATACTGACTCATCGAATTCACCTGATCTTGGTGAATGCTTGATAATCATTTTGAAATTAACAGTTGACGAATCAGTTCCTTACCTGTGGTTCACAAAAGGTATAGTCGAAGTAAACGATATTGTGCACACTTAAAGTTTGCGGCCAAAAAAAGGCCAAAAAAGACCAATAGATAGAATTGAACCAGCTGCAAACTAATCCACGTGGACTGTAGAATTGACGGTTCATATTGGATACTTTTTACTAACCGAGTTTTATGATTGGCTGTAGAGTCATAAAAGTAAATTCGAAGTCATGTTACGGTGACGAATAGAAATCGGGGAATGAGAGGATGGTTATCGCCGTCGTGTCATCAATGTTCAGTTCAGAAACTGATCGCGATTTGATTGTTGTATTCGATATTGGTGCAGTTATGATGACTTTTTGTTATCTGTATGAAATGTGGCGTCCTTGGACAAGTAGTAATAGTAATAACGAGTGTGATAACAACGCTGACTTTTCCAGTGTAGTGAATCCAATAGCGATGGTGAACAATGCAAAGAGATACCAGTGAATAAGATTCGAATGCATTTAAATATTGAAACACAGAGAGTACGTTTCAATTTATATAAGAATCTACGTCTCAAGTTTGGTTTCGAGGAAAACAAACTATTGCAAGCAACATCTGATTTGACCGAAATTCCTTTCACAACTGTACGTAAAATAGTGAAAAACAAACCTTATGAACGCAAGACGCCATGTGATACAGGATTACCAAAACCTTCAGATGTTCATCTGATAAAATCATTGAAAAAAACAATATACGACTGTTGCAAAAGCATTGAGATTCCTACAACTGAAATCATAAGGAAGAAATTGAATACTTCCGGCCATAACATGAGCCGCTGTGACAAAACTCTTCAGAGTTGGATGAAGACGACAGGGTGGACAGGGTTCGAGAATGTGTACGCCTAACATGCCTGCAAACGATGAATCGGGACTAATCATTGTGCATTGCGGAGGAAGTAAATGACAACTTTTTTGACAGATGTAGCGTATAGGTATACAAAGCACAATTGGTATATTAATTAACTGATGATGGTTTTGATCGACAAGTTCAATTTTGTGAGACAATGATGGAACTCTGAAATGTAACTGGATGTTTCATTTTTTCTCATATAGCAACATTTTGTTCAGATGGTACTGTTAATGAACAAAACTGATGTTATTGTGTGAATGATAATCTACATTGGATGATGAAAGCGCATATATAACATCTAAAAAAGCTCAATGTGTAGTATAGTAGGTTCTCGAATCACTCTTCGATGGAACACTGGATGGTGACCAGTTCTAGTTCTTCAAAATGAATTATTTTTTACTTCAACGGTATTTTCCACTGTTGCAGAAGATCTTGATGCACTCAATTAAAAACGTTTTTGTAACAAAGCCCCTACATTATACATATCCAGTTCCAGAACTGTATTTTTTACTGAATCCTCAAAAAACCTCATCAGAAGTATTACAGGTATAAGTTACATACCTGTACTTCTTCAAGAAATCAGAAATAGCTTTGACAAAGTTATCTCCCGCTTCAACATTCTTCTTCTTTTCAGGATCAACAACCATGGAGTATTCAAAACCTTCACCGTTCGATACAAGTGCTGTTACGGATTCAAACGATCTCCGGGAGGCGAATGTTCTAAACAGTCAGAACTGAAACCGGTTTTGGAAACTCTCGACGATTTGAAAACCAACGAATTCAGAAATATGATCAAGACAGTTGGACTCGAAAGCAAATTTATCGATGGAAATTTCTCTCTTTTCGTTCCCAGCGATGACGCTATCAACGAATACAACGAAGACATTGCAGAAACCGTGAGTATTTCATATTATGGATTTTTCATATGGAAATCGGCTGCCAAAGATTGTGGCGTACCACAAGGTTCAATACTGGGACCGATACTTCTCTTGTTATACATTAACGATTCAACAGCTATTGATATGGAAGGGAAATGTACCCTATTCGCCGATGATACCACATGATACCACAATATCATGACGTAATAAACTACATGTAATCCCCACGAGATCGTAAGTTCAGATATAAACTGGTGCGACTCCAATCTGCTGTCATTTAATGTTTCCATAACAAACTTGATATCATTCCGCTGCTTTATTGACATCATACCGTTAAAAACAAAGGACGTAGATGAAATTGACAATAACCTTGAGTTCGCTGATCACATTGTAACCCTCAAGTTGCATTCACCTTATTTTTTGAACATTGCAATGCACTACAGCAAGACTTCGTATTTTGTACTAGGCTAAACGCCTAACTTCTTAAAAAAATGGTATTTGAATCTAACTGTGGATTGTGTGAATGGATTCAGATACATACTTTCTTGTTTTGAGCTCTTGAGAAGCGAAACGTTGATCAAAAGTTAGGTTAGGTTAGGTCCAAAGTGAGTGGGTCTATTCGACCCTCCACTGCAACCCGCAAAGGTTTATTGGTTCATCATTTTCCAAACAAAGGCGACACACACCGTCTTCCGACAGTCCGAGTCTCTTCGTATGATGATTTAAATGACAGTGACCTGTAAGAAGGTCTGTTAGACATCGTAGTTCATCCCTACTGTAGTCCAAAAACTGTTTGGTATCAAGGTTCGAAGGGTGAATAAACTCCTTGGAGTGAGCCAATCCTGGAAGATTCTGCCAGAAGTTCATAAATCTCATTGCCATCCAGGTGTTCAATGTTTGTTTGGTAGAGCCTAAAGCGAAGCGAATGGCCTGGTCTGGATTCCTGGCCAGACCAGAGACAATCTGTTTAGTCTTCCTATCGAGAAGAGTCTTTTTTGGCAGTTTGCTACCAATTTAGACGTTGCTCGGTAGGAGCCAAGAGCTTCCAACAGCGCTTGACTGTCTGAGAATATTTTTATTGACTTGTGTTTGAGGTTGGATTCTTCCAATATCTCCGCACACAATTCAATAGCGTAAATTTCCACTTGAAATGCAGTCGCATAGGTTTCTAGGCAGGTAGATGTTTCTGTCCTGGGTCCTCCTCCCGGAAGATCCAGTCCTCTCTACTCGGGAACAGTACTTCATAAGGCAGTTTGTAGTTGACAGTAGGATGCATAAAGTCAGAGGTCATTTCCAGAATGATGTGACTTCCAGTGTCAACTAACAGTCTGTTGCACTCTGCATTAAATTGATTTTTGCAATTGGCAATGTGCACAAGTCTGTATGCATTCCATCTAGTCTCTCTCTCCAGGAAAATTTTGGAAAGGAGGTAGATCTAGAAGGATATCCATGGCCGCTGACGGTGTGGTACTGATGGCACCATTGAAACCCTGAAGAGGCATAAGCCTATAGCAGGGCCCCACACAAAATACACTATAACAAATATTTTGTAATTTATCCATAAGCTTAAATGAACATTTTTTACTTGACTTGACATTGCACCATTGATGGCCAGACAAGCCTGTCTCTGTAAGCCAGAGAGCTTCGCCTGGGCAGTTTTCTGTAGAGCCTTCGGCCACCAAGCAATTGCACCATAAGTGATCATTGGTCTGACAATCATCACATAAATCCAATGGATTTGTTTGGGGCCTAAACCCCAAGTTTCACCACAAATCCATCGACATGTCCATAGGTCCATAGGGACACTCTGGCTTTGTGTAAAACTTTTTCAAAGTGAGCGTGCCAGGTGATTTTTTTTATCAAGAACAATGTCAAGATATTTCACCTCCGTTCCAAATGGAATGACCTCACCATTGAGGGAAAGTGGCGTTAGATCGTCTAATTTTCTCCTCCTGCTGGAGGGGATTATCACAGTTTTGCTGGGGTTGACAGACATCTGCTCCCTCAGGCATCAACTGTGAACAATGCTTTGGAGGATATTACAAGCTACCCTTTCCGACGCGGACCTTGCCAAGATGACAAGTTCATCTGCATAAGCTTGCAGACTTACTTTTCTTCTGTCGAGGGCATCAAGCAGCCTATCCATCAGGAGCGACCACAGAAGGGGAGATAGAACCCCACCTTGAAGGCAGCCTCTGGTGACCCTGAATCTAATGGCCTCGCATTGAAGAGTCGTAGTTGCAGTTTTGTTTACCAGCATGTCATAGATCCAGCCAGTTATGGTCGATTCTATACCTTTCCTAGACAGAGACGATCCTATTGATTTAGGTAGTGCATTGTCAAATGCTTCTTCAATATCGAGAAATACAGCAACCGCAATCTCCTTGTTGTCAAGGGATTGGGATATTTTCTCTAGAAGGTTGTTTAATGCTAAATCTGTCGATTTGTCGGTTTGATAAACATACTGGTGGTTATTCAGGGTAGATGCATATAATACTACCCTCCTGATGTGTCCATACAGTATCCTCTCAAGTCCTTTCAACAGGAAGGATGTAAGGCTGATTGGTCGTACCGGTTTAGGTCGTACCGTTGAGCAAAGACGTAGATTGTGTTTCTTTTTGTTCAATATCCTGCAATTAATAACTCTCCTGGACATGTCAGAGATGTCTTTTGATTATTTTCAATTTCGTTATTATCTGTGATAAAAATGCCGAATACTCCATCATACCTCGTATTATTTTCTCTTCTCCTGTTTCCAGAATAACGTGGACGCCTTCAGACGCCGTCGAGGTATGAGACAATCTCTTTCAACGAGAGAGCTTGTGCTGAGCCACGCTGTAGGAGGCTTCATTGACCTAACGGACTTCGGCAACGATAAAGTCATTAACAGGTAATAATTTTAACGGTTACTTTCCGCTGGAATCGCTTCTTGTACGATGCGAATACAAATAACAGTTGGATTTGATGCGAACCGTGTGCAGATTTTTTTTCAGAAAAATGGTGGTAGCAAAAAACTGAAATGATCGCTTGGATGAAGTTTCACTGAAGCGGAAAATTAATTTGTTATGATACGTTTCATCGGGTGAAGGTTAAATGATCGGAATCTTCGGGATATACCAATCTAAACTTCGTATTTGAACTAAACTAATCAGCTTCGAATTCTAGTGGGCTGAAAAGCTTTGAAATGGCATTTTCCTCTTTAATTTTTCCAAACAACTCTATAGAAAGAGCTGTTTTAAACTGTGTCAATAAGATAAATCTTCATTTTACGGAATATGCGGTTTTATTCTGTTTTACTTGTTCCAGCGAAAGATGAATATTTTGAAGCTGTTCTTAATTTTCTGTAATATAATTTTTCCATACTGGCAAAAGGATTAACCTGTAGTAAATACTTACATCAACATGTTACTAGATGTTACCGAAAATTTCAAATCATTCAAATCGTTATAAGTAATGCCATCAATTAACCCCGAAAAATTCTAGTAAATTCTAATCTTTGTCCACATCTCATTCTTAGACATAAACAAAAAATTGCATATGCTTCAAATGTTGCGAATTTCAACATTTCAATATTTCAATGAGACAATTCTTATTCAAGTGCCACCAAAACACATCAATAACACGTGTTTTGCCATACAATGGCTTCTTCAAATTGAACCAAAGCGCTGTCGAAACAAGCCGAAAAATCAAACCAGGAATTTCGTTCGGGAGATTTCAGCCTGACCTATTCAGGATAAGAATTTGATGACCCTGGTGGATACCAAACCACTACAATCGGTGCGTGGAATAACGGAAGAACTAGAGGTCAGCTTCCATGCGGTTTTTGACGGTTTGAGACGTATTGAAAATGTCAACGAGGTCAAAAAATATTTGCCCCACAATTTGAACGGTTGACAGTAATTGTCACGTTTTGTGGTTTGTTCTTTTTTGCTTTTGCGCAACCAAAACGATCCTTTTTTGGATCAGATCGTCACATGTGATGAAAAGTGTGTCCTCTACAACAATAGGAGACGTTCAGGACTGTGATTGGACACTCTTGAGCCACCTAGGCACATGTCAAAGGCAAAAACCTACCAAAAAAGAACATGGTGGTTAGCAACCGGACCAAACCACCACAGCAGAGTCCTATTGTGAAGAAATCGATGAAATATATCGAAAATTGCGTCAGCAGCAGCCAGCACTGGTCAACAGATCAGTTCCGATCCTGTTCCACGACGACGCCCATCCGTATGTTTCACAAATCATCGTCCGAAAATTGAACGAATTAAGAATCGAAGTTCTGCCTTGACACCATACTCCACAGATCACTCGCTAACTTAGACAACTTTCTCACCCGTAGAACCTTCGTCGATCAGGACCAGGCCAAAACGGCCTTCATCAATTTCATCGAAACCCATTCAAGCGATTTCCATGCTGACGGAGTCAATTGGCTCGTGTTACGATTTCAACTTTCTCACCCGTAGAACCTTCGTCGATCAGGACCAGGCCAAAACGGCCTTCATCGACTTCATCGAATCCCATTTAAGCGATTTCCATGCTGACGGAGTCAAATGACTCGCGTAACGATTTCAAAAGTGCACTGATCAAATGACGCTTGTAATAACGAACAAAATTTTTGAAATCACTTAATATATTTGATTATTTTTCAGCATTTCATCTTTACCTTTTCCACTTTATTTGTACAACTGTATCAGTTTCGAACTGTTCTTCTTCGTCAGTACGGTAGAATAATTTTATCGTCTCTTCTACATATTGCTCAGAGGCTCAGTGAAAGAAAAATTTTCATTCTACATGAGTTGAAAGAAAACCGAACTTTGGCTTTTCGAAAAAACAGTAATAAAACTCTTCTTTCCAGCGAATTTAACAACAACAGTATCAGAATAAATATCTACCCAACCCAGACCAACCAGAGACTGGTTACAGCAAACTGTGCAAGAGTAAAAACTGCTAATGTTTTGGCAACCAACGGAATAATCCACGTTACAGACGGTGTTGTCGTTCCGGCAATTGACGATATAGAAACCATTATCAATCAACATCCCCGACTCACAAATCTCAAGAAAGGTAAGTGAATTATAGGTAAGTGAACCAATAAGCGGGATGTTGAATTTTGACTTGACACCCGAAAGAGGGGTTGTTGACAGTCGTTAGTTTCAGTAAGTATTCATCAATAACAACAATAATGATGATAATAATAATAATAATAATAATATTCCACAAGAACGGTTAAAATTAATAATAATAATGTATAGTTTTCGACTCTGTAGTTCGACTCTGTAGTTTAGATGCGGAGGTTTATAGTGTTCTAACAGAAGAGGCTGACATCTGGCAAATCAACACCGCCGTGTATAGCGTCGTCCAATCGGTTTCCGAATCGGAAGGACGAAATCCCAGCCTTGCGGTTCGGAAGATTGAACAGCGTGTACACAAGATGGAGGCTAAGATCACGTCGGCGAGACGTAATTTGGACGAATGAAAGTTTTCACGATACGATTAACTTGGTGCAACGCAGTAAGAGTAATTACGTGTCGCGTCTACTGTAAGACGACGGGGAACCATGCGCGGAGGTAGAGAAGCGTTCTAAGCAATGAAGCGTCATCACCGAGAATGCGACCCGAACGCAGGCAGACGCGTGAGGGCAGACGTTGACAGTTGTGTTAGTTTTGGGAATTTTTTTATAGGTAACATAATTCGATTCTCGAAGCTATTCTTTACCTAGTGCAGTTGGCATATTCTTTCATTTACTGTATTGTTAAAGTTAAAATATGAATTACTAGCTGTTGCCGCTCTAATATTAACGTACAGCCGAAGCTATTGAACCTAGAATCTTGAAATACGCAGGTAGGTTCTTTGTATAACGTAAATAAGCATCAAGGAAATCAAGAATTTCCACCTCAAAGTGGAAAAGTAGTGATTCAAAGATTGTATTGAATTTCGTTAGTTTGAAGTTGGAAACCTGAAGTATTGGGTTGATAAAAAATATTGTTACTATTTGTTTAAAATGGCCTGTCATGAAACTTTATGTGACAAACCAAATTATACGCGGGCGAAGCCTTGGGCAAAAACTAGTAATACATAGTATTATAACTTGTAGTACAAACCATATTACATTTAAAAAAATCATTGATTTTTTTCCTTCGATAATGTCACTTATTAAACTTCTAGGTGTTTTTTGAAGAAAATTTGATGATGGTTATTTTATACGGAAGATAGTTGTATAGTTTTGGTGTAATATTAGCAACCGATCTTTGTCCAAATTTAGACATGACAGGTGTTCGTGATTTTTCGGTCAAAAACATTACTGTAATCATGCTTTAGCCACCGTATTCACCAGATTAGCCTCACAGTGACTTTTTCCTGTTCCCAAGATTGAATAGACCCATGAAAGGACGGCGTTTTGCGACGATTGCGGTGAAAAAAACGAATCGATAAAATAGAAATGGATAAATAAATAAATATGTTTTGTGAAAAATGAGAATTTACCTTATTTTTTTAACATACCTCGTGTATTCACATGAATTTGAAACCCTATATCAAGATATCTTTCTAATGAAATTTCAAATTTTTTATATTTTATTATAACATTTCAATAATATATCACGAAAATTATTTTTGTCGCAGCTTTGGAGAATTCTGACATACCTAGCCATATGAAACCGGAAGGACATTATACTGTTTTCGCACCAACAGATGAGGCATTCAACAAACTGGATGAAGTTCAAAAACAGAAAATTATCAATGGAAATGGTTGTGCTGGAAGTAAGTATCAATAAAGCTAAAAGCACGTACGAAAGGACGTTGGTATATCGAGAAAAATCAGCTATGGCTAATCTTGTGGTCAAAATTGAACTGGATTTGTTATTTTCTCAATGGTTCAAAAATCAGGAGTATGATGATTTATTTATTGATAATTTTATGATTAATTTTAACTCAGAACACTACTTCTCCAGTTGAACTGCTCAGTAACATCATTTTCTGTTTCCCTACAGTCTTCATTGAAAAGGGATAAACTGATTGTACCAGGAACAAAAAAAACATCATCGTTCATCTCTGATAAAGAATTAGTTGAGGTTTGATGCCACGGGGGTGGGGTTACTGAAAACAAGAGATAGATGACATCTATGAAAAAGTAACAGTCATTCTCAAATTGAATTCAAATGTTACATTCATAGTTGTTCCTAGTACCACTGATAAGATCGATAGCTTAGAGCACTGGTATCAACTAGTCAAGTTATTTAATTCAATTGTTATTTCTTTAGCGGATTGATGCTAATTCAATTTGAATGATTATTACATTTTTAGAAATGAGTAAATCCAAAATTTGTGTTGAAGTTGGCTGGTGCTGATTTCATAAGATTTGGTTATGAAAGTTAATTCCTACCAATTAAAAAATTCTTATAGTTTTATTCACATTGAATTATATATGTAACCTTCGATTATTATTTTATGATTATCTTTCAGGTATTTTGAAATACCATTTCACTGCGCATACAGTATGTTCATCGGCTATCATAGGAAATGCAACCACTCACAATGTTGAAGGCGATATTTTGAACCTCGAAAGAACAGTCGATGATGAAGTAATTTTTGATGGAAAAGCGAAAATTGTGGAAGCCGATATTATTGCAACCAACGGCATCATCCACTTGATTGACAACATCATCATTCCAGATTCAGGTAAGTACTTCATAAATTGAAGTGATTGAAAAGACTAACTAGTGTGTATTTCTCAATAATGAATCAACCTGATTCTCAAATATTGAAAATAAAACACTCGCCACTCAGTCTGTCTTTCTACGTGGAACATCCTTAAAAAATAGACATATGCCATCGCGGAATTTTTTTAGATCCTCAAAAGCGGAATTATTACACAAGACATTGTTCTGTTACATCTAATAGACCACGTTTTTGTTTTGAAGCTTCCAGCAAGATTGATTATTTTCGACAGACGTCTTATTTATTGATAGTTATACCCACTTTATAAGTCGACAAAAACAGGTGAACATGAAGCATCAGTGTTAGGCCCATTATTTATAAATAGTCTGCTATCTCTCAATTCAAGAAAACAGTTCTCAGTTTTGCTGATGACACAGCAATAATGTCTACTGCAGAAATGGATCCATCACAACAAACTTTCACAAAATTTTAATAAAACTCACTACTTATATGTCATTCATTGCTTTAAGAAAAATTTTCACCAACTATTACATATCAATGCTATGTCAATAGAGAAAAACGATAATAGCATTTTATTTAACGGGTAAGAAATGTGACCACTACTCGTGATAATGTAGTTTAACCAACGCGGGCCGTAGGCAAGTGTAGTGAATTATTTAAGTTAGTGATGACCATTCAAAAGTATACTAGACTTTTTCTATGATTTTTAATGGGAATATTGCAAAATACGGATTTTCCGAAATAGGGTAATCCAAGTAAAATAAAAAAAAAGCAATCGAAAACATCAACTAATTTTGTCATTTCATTCAATTCCAAATAATTTGAAATCTAGCCGCTACTCCAGAAAACTGATTATGAGTTGTATGACATAAAGTTACACATTGTATTATCCTGAAGTTGGGGTATAAATCGTTCCAATAAATACGGCACTTATCGTTCCCCACAACGGTTTCAGAATCTCCTGGAGCATAAGGCAACACCTGTGTTTCGTCTTTACCGTATGAGTGCTATATGTAGGTAATATTAAAGCACTCTCAAGTCCGCGTTATGTCGATGTATATAGGCTGAGACCGCATATGCTAGACATGGTGCATCATGTTCTCTCATGGGAGGCCCTACACATTGTGTCAGGAACCTCTATACCCATCAGACGACTGCATTACACTGAGGTGTTGAAGACATCATCCTGGCAGGCCATGACAGGCCCCTCAGTTCCCGACTTCAGTCCCTTTGACCTGAGGAAAGCGAAGGTCAGGCGCTTTGATAAGCCGATGTCTTCAATGTTGTTGAAGAAGACCCTATGTATTGACTCATCCTTGCCGCAGGAGTGAAGTGATCTCTGCGGCTTTTATATAGGTCTTTTGCTGGACGGGTTCCAACTCGGTGACAAGAGTTGTCCTCGTTCAGTGTCGAAAACTAAACCGAGTTCATCAGCTGCTCGGGCAGCTGCCCTAAATAGAAATGCTCCACTTCCTACTCTCTCATGGTCACGGACCATGCAGGGAAGGGGATTCGAACTCCTAACGACTTAACAGGCTGTATCTAGTACCATTCTGTCATGTAGACACTCCAAACTCCAAAGTCCACGGCCTCTCTGTTGTCGGGGGAAGTACAACCGTGGAACAGCCGATTCAGAATGCAAACTTATGGATGCAATAATTATTATTGCTATTATTATTTTTCCTAAGGTTGCACTAGTCAGGCCCTATCCTCCGAAGCCTCGATACATTCGAGAGGGCGCGCCAGCATTATCAACCAATGACCACTCTTCAGACCGTGTGGTAAGTGATCATTTGTCACGAGAATCATGTGCCCTGAGCAAGCGCAGTGAGGCTAAGATTTCTGGCTTTGCGGCAAGCCGGCATGATCTTAAGATTCGAGACTAGATCGAGCATTATTCCACCAAGGACTCCAATGATCAGAACAATCATTTTGACAGAGTGGTTTGGATAAAGTCTGTGGAGTTCCAAGAGAAAATCTTGATATTTTATCCATTTTTCTATCTCTTCTCAGACGATATTCGTCTCGCCAGGAGCTGAAAACTCCTCGACAAATATCGTCTTGCTCTGGTGGTCGGGAAGGACTACGTCAGACACTGTAAAATTGATATTTCAATACATAAATGAAAAATTATTGGTATTCACAATTTACATTATTAATTTTATCACTTATACACTTTTCTTCGTAGGCCTGTACATCGAAAGCGTCCTCAAGCATCAGAACTTCACGAAATTCCAGGAGTTGATCAAGCGCGCTGGTCTAGAGAATGAAATAAATGAGTTGGTTAATGCAACCGTATTCGTGCCAAGTAACGAAGCGTTCGAGTCCCCAGAAGCTAAAGAACTCCTCGAGGAAGCGAATAATGACCCCGAAAAACTGAAAGAAATCGTCCGGTACCACACCGTTCAAGGTGAATTGCAATCTGGAGATATGAACAACAACGATAAGCTGGCCACTTACGACAATGGAAAGGAATTGAGAATCAATTTGTATTCAACGGTGAGGCTCTGAAATATAATAATGTAATAATAAGGTTTATTTGAAATGGGGTGACCACAGGTAATATTACATTGAAAATGTAAATAAACAACTAGACGCATAACCCAAAAGCTGTCTGCTTTAATTATTCAAGGGATGATGACGTCATCTCGGAGGAATTTGAAACAGATATTGGTATACCCCAGGGAAGCGTACTTGGTTCTCTGATTATCCTTCTCTTCATTAACAACCTTCCTACTCACATATCTCAAGGAAGGGTACTTAGATACGCAGGTGATACTTTTATCACTGCATCAGATACTTCATCTGAAAGACTATTCGAAAGTCAACACAATTCTAATAGAACTCACAGATCGGTGCTTTGAAAATAAAATTATAATCAATTATAATAAGATGGAGTACCTACATTGAGCCTTATAGTGAACATAGACCACCTTTGAATTTGAATGAGTATTAATTAAATTATCCAAAGTCAAGTTTCTAGGAACAGTATTTAACTGCAATCTATCGTGGTACTAGCATGTTGATGTAGTTTGTGGCAAGTTGAATAGATGTTTCTATGTGGTCATTACAGTTAGAAGCAAGCTAGAAGAAAAATGTCTGTTTGAAGTTTACTATGCACTTGGGTTACTCCGTTATATCATTTAGTATCGTTGTATGAGGTCGAATATAAAAGTAACCTCGAAACTAGTAGCAAATAACATTTACAAACACTAATTTTCTCAAGCACACGAACTCTTTTTGAAGAGAACTTTTTAACATAAGGATATTTTGGGTATATATCAAGTGAATTTCCAAATTCAACTGACATATCATCATGAAAATATGTTAATTTCAACACTGAACTTCTCCAATAATAACTTTCGGAATCGAAATATTAATTACAGGTAAAACAATGCGGTGTAAATTAATAGATAATCACTCGACCAAATTCATTGGGAATATGAAAAAAAAACCAATGATGTTGTTTGGGAAATTCCATCAGGATAACGTAAAGACTTTTATTGAACACAAAACGAAAAAAAAAATCAATAATTGTAAACCGTTGATGACAGCCATTTATACTTTCCAGCTTCCTTTATTCACTAACATCGTGAACCGTGCCACTGTCAACTGCGCACGCGTGCTTGGTTTCGACGAAAAAGCATGCGGATCTGTCATTCACGAAGTCGGTAAGATATTGGTTCCGCCCACCAGAAACATCTTGGACATCATCAACAGTGACAGTAAATACTCTACGTTGCGCAGCATTCTGAAAGACACAGAAGTCGAGAAAGTTTTGCAGGAAAATAACAGGTCCGTGACATTCCTCGCTCCCACAGATGAGACTTTCGCTGCGTTGGACGAGAAGGATAGAAAGATTTTGGCTGAGGACAAGGAAAGGGCAAACTACGTTCTCAAAAACCATGTGTTAACAGGTGAGCACTCGGTTACTTGCGTGTCTCGCTATTTCCACTCAAATGACAATGAACATTTTCTGTTTATCATTACAAAGATACGCGTTCACTTGCTTTTTCAAACAAAAATTTATATACTGCAATATTCTCACTTGACGTTCAACAGAATTTATGTCACATCAAAACGCTTTTTCGGAGGATGATGAGGTAACGATTTGACTGCGTTATTATCCTATCCGCCATAGCCAGTTTTTGTTGGTCCAAACTATTGTTAAAGACTATTTTGTTTTACCAATAATCAGTCACTCTGTTCTGAATGTGGCAGATTTACTCCGTAACGGTGCTATGGAACAAAATATATCCATTCCACCGGCAACAGTTTGCCGAATGAAGAGATGCCTCAATCATTTGCACTTGTCTATGTCAGATTTACGATCGACTATGGGGTACAATACTAACTATGTGATCCAGTCATTTATACACTATGATAATGACTCAAAAATGACTCGTCCAAGTTCAGACGAGGTAGATGCAATGATGGCGGAATATTTTTCAAATAATGCATCATTTTCTTCTGTGGAAATGCGGGTGAGAAGTTGACAAATAATGACGTGAACATATGTAAATTTCATTGGGATGAAATAAGTGCTGTACCCGTCAATCTAAGTATCAATAACGAATATACAACTCGGTGCCCTTCTGACATACCACCTTTGTTTTTTCTTCGTCAGTAAATTCTGCATTCCTTCTCCATTCATTTGGTGTGCTGCACGTTATGATGTGACTATTATAAGCGAAGATACGGCTTAGTGCTCTTTTGATGATGTCACCATCATTGTTTTTTCTATACTCCACACTGATGTAATCATAAATACATATTGCAGCGTATCATTCTTACACACTGCACACATACTTCGAGTTGGGTGTTTTACAAGATTCCATTCGGTGGTCCGAAGATGACTATGGTGTAGCACCATAAGAAAAAGCATGGGATTTGGTTCTAGAAACGGCATTATATCTCTACTTGTATAGTTTCGATAGTGTGATAAAATTCTTTGAGTCATATTTTACGCAATATGAATAGGTTTTGTGAACTGTACAGTGGAAATCTTACAGTGAACTGTTACTTGAATAACCTCTTGGATTCTATTTGTCAGAACTGGAAACTTTGACTTCTGTGAAGAAGGGTCACATCATAAGGAAGTTCAGTAACCTTCATTGCTATAAGTAACGCCATAAAATGAATTTTGATGAAACATATAACAAAATTTGAGAATAATTACTGATATTTTGGAATTCCGTGTATTCATTATGAAGTTGATCCCGATTTTCCATGATAACAAAAAGTGTAACCTGTCCATCAAGTCCGGCGGTGGCAAACTTTTTCATGGAAAATTTCGAACAACGGGCATTGAAAGCAAGAGGCCGTGAAACCGGCTTATGTTGATGACATGTTCGTGGTATGGCAAAATGGTGAAGAGACACTGAACAAATTTCTATTATTTCTAAACTCTCTCGACCCGAAAGTCCAATTCACAATGGAACGAGAAACCCAAGAGACTCTAAATCCCTTCACTAAAAACCCAAGAGACTCTAAGTCCCTGATTATGGCCACTGATTGAACAGGGAACCAATACACACACAGACAGGTATCTGAACAAAAACTAACCGCCAGACACAACAAAAGGGAGGGGTAATCAAAATGTTGGTTGAGAGAGCAAAACGTATTTGTGAACCTGAGAGTCTTTCTGAGGAACCCAATCGTCTGCAAAATGCCTTTAAAAGGAATGGGTACAGCGAATAGTTCGAGCGAGTCATACGACCCAGAAGAGAGAACGTCAAAGTATCCCCAGCTAGGTTGGTCAAGGGAAAAGCTTTCCAAAGGTCATTTTTTCACCTTGGTTCTCATTGACACAATAATATGTCTATTGGAATTATCGAAATCGTACTGAAATAAATTTCTGAAAATGAGTTCCCACACAGTTGAACAATATTTATTTAGCAAAAACATTATGGAAACATTGCAGAATCCAACTGCTAGACTTGATCAACTAGCATCAGTTTATGTAAGAATTACTGGGATCATTTCTCAAATTTCTCCTGAAATTGTCATAGCTCGAGGTGGATGGTACATCATCGTATGGTCTAGATCTACTCCTTTGATAACCCATTGGCGGTTCTTCAAGAGGGCATGGTCTGTACCTTCTTTGTCCCGCAGCGGCTGTTCTTTTTCTTCCTTTGCTTTTGCCTCTTCGACTCTTTCTTCTACGTTTCTTCCTTCTGCTACATCTACCGCAGTCTGACAATGGATCCTCGTCGGAGCGGAACGTTTTGAAAATCAAAAAGTCCTTTTTGTTCAGGGCTAAAGTGAATTTTCCGGCTCGGATCTTCACCAAGCCGTGCTTTACAGCATGATTGAGTGCTCTTTTGACTTGCATGGTTACATTTCTCGGTTTCGGAATGATATTCTTCTGGTCTATCTGGGACTGTATGTATTCGATAATTCGACTTTGAGTAGATCCGTTGGCTTCTTTCAAATCCGCGATGGCTTGCATGACTGTTTGTAGGAATTTTGGATGTTTTCCGGAAAGTTTCATCTTGTACCAGACGTCTTGTGGCTCTGGAGTGAACTTGCTCTGACTGCCTCCCATCCTGTTAGCCATTTGTAACTGAGTAAGTTAATCACTGGTGAATTTTGCGAATAGGAATTCCATGAAGTTTATTTGGTGCAACTGACATTTCTCATGACAGTTTTGATGGATTATGTGAACAAGTGAATCTCTGACTGGAACAGAGATTGAAGATAAAGGATTTAATAATAGGGGAGCCCACGAAGCTAAATGTAGATTAGTCGAGCGTCGTGGAAACTTATTGGAATTTGCAGATTAGATGGTAGAAACAAACAATGATTATATTTATGTACCTACACCTTTTCATCGGTGGTGGAAGCGCCTACAGGCCTTCAGAAACGTAAGAGAGATAATTACGTTGAAATACGCGAACCGTAGAATACCAACCTCTTATGTTCAGCAAATGAGCAGTACTATGCACAATCTTCGATTTCTGTAGAGAGGTAGTTCATTGGTTGATGAGGTAATTATTATTTTTGTTCCGAATTGAATTATTAATTGATATTTCTTAGATTTTTGATCAATATAACTGATGATAACAATAATATCATTGACACTTTTGAGTTTGGAGTATCTACATGACAGAAAAGTACTGGGTGGAGCCTGTAAAATCATCAGGAGTCAGGATCCTCTTCTCTGCATGGTCTGCTACCATGACAGAACAAAAATTAGAATATTCCTCCTTAGGGAAGTAGTGCGAGCGGCTGATTAGGCGCTTCCTCTCTTTAAATTTAAATAAAACGGTGACTTTTTCGGGATGCAGTGGAGGCTCTTGGATCTCATGTGGATTGGTCTCCTCCCAAATTCCTCAACTGCTCTAGAGCCCATTCAGCAAACACTCGTCGTTGTCTATGGTCGTTAACCTTCACCTCCTGGGTCAGTTGAATTTTTACGGGTGCAGACCCAAGTCACGACGAAAAATTTACCAAGTTGTGGTCTGCAAGAGGTCACGTTCTTGTAAGCGACGCAAAATCGACTGCTTTGGATTCTCCTGCACACTCTCACAGACAGCGGCGATTTTTTCGGCACATCTTGCGTATCGTCGACATTCGGGTGTTGGTCGATCGTTTACTGAAGCAATGGACTCAAATGTATCCACCACATTACGAATATTCCTCTCGGTGAGGTGGGTTAAAGAGCACAACAGGAGTAAAGGTGATCGCATTGCCGACTCTTAAGACAAGGAAGCGGCTGGACTAAGAATTTTAGGACCCAGTGGCACCTGCGACCTGATGACTTCGACAATTGCGGAACTAGTCATCACCTTCCTGGAAAGGACAGGATGGATGATGACCTAGGAGGACATCTCCTCGGAAGGATGTACAATGGGTCACATGTGGCCTAAGGGCTGTGGACTTACACTCACTCTCCTTACTCTACAGATACAGATAGATACAGAATCCTGTCGGTAGGACGATTATGGCGTACGTTGCTTGAACAGAACAGCCATTTTAAGGGGTTTATCATGGCCTGTAAGGATGGTGTCATCAACACCTTAGTCTACCGTTTCTGACACAAGGTGTATCGACGTAACGCGGCCCTAACAGTTCCTTAATTTTTTATTATTGAAAAATAAATATAACTGTTTTCAATTTAGTCTCTGGAAATTATGTGACACATACATTCTATGGAAAATCGCAGCTACGATATCCGAAGAATATTGCATAAGATAAAAGCTTCTTTGTATTCCTACTTGACCATCATCATACAAAAAATTTAAGAAAGAAAAAAAGAAAGATTTCCACTTTGAAATGTTTTCAAAACAACGGCATTTGTTTCGCTGAACAGTAGTTTCCTCAAGCGGTGATAATGAATTAATTCTAAATTACCTAATCCACACTTTGTTCCAGTCTGATAATCAATTCTAGGCTAAGTTCAACTATCTAGATAGTACAGATACAAACTTTTGTTTTTTGTGTCCTGTGACAAGTCATGTTCTCTTATGCGTGCTTCGAATGTTCTTCCAGTTTGGACTATGTAAAGCATGGGACAAGATCCACATGATAATTTATAAACTTATGATATATTTGACAATTTGCCATTGGATAAAGGAATATTCACTAGTATGTGGAACATACTATTACTTTGTTTCGATTAAGATGAGTGAAAGAATTACGAATGGTGATATATCCGTGTATACCGGATTACAAAAATTACATGCCGTTGTTATTCAACTGTACAAAGAAAATTATCGAAGTGAAGTGACATATTTGACTTTTTGTTTCAGAAATATTATGCTGTTCCGGGGTTGGCCCACAAACATGGGGCTTCAGCAGCTTCGTGTCTACTTTAGGCAACCACCAAGTTGAAGTAGGTAGAACCGGCAGCAGAGTTCGCATCAACAGGGCTGTAGTAACAAGCTGTGATAACTTAGCAACCAACGGTATCATTCACACCATAAACAGAGTGTTGCTGCCCCGTCAACCGCAAGTGCCGACCATTGGCGGAGGCGGATTTTTCTTATTTGATATCTAGGTTCGGTGATGTTCTTAATAGTATCATCGTCTTTGACTGAAACGATGTACTTTTCCATTAATTTTTTTCAGCTATTTATAGTTTGGAACTATTTATTTTATTTTATTCTAGGTTTTTAAGATTTGAATAAATTTTTAAAAATAAAAAAAGGGTTTTTGTTTTATTGATATGGTAGATATTTTGATCAACTAATCAACTAGTTTTTCAATATGGATTTTCATCAAGTATCGGCCAGTTCTATTCAAATATTTCGATCAATAGAATGTTATTCCAAATGAAACCACAGTTCGCTATTTTATTGATTAATTCAATAATCTCTCCTAAAAATATACTTTCCATACTCTCCACAGAAAGAAGTCAATCGGTGTGAGATCAGGTGATCCAGCTGGCCACTCCTCTGGACCCCTTTTGCCGATCCAACGCATTGGAAAACGTTCGTCCAAAAACTGTCTCACCCGAACATAAAAATGTGAAGGTGCTCCATCCTGCTGGAATGTTATTTCATTTTCTACTAAATTCTCATCATTTTCTAAAATTTGTGTAATCCTTGGTCTACACAGTCTTGTAATAGATTTAAGTATGTGTCTTCATTGAGATTACCTTCAATGAAAAATGGTCCAACAATATGATTATCAAGAATCACCAAATGAGGATTCACATCGTTCCAGTGACGACAATTATGTCTATTCACTTCACCATTCAACATGAAAGAACTTTCGTCTGAAAACATGTATTGTATAATAAGTTTGAGTTACTGAACAATTTCTCACCTCACAAAGCTGAAGTCGACGATCAGGATCATCTTCGTTCAATTCCTGAACTAGCTTTATTTTGAAAGGATGGAATTTGTAGGCTTTCAAAATTTGAAAAACACTAGTACCTGATACACCAGATGCTCTAGCTACTTGTCTGATAGATTGTCGATTATCCATTTGTACATGTCCAAAAACAGCAACTTCAACTCCGTCATTTCTGATGGGACGGGATACTTCATGTTTTCTTTTGTGAACAGAACCTGAAGTTCGAAACTTATCCTTTAACTGTTCAACTTATTGATGGCTCACGTTGTGGTCTGGATGATTCGTATTAAAAATTCTTGCAGCAGCTTTGGCACATTCATTATATCGATAATAGGTTGCAATAATTTCTATTCTTTCTTCAGTATAATAAACCATGTTGGAACTCAGTGAACAAGGATGACTGAATAATAGTTCGTGAAGAAGTGACAGTGGCCAACTATCTACTTTTTGTTCTGCGACAGTGTTGTCCATTTCAAAACGTTTACTACTAATTAAATAAATTCTATAAATCTAGAAGACCTGCGACAGAGAATGGGGAATGTTCCTCTTGACGAAAATCAAGTAGTTTTCATAAAACAACGTATTTTAAACTTATCATTTCAACCTTTTTCTTTAAAAAAATATTTAAATAGGTACTTAAAAAAGAGGAATGAAATAATGCATTCAACATTTAAAGGGATTCGTTTCTATTTCACCATTTGGCAACATCGGTTATAGCTAATAAAGGACAATGAATCTGTTACCTGTATGAGACAAACAAAGATGACATATTTCAGAGGTGTGCTGTTCTGTTTACTTATGTTTCGAGTTCCGAGACATTCTGTGACATGACATTTTGTGCACCTAACCTATCTTCCTCTACATAAATAAATAACAAAATAACTGTTGTTTATATGGCTTGTGGAGGTGGTATTGAACAATAATTTATATTTTGCGTTAATTGTTGATTTATGAAGACAATTTTCCTTTTTTAAAGTGGAATATAAAGGTACGTATAAATCATTTCAACTTGATATAGGCGCTGTTGCCAATATGTGAATTAGAAACAAATCCCTTTAAAAATTGAAACCCAACATTTGAAACATCAATTTCAATACTTTTCGAAGTGAATTTGAAAAATTAATGAATTAAACTTAACTTTATTTTGTTCAAACTTGCACTTGCTGTAATAACCCAAATTGAGGAACATTTCCTTTTTCGGGAATGCCGATTTCTGTCCCGACATCTTCAGAAATGTAAAGAACGCTTTCGAAAGTAGACTGTATTATTGTATGGAACTAGATGGAGGTCTTTTTGAACACTTTATCCGTTGATGGTGTTGCCATTGATATTACTTTTGTTGATTTTCTCAATAAAATGAGCGACAGCGAATTTTCTGTTTTTTCTTAAATAAAACGTTCAACATTTCTCAAAAACAAATGAACCAGTTTAAAAAAAACACAGAGGTAATAGATGGATAAAATATCTTTCAATTGATGTATCACTTGACCCCGATGCCATTGAAAAAAATAGGGGGATAGTTGCTGACCGTAGGGAGGTGAAATTTCTGGTATGATTTCCATTTCAGAATCAGTCTCCCTAGAAATAAAAATTGACGTATTCTTTGAAATTTTCGATTACAGGGGTGGTCAAGTTTCCGTTGGAACGCCCTGTCTAGGTGCTTCTTAGGTCTCTGATGCACAAGTGGGTGGGTCTATTCGACCCTCCACCGCAATCCGCAAGGGTTTAATGTGGCTCACACCTATTCAAATTCGACCAAATAAACCCAGCTTCTCAACGAAGCCGATTAGTTTATATAGTGAGTGTAGCTCTGAAAATCTGATTCGGTCCGCAGCGGGGAAGGCACAAAGTATATACTCTGCTGTTCCATCATTTTCCAAACAGAGGCGACACACACTGTCTTCCGACAGCCCGAGTCTATGCATATGATGATTCAGAAGACAGTGACCTGTGAGGAGGCCTAGACATCGTAGTTCATCCCTACTGTAGTCCAACAACTGTTTGGTTTCAAACTTCGAAGGGTGAATAAACGCCTTGGAGTGAGCCATTCCTGGAAGATTTTGCCAGAAGTCCTTAAATCTTCTTGTCATCCAGATGTTCAATGTTCGTTTGGCAAAACCTAATGCGATGACAATGACAGGTTCTGGTCTGATGAAGAGACTCAGCAGCCTCATTGCTTTCCAGGCCAGTGTCGCCAAGAATCCAGACCAGAAACAATTAGTTAAGTCTTCTTATTGAGAAGAGTTGTTTTCGGTAATTTGCTACCAATTTAGGCGTTGCTCGGTAGAAGTCAAGAGTTTCCAGCGCCGCTTGACTGTCAGATGCGCACCAAGAAAGGATTTTTCAATATTCCAACTGGGACGCTCCCCCCTGGGGATGAACGGGGAGCGTTTACATATGAAAATTACCTTTTCATCGTCAATTCCCAAAGCGATGCCAATGACAGGTTCTGGTTTGATGAAGGGAGTCAGCAGCTCCATCACCTTCCAGGCCAGCTTCGCCAGGAATCCAGAGACAATTTGTTAAGTCTTCTTCCTATTGAGCAAAGTTGTTTTTGACAAATTGCTACTAATTTAGACATTGCTCGGTAGGATCCAAAAGCTTCCAGCTCCTCTTGACTGTCAGATACGCACCAAGAAAGGATTTTTCAATATTCCAACTGGGGCGTTCCTCCTGGAGATGAAAGAGGAGCCTTTACCTACGAAAATTATTTTTCATAATTGTTTCTCCATACCGTTATATTTTCGGAGGTTGCAATTTTGTGTGTAAATAAAAAAGGATTTTCAAATACTTCAACTGGGAAGCCAAACGCAGGATAAAAAGGCACGTCCATAAAACAAATATATCTTTTCATCACTGTTCCTCCGTGCCCTTAAATTTCCGGTGGGGTAATTTATATTTAGCATCAGCATTGCATCCGTGCGGAGCAGGCTCAGTCGCTAGTTATCTAATAAAAGCGTGGTGCGACGTTCAAAATTATCCTCTATTTGTGTGTATGTGTGAATGTAACTTCTTACAATCTGAATACATAACTTCTACTATTGTAGGTTTAAATTTCTGATAGATCGATGAATGAACTGGAATTTGAAATTCAATATCCCGTGAACAGATAATGTGTCAATTTCTCCGTTAGAAAGGCTTCTACGACGAATTATCGTAGTTTTCTTTAGTGTGTATACTACCGTAATGGAAGTTGATGAACAGAGTTATTTACTCGATTTGAAAGGAACTAAAAGAAATTCTGGATTGTCAACAGTATTCGCAGTAATATGTATATTGGATGTATTTGGTGTTTTTCCTGTGGTAACATTACCGAAAACTATAATTAATTGTGGTATGTGCGATATATTTTACTTAGTGAAACTGTTACACCGTTAATATACTTATACTTTAGGCTATTATGGGCTCTTGGCAATTCCCCTGTTATGCTGTACCCAGATTTATACTGCAGCTCTCTTGGGCAGGTGCTGGGTTATTGCAGAAAGAATAAGCCCGTCGATACAAAGAAAAAGTCGATATCCGTATACTGCTTTGGTAGAAATTTCATTCGGGAAAAAATTAGGCAGTTGGGTTTCTTTCCTTTTGGATTTGACGATTTTTTGTGGAGGGATTCCTAATTTAATTGTTGGTGAGTTAGCTACATCTAAAATGATTTTGAATTGCCATTTTGATAGATAGACACATGGTTTTGATTCCCAAAATATACATAACATACAGTGTCATCCTCAAAGTATGCACCATATGGGAACTTTATTTATTAAGGCTTTTTCGATAAAAAGTTATTCTTGTGCATCCCCTAAAACTAAACATGCACTAATAAAATACAGTAAAACATACGCAGTTTTAGAGAATGCACAACCATTTATCAAGAATAACTTTTTGTCGAAAAACCGTTAATAAATAAGTTTCCCATATGGTGCACACTTAGGGGATGACACTGTATAAATGCTTATGCACCAGATACCCACGAAATATCATTTTTGATTTCAAATCAGCTTCACAGAATTTGCAGCTTCTAGGACAACGAATCAGCAATGGAAATGTCGATATATCCTTTTGTTACTGGATAATAATTGTTGGATCCATCCTCTGTCCTATTTCATGGTACGGTAGTCCAAAAGATATGAAGTAAGTGAAAAATTGTTATCACACTGACACTTGAATTCTTGTATGAGAAAATAAATTTCATTTATACTAAGTGAGCTTATTGAATTTGGGCTAATTGGATATGCGATTGGTTAAACCTCACCTACAGGCAGAGGGGACGATTACAGATATGTTGATTGTCGTCGTTCGCTCCAGCTTTGTTCGAGGTATAATACTCTGAAAAAATTTGATTTTTAATTATAGGAAATGATCGACTTCGTGTTGATGTGGGACAACTATCTTGCACTGACGTGAGGCCAAATAGCCAGAAACCAGTCTGCGAGTGTGCCCATTCCAATAATTGAAAATTGATTCCGGCAGTTGTATCGCTAAAAGTATATGCAGGAATAACTTCTGTGAAGAATCCTGCACTGACACCTGTCGATATAATCCAACGCTATCCGTGGTATTAGCCAGGGGAGTAGTATATAGGTACATCGAATGATGTATTTATATATTGGGTGTTCCATTGAAAAAAAAAGGTTAGATTGACTACGACCATATGAATATAGTATCAATGCAAAAAAATTAGCAGATCGAATTATTTCTACAGCTGATTGAAGTTCAACCAAATTTCAGGTTTTTATGTTCACTATCAGCGGGTATTGCTATCTCAGTATTTTTTCTAACATGTGGTTGCCTGCTGTTCAGCGATGTCACCAGAAGTAATCTTGAGGATGACCTCTTGGAAGAATCTCATTCTTGGCGAGCGTTACTGAAAGCTTATGGGATTTTTGCTTTCCAGTTTGATATACATCCATCGATATTGACCATTCAAATGGACATGTTTGAGAAATCCCAGATAACTAGAGCTCTGGTAGGAGGATTTTCAGGTGAGATTTTTGAATATACAGGCAGTTTTTTTATAGCTGTCTAACTCGGAAACGGTAAAACTTACAAGGGTAGTTAAATTGGACAAAATGTTTCTATTTTGGGGACTGGAACAATATTCTTTCAGATAGAAAACATCAGTGGTTGTTTTTGAAATATTTGCAAAAAACTAGATTTGAATCAGATATCATCTTCAGGATTGCTACACACTATAGTATTTGAAAGAGGTAACATTTCACCTCCATGAAACACTGTCCTTCTCAATGGTGGACAGATGTTTCGGAATAAGAAACTTGTCTTATTACCTTTTCAGCACCAATCTTGATATCACAAGAGGAATCACTCAATTCAAGTTTTCCTATATTTTAGTTATTCATTTTGAAAGATTTTCTCTAACAGAAAAATTTAGAGGCAAGTTAAATGATGCCATCGAATTTCTTCTAGATGGATTAGATATGAACAAATATGCAGCAGATGTTTTAGGAATCACACGTTAAAAGGTAAGACCTCGTTAGTTAGAAGTTTCTCAACTTCTGAGACTTGTCGTTCGTATGGGAGCGGCAGCTGATTAACGGAAATACAGATTTTAAACAGAAAAACAGACAGACAGATAATGTGACTCCTTGTCGCTATAATTTATATGCACTTTCGAATCACAGTGGGTCTACCTACAGCGGACATTATACAGCATTCTGCAGACATCCTTATAATGGCACGTGGCACGAATACAATGATTCACAAGTGTCACCAATTTCACCAAAATCGCTTGTGAGTGGAGATGCATACATCCTCTTTTATGAAAAGGAGGAGACGATTTCGCACCTTTGAGCGTTTTGTAAAGTTATTTTTGAACTGCGCATTTCAATGTTATGTATTATCTAGTTGAATGTTTATAATTTAAATAAAGTAAACGACAACGCTACGACAGTGGGTCATTCATTAACAAAATTACGAATTCATGAGTTAAATTGTATGTCATCTATTACAGTACGTAATGACATTCGTTTGGTTATTTGATTTGATCCTAGCCAAAGGAATTTTGTTCAAATTGAAAAAGGTCTATTTTTAGGAGAGATTACTTTACGGGACAGGAATATTTTGGCTTTCTACTTCGTCATCTTTGTATTTGTTGCACAAGTGGAACCTATTCGGAATGTAAGGCCACATTTGGCATGGTGGGTTAGTAGTATAGGGATGTTACATTAAAATTGATTTTCAGCTTTTGAATCTACGCAAATGATTAGTCTAATATGTTTTTTGTCTTACAGTTACATTTCTCATGTTCGGTATAACTACGTCAATAGCTTTCTGGAAATATGGATATGATACGAAACCTAGCATTTTGGAAACACTACCAACAACTGTGCCTCTACACATTGCAGCTGCCTTTGTTGCTATTCAACTCTGTCTAACATCAACCATGAGCAGTAGTGCGCTTTTTCAACAAATGGAGGACTGTATGAGTATAAGGAGAGGTAAATAGATTTATGACCTTGAAACTTCATTTCAAATTAAAGGTTTCATCAACAAACAATAAAGGCGGATTTCCACCAAACGGACAAAACCACGACAAAACAGCAACTGCGTCGATTTTGACAGAACAAAAAACTTGAGCTGTCAAAATATGAATCATTTTGAATACTTTGTGTCGCGGTTGACTGTTTTTGTCAACAACGAAATGTCCCGTCGGTAGGCGGAAATATCAAAAAGTTTCAGTGTTTTGTCTATGTTTTTGTTAACATACCTAGTTCGTTATTTTGAAACTGTCGGCGACAACAAGCAACTATTTAATTTACTACTTTGTTTTGGTGTGTGACTTGATGTGATATTATTACTTTAATCAGGCCATTATTAAAACATCGTCATGATGGAAACTGTCAGTGTAGTTGAAACGACAGAAAACATTTTACAACAAAACACTCTACTCAGACTAGTTTTTATCTGTTTGGTGGAATTCGAGTTTTGAGTTTGTTTTCGAAACAAAAACAAATTTTTTATGTGAATCATCTATAGCCGCACGTAAAACCAATTGCTAGCGTGGCGACGGGTCGTCATGTACAAGAGGCGACTCAGTCAGTCAGTAAGTCAATCAGTCAGTGAGTAAGACAGTAGTGAGTCAATCGGTCGGTCAGTAAGTGACTTAGTCAGTCGATGAGTTAGTCAGTGAGTCAGCCAATGAGTCTTGTATAGACTCAGTAGACTATAGTATAGTACAGTCAGTCAGTCAGTGAGTCAGTTGAACACTGAGCCAGTCGATCACTAAGCCAGTGAGTCAGTCAGTCAGTGAGTCGGTTAGTGAGACAGTCAGTGAGCGAGTCAGTTAGTCAGTCGGTGAGTCAGTAGTTCAGTCAGTGAGTTGGTCAGAGAGTCAATCAGTCTGTCAGTTAACGACCCAGTCGGTCAGTCAGTCGGTCTGAAAGTCAGCCAGTCAGTCAGTGTGTCAGTCTGTGGGTGAATCAGTCAGTGAGTGAGTCAGTCAGTAGGTGTGTCGGTGAATAGTCAGTCAGTAATGCAGTCAGTAATGCAATTTTTTCGAAATATCGAAGATTTTAATTGAAGCAAACCCTAAGCAAGATTTGACAAAATATTTGTCCTCAATTTTTGAAAATAGTGTTGAATATTTCAGTCACTTTGTAAAATTATAGCACACTCAGTGTATCTCTGCCCATATGTCTTGATATATCAAGAAAGAATTGAAATACACTCAACGTGCACTAGTTCAAAAAATAGAAAACGCTACAATGCTAGTACAACGATATTTTTTGTTTTTTTTTTCGCAAATTGCATCCAATCTATGTGTTCATTTCTGTCTTCATCGTCATACTTACTGGATTTTCTTACAATACTCTATTCCATTTTGATGAATTTTGAAATGAATATCATTACAAAAAGCATATTTTCTATTTCAGGTGATATTTCATGGTATCAAATTAATTATTTTTCTTACAGACTTCAACCCCAAACGCTGTGTTCTACGTTTTATGCTTATAGTCCTAGCAGTAGTCATAGCTGAATCAGTTCCCAATTTCGATCTGGTTATGTCCATCGTTGGAGGAACTCTAACCGGACCTTTGGTTTTTCTGTTACCACCATTGATCTTTATGAAAATGAGATCGTTGCAAGATGACCATGAAGATCAACTTACATTGATGAATTTTTCGAATAATGTACGCGGAGGCGATCGGAGGTTCACAGAACAGAAGTTTGAAGACATTCAATATCAAATGCCAACGAATGACTTCAAAATGTTTTTTGATAAACACCTCGAATCAAAATTGTGCATTTTCATTATTTTGTCAAGTGTCTTGTTAACGGTATCTACGACTTATTTGAATATTTCAAGTACAGCTTCATTTTATACTAATGTTACCAAACCTTGTATATACAACGTTTCTCTAGCCTTATTATATCTTTGAACACCAACCTGGTGCTGTTTTTTTCTATATAATTCCTAAGTAGCCCGCGAAATTATTTACTGATAGATTCGTGTTTCAGTAGTTTCATGTCCAATCTAGTTTTTTTTTTCGTTCGACCTCTGATAATATTTTTTCAACTTTGCACATTTTTTTGCAATTGTCAATGCCATAGAACAAATATCAGGCAACCAAAATTCATTTTTTCAAACTATCATTTAGTTCTTATCACTTGGTCTGTGTTGGACCCTTTGACTAATAACGGTAGCAGCTGTACAACAAAATTTCCATTTCGTAAAATGGGCTAGATACGTTGAATTAATGAAACAACACAACTTCTGGTATTTTTCAAAGCCTTCATTGAGCCTATNCAACCGAACACTTTAACCGAAACTTCAAACTAATATTCAAATTCGGTAGAATTATTCTCGAAGCTACGTGACACCTAGAACGGTCGCAAAGCGCCAGTCGAATTGAGCGCGAAATTGGCCCGTCACAATTGATTAACGACGACCAGCGGCGCCGATGTTAATTTCTGTAGGGGATGATTTACCTACCCTCAATTTTTTGGCAACCGTCCGGGAAGTACCCACGGGTTTGTACCAGTTTTCAGTTGAATAGGAATTATCAGGAGAATGTTTTTGAAACTTACGTATATGCATCGGCCATTCCAGTATATTGTTTTTCACCTTTGGCTTTCGTCTCGGTTTGCAGTCGAGTTTTAACCACGTCCATGGGAGTAACAGCCAATCCGGTGGCAGCCCCGCCAAGCAATCCAGACAAAAATGTCCACCAGAATATCGCTTCGCCTAAAGCAAAAAAAGTTCATTCGCGACTTTTCGAAAAGTATAAACACGCTGATCTTTTCATACTTTCACATACATACGATGTTAGATATTTCATTTGAAATTTACAATCTGGAAAAGTTATTAATATTGAGATTTTTATTGAGTGTTTTTTGATTCATTATTTTTCAACTCCCAATCAAATTGTTTTTCTATCATCAGGAATTATTAGTGATAATGAACTCAACTGTTATTATCAATATACACATAAATCACATAAATCAGTGTGCAGTCAATTAAAAAAATTAACAACATATAACAATATTACATTGAAGCATTCTAAACGGGTGATTCCGATTTTTCAAAACACGTCTGACAGATCTTAACGACAAGGAAATTTTGAAAGACTCTTGAAGCCCTTGTCAGTCAAAAAGAGAGTGTGTGTTCGACAAGTCTTGGCCTACACCTGCCGATATGTATGTGTATGTTGTTTAAAATATGTTTTTCTCTTCAACCAGCTGTCGCACCCCTACGAACGACAACCCTCAGAAGTTGAAACTTGTGCGAACTGAGGACTAACGAGGTCTTACCTTTTAACGTGTGATTCCTACCACGGGTTGGACGATCGAGCGTTCAGCCTGGGGCTTGAACCATCGACTAACACATCAGCCGATTGACTGAGTGAACAAAGCACCCACGTCGAACCGCCCGGCTACCGACCGACCATATGAAGATGTCTCCTCTCCACTTTCTTGGGAAGGACAGGATGGACGTTGACCTAAGAGGACAAATCCTCGGGAGGATGTACAAATGGATCAAATCCTCGGGAGGATGTACAATGGATCAAATGTGGCCTAAGTGCTGTGAGCCTACACTCACCCTTCCTACTCTACAGATACAGATACAGCCCTTATCAGGTCGATGCGTGACAATGAAAATGATTGAAGGGCAGAAAAAGTATTTCATTTAGCCATACATTAAGTTCCAAACCTGATTACAACGTTGTTTTTCCTAAGTGAATCAATACACCAGATACCAAATTCACAAATAATTCAAATATACTGAAAGTATGTATCAAAAATGAAATTGACATCTCCTCCCCGTATTTTGTTACCTACAGGAAGTCTTCACTGTCAACATTCAAGAAGATACATCTGAATATTGTCGTAAATCATCTCCTGAAAAATAATGCTGGCCGCCGCTGGTCGTCGTTAATCAATTGTGACGTGTCCAAAATCGCGCTGAACTCGACTTGCACTTCGCATCTAGATGTAGCATCGCTTCGAGAAACTTTCAGGGACTTCCCTACCGGCTTTCAGAGACTTCCATTACCTTATATGAACACTACCAAAACGCAGATCGAGAAGTTCAATTGAAAGTGCGGTACGAAGGGTTTTAATAAAGTGATAGACATTTGAATATTAGCCCGAAGTTTCAGTTGAAGTGTTTGTATTGTATTTTCAGTGTGGCAGTGAAATAATTTTGATTGTACAGTCAATTATTGTCAAACCCATGGGGAGAATATAACAAGACTATTACCTGATCCATCTTGTTTTCTAGGGCCCATGTCATTCAGAGTTGCGAATAAAGGAAAATACATAACGGAGAAGGAAACATCTCTAATCAAAGTGGCACGAATTCCTTTAAATAATCCGAAAAATCCCCTGTTCTTCAACAAATCCATCGTCAACTTTGTAGCCGAAATTTTTTTCCCGAGTTTGTTTCCTAAAAATAAAAAATAACCAGAATCACGATTCTATACGATATTTTTCAATTAATATCCAATTCATGTTAACACTGTTAAGTTGTATGGAAGGGTTTTCTGTGGCGTTGACCCACTTGGGAATACTTCTGAATGTAAAATCTTTTTCAACTCATAGTCATCACTAATGATACCCACCCATAAGTTTATTGTAGGAAGATTCCAAAAATAATGAATTAGAAATGTTTCAATACGGTTGTTGAATTATTTCTTCTAATTTAATTATGTACCTTCCTTAGTTGCTACACGTCCTGCATCCTGCATCTGGATTTTCAAAAGCTCCATAGGTGTAGTGATAAAAATTTGACACATACCCGCTAGGCCTCCAGCTAGCATTTGTCTGTAAAGGGGTAGCCTCCTGCGAATACAAAATATTTGCTAGAAAGGACTGTTTTCTATATAAACATTCTATCTGGAATGAAATTTGAATTATTATCGTGTTTGTAAATTTGTATAAAATAAAATATTTCCATTTATAGAACATTTTTCAATTGGGTATAAATGTGGATGTCTAGTGGTCTGATTCTTTCAGTTATTTGAATACGACGGATGAAATTATTTATTTTCTTGGTTACCAAGTATATCTAGATAATCTTTCCCGAAGTTTGGGGCAAATCCCAATGGGCTAGTTTCATGATTTTTGGTTTATAGTTCACTCTATAGAAAATTCAAATTGAAAAACAGTGCTCTCTGTTTCAGCTCTTTAAGTACCGTAGTTTTCCCATCGAATGTGGTAGGCCGGTGACGTCACGGGCCTATTCCCGCTTCTTGATCGATTGACCAATAGGAACAATATAAGTAATCAACATTGCCAAGTCGTAAAATTTACGAAGCCTAAAATTATCAATTAAATTATGTAAGTGTATATGAACCCGTTAACGTTTCAATTAATGAGACATTCTCCATATAGAATAAAATGTACACGAGAAATCATGTTTGGAAATCCAGTACAGAAAGTCGTAAGATTCCAGAATATTTACCTGAACTATGATTTTATGCATTATTTGATGATATACAGTTATGAAAATCAAAAAATATAGCAAACTGGATTGGAAAAGCATTATTTCAAATATTCAATTCATTCTACAATCCTCAATCTGTACAACTGCAATTTGTTATTATAAAAAAGATTCCTAATATTGCTCCTAAATTCAAGCGTTATAGGCTCTCTTGGGTGATCTGTTGAATCTTCCAAAACTTGAGAGGAAGGTTGAATGTTGAGCCTAGTTTTGTTGAAGTTGACTCCGACAACTTACCAAGAGTCGATTTTGAAATGATCGATGAATTTTACTTGAAAAAATTGCAATACTTTGGTAGGTACTGAATTGAAGAATGAAAAATTGTATGGTAGGTGGTATATTTAGTAGGTCCCTTTCATTTATATGACATTCATTTCAGACTTTGTCTTTCATCGACGGATGGAAAGTTTTGATTTAATTTTTTGGAACGCTAAAAAAACTTTTGTTTGGTGGTAGTAATAATAAAATTCGATCCAAAAATAACCAGAAAAAATATTTTTCGGAATGTAAACTAATGACACGGAATAAATAGGCATCTGCCGAGACCTGCCTTTAATTAGATAATTGTAACACTTGTATTCACACCAAGTTGACAACAATAACAACAAAAATGGCGTCTGTCGAATTGGATTATCAGATATGCGATTGGATATTCAAAATCAATACACTTGGCAACTCCGCTCTAGACACGATCAATTTAATTGGTCAACAGACACGCGGCTAATTTAAATTCTTGCTATTCGAATTGTTTTTTTTTTCTGCAAATATAAAGAGATCTTGGGACCGATTAGACTTGATAAGTATAATATACCCATAACTTTATCAGTCTATGAGCAAGCCAGCATCATTTTCCATAGCACGAAACAAGTCCATTTTCCTCGGGAGTTTATATACGGAAACGCTATTCAAGATAAAACATGTGTGCGTAAAAGTATCACTTACCCATCTCGTGTACGCAAGTGGAAGCGAAAAAAATCATTTCCCGCTAACTTAATCGCCTTTTCAGGGGTTATTAGGAGTATATTTACTGAGGAGCCTTTGTACATACCAAAAAAACCTTCATTCTTGTAAGTTTTTCGGAAGGCGTCGATTCTAAAATAAAAATCAAGTTCAACTCATCCTAAAATTTTTAATTCATAATGTTCTCAACTCAAAAATTTATAAAGAAGACGATCAGTATTTCGAATATTCATATTTGTGAAGATTATCAAAAACATAGTATATGGTCTTTCATTAGGCGAGTCCTATCTTTGAATTCAGATAAAACAAAATGTATGTGAGGTATCATCGAAATTTTGTATTCGTTTCAAAGATATATTTATGCCAATATGTGTGGAATATAACACCGTTCAAATATCGGCCACGGCTTCTTTGGGTGAAGCGCATCCGAAACGTCTAATTTTTTATGACTCTGACGCAACTCCCTCTCTGGCGGTTTTCGTTGACCTCCGTAAAGCATTGGACTGTGTCAATCACACTTTACTAATTGACAAATTAAAATTCTACGGATTTTTTGATTCCGCAATAAAACTGATGACCTCATACCTTCAAAATAGATCCTAAATAGTTCGCTGCAATGATCAGAGCAGTTCAAGTCTGATAATACGCAAAGTTGTTCCACAAGGAAGCGTTTTGGGACCGCTATTATTCTTGATTTATATAAATAACCTACCTACCGAAAAGCATAAACGCTTTAACAACCTTGTTTGCCGATGATGCTGCCTTCGCAACCAGAATCGAAAAGAATTCTACAAGAATTGAGGAAATGATAGGATCGATCCTCAATCAAGCTACTGAGTGGTTCACGGCAATCGAACTAAGTTTGAACACCCGCAAGACTCAGCCACTTATTTTCAATACCAAGCAGGCATACTGCCACTCAGAGCGTAAAATTTCTAGGACATATTATTGATCCCAATTTAAGTTGGAAACGTCATGTAGATCAATTAACAAGCAAGTTATCGAAAGCAATATTTGCAATTAGACGGATGGAATCGCTAGTGAACTTGGAGGCAGCCATCTCTGCTTACCATGGAATGTTTCACTGTATTATGGCTTACGGTCTAATTAACTGGGGCCAATCTTGCTACACTCAGTCGATATTTATTATCAAGAAAAGAGCCATTACAGCTCTGGCCGGTATAACTCAGACTGAAAGCTGTAAACCATGGTTCATTGAATTTAAAATATTGACACTTCCGTCAGCAATTATTTACAACGAACTAATCTACATAAAAACGCACAAGCATTTGTACACACTTAATGGAGATACACACAATTATCTGACTAGAATGAGATCCCATATTGCTTTCCAAATAACAGATTAACCTCTACGAATAAAAAATTTATTGGTATCAGATTATTCAACTCTCTACCAGACAGTGACGGATCCAGACCATGATTTCGGGGAGGGGGAGCAATCGAGATTTCTTAGTTCACCCCTAACTTTCTAAAACCACCAAGTTATAGATAAATATCTTACCTGTAGGTCTACCCTACGTTTTGATTCATATAGGAAAATATGTTTTATTATATTCTACCATGTAGTGTGGAAAGTTTATTTATTTACTTATCAAAGCAACAATAACAAATTGAAATGGCGATTATCGAAATGGTTTTGTCACAAGGTTTCAAATTTCTGCTGCCACTACCATCGCCAAAATTAAAATAAAATTAGAACGTACATCAAATTAATTAATTTTTTTTTGAGAGGTTGACGCTTCAATAAAAAGTTTGCAATTCTTAAGCACACATCCCTGAGGGAATTTTTTTCTCGGGGGAGGGCACTTGCCCCCTTGGCCCCCCCCACTTTCGATCCGTCGGTGCTACCAGACTGTATCAAAGAAGCTCCAATAGCCATTTTTAAAACAAAACTGAAAACTCACTTACAATGCTCTGCCTATTGTGACATCTCTGAATTTAAATTTCTTCAATGTTAGTCGACAAACTGTTTGTAACATTATCAAACCCATTTTAACAAACATGTAAATAAATTTTATAAATTTTGAAATTTGGAATCCAAAAAACAGTGTCGTGAAAATGTATAATAATTATTGTGAAATCCAATATGTATATTTTAATCATAAATAAATTTTATTTAGATTTAGGATTAGGTGTAGTCAATGACTTGTCAAAACACTATGTCGTGTATTACTGACCGATAAAGTACAATACAATACAATACAAAAAACCAGGCTGAATTTGACCGATGGCATGGATTATGTTGGCTTTGAGGACCGCTATGTTTTGTGACTAATTCGCATATACCTGCGACTTGAGAAAACCCCACAAGAAAAAGTCTAACGGGGTCAAATCGCACGATCTCGGTGGCCAGTCCTCCACGTGAGATTACCATGCCCTCGAATCGCTCGTGCAGTATATCCAATGTATCAGGAGCCTTGTGCACGAAACGCCGTCCTGTTGAAACCACATGTTGTTGGTGTCCAGATCATCTAATTTAGGCCAAAAGAAGTTGGTAATCATCGACCTATAGTGCTCACCGTTGATAGCGATGGCTTGGCCAACGTCGTTCTCAAAGAAATATGGACCGACGACGACGCCAGCCCAAAATCCACAATTCTGTTTGTTTACGTACCCATTCATCCAGAAATGGGCCTCATCGCTGAAGATGATTTTTCGATGAAGATTAGGGTCAGTTGCCAACTGCTCCAGAGCCACAGCTACCCCGTACGGGGTAGTTCTACCCCTCTTGAACTTAATTTCACCCTCTCGCTCACTCAAGTAATTCTACCCCGCTCAGATATAAAGCAAAAGAATGTGAAATAATGTAATTCAAAATAGTCAAAAACAAACCTTATGAACGCAAGACGCGATGTGATACGGGATTACCCAAACCTTTAGATGTTCATCTGATAAAATCATTGAAAAAAACAATATACGACTGTTACACAAGCAATGAGATTCCTACAACAGAAATCATAAGGAATTAATTGAATATTTGCTGCTGTGACAAAACTCTTTAGAATTGGATAAAGAAACTAATATTTAGATTCAAAATGATAAACAAACGTCAAGCAGTTATGGAAAGCAGAAGAATAGTGGAATTGCGTAACAAATACTTAGAACAAATAACTAAATATAGACAAGAACAACGGCCAATTTTCTTTTTGGACGAAACTTGGTATAACACTCACGACACAGTTACGAAAGGTTAGTCAATGACTTGTCAAAACACTATGTCGTGTATTACTGACCAATAAAGTACAATACAAAAAACCAAGCTGAATTTGACCGATGGCATGGATTATGTTGGCTTTGAGGTCCGCTGTGTTTTGTGACTAATTCGCATATACCCGCGACTTGAGAAACCCCCACAAGAAAAAGTCTAACGGGGTCAAATCGCACGATCTCGGTGGCCAGTTCACATCACCTCCACGTGAGATGACCAAGCCCTCGAGTCGCTCGTGCAGTATATCCAATATGACAGGAGTCGTGTGCATGAAGCGCCGTCCTGTTGAAACCATATGTCATTGGTGTCCAGATCATCTAATTTCAGCCAAAAGAAGTTGGTAATCATCGACCTATAGTGCTCGCCGTTGATAGTGATGACTTGGCCTACGTTGTTCTCAAAGAAATATGGACCGAGAACGCCGCAAGCCCAAAATCCACACCAAACAGTGACTTTTTAGGGATGCATTGGACGCTATTGGATCTCACGTGGAATGGTACCGTTCCAATTTTGCTTGTTCACGTACCCATTCATCCAAAAATGGGCCTCATCGCTGAAGATGATTTTTCGATGAAGATTAGAGTCAACTGCGGTCTGTGAAAAGTCGAGATCTCGTGAGCGACGCGAAATCGACTGCCTCGGATTATCTTGCACACTCTCACAGACAGCGGCGATGTTTTCGGCAGATCTGGCGTTTCATCGACGTAAGAGTGTTGGTCAATCGTTTATGGAACCACTAGACTCAAATTAATCCACCACATAGCGAATAGTTGTTTCGATAGGACGACTATGGCGACCGTAAAATGGGCGAAGCGCGCGGTACGTTGCCCGAACAAAACACCCATTTTGTTGAACGCTATATAAGTCCATGGTGATTTGGCAAAACAGAATGAATAAATGAAAACTGATTTGACATTTTGGAACATCGTTTGAAATATTTTCAGTTTTAATTTAGTTCTATTCATTCAATCGGCCACTATGTGGAACGGTGGATCAAGACAGGCGGCAGGATAATCGATTTTCGTTGCGTATCGTCCAATCCGTGCTATGAATCGTACATAAAAGATAAATGCTCGTAATTCTTAATTAGCACAAGTTTATAATTCTTAGGCTTGTCCTTCGTCGTAAGGGGGCGATAGCAGGTTAACGAAATTTTAAACACAAAACGGCTTCCAAAATGTTTTATGTAAAACGGATCATTTACTTACATGTTATCATACATCTTTTCGCCATGTTTACCTATTTGCTGATTTTGAATTCTGGTTTTGACCAAATCCAAGGGAAAGACGCATGTGACCCCAACGATTCCTGCAATTCCTCCATTTATAATTTTGGGTAATAAACTAAAAACGAAAAAAAAAAATCGCAACTGAAAAAATCGTGAACTAATCATCGGATCAATCGCTTTGATTTCCCCGGCGTTTATGAAACCTCAACACAAGAAATTAACGACAATAATTTGGAATTATTGATAGTTGAACTTGATAAGAGACTTATCTATCACGCTTTCGGCAGAAATGGAAATACACTTACGAAAAATTACTTTGTTTTTCAGCCATACGATTCTTCCAATTGAAATCTGCAACAAAACAGTTCCAAAAATGACTTTCGTTGAATAGTTCAAAACTATTTTCCTCTTTCTAACTTAATCAAAACGAATGACCTTATTCCGTAGTGCAACTCCTACATTTTTAAATGTAAAGTTGCATTTTCTGAATTTGGAATTCTCTCTTTAGACTTTTTCTATCACAAGTGCATTAATGAGATATTCTGTAATTACCTTGTCAAACTAATGTGACTTGAAGGTTATTCAGCATCTGTCTTTTGGACATCATTATGACAATAGAAAAACTTCAGATGGTTTATTTTATGAAGAAAGCAGTGTTGCGAAGAAAGTCTATAAATGGATTACAGAACACGCATTTATTGTATTATCATGAGCGAGATTAATAATATTTTGGTAAAATAAAACTGCAAAATACGGCAAGCCGCCATGATGTCTCGAACGTCAATCAGAGAGAATTACGTCACGTTAGAGTAAACAAACGAATATGACAGCTTATATAATGCAAAAGTGATACGTTTCTTTTGATTTTCTGTACGACTTGTCACTGTCTAGAGTGAATATTTTCTTTTGTTGTGTTGTCAAATCGAAAGGAAAATAATATGAGCCATGGAACCAGGATTTACAAAAGCAAACATCGGTAATGTACCTAGAAACTTATACTTATCACACACTTACACATTGATTCATTTAAATTTAGGTCTGTCAGGGCATCTTATGGCGATGATGCGATAAGTTAAACCGTGAAAGAAATATATTCACACCAAAAGGTAACATAACAAGTACGTAAAATACAAGAAATGAAACCTAACCTCAAAAAAGTTTGTTTATTATTGCATTTAATCCTCGACCAACATAATACTGGTTTATAATCTTCAAATTCAGGTAAATACTTGCATCACATTGATTTTCACAGAAATTGAAGTGTATTTATTTCATACTAAACATATATGATTTAATCGTTTTACGACTAGGAATTTCAGATACAGTAATTTTTTTTTGACGTTGACGTTTTATTGCCAGCATTTACCATATGAAGGAAGGTACTTGAATGGACTGAATGGGACGAATAATGAAACGATTAATTTAACAGGAGATACATTTACATATTTAATATCGACTATGATGACATCTACATTATATCATTGGATATAATTGACTTGATATTACAATGTATGTAGAGACTGAAACAAGAGATAACAAAAATAATAAAAAAATAAATTCCAACCAGAATTGCTAAATGAAAAATTCATGAAGGGGTTCAATTCGTGATATGTATCATACCAGAATAAAAAATTGACATCGTTTTTGCTTGAACTTTGTGTGGAACCTCACGGTGATTTGAATACATTCATCTAGCAATTTCATCAGTCAGATAGTTAAAAAAATATACAGGTATTCAAAACAATATATTTTAAACACTGTTTTCTGAACGGTACTTCTATAATCTAGCATTATCGATAACAAATATGAATGGTAGAGTCCTACTGAAATATAGCCGATTTATATAAACCAAATAAATAGATGGGTTGAGGAAGAGAGAGAGAGAGAGAGAGAGCTGTAATCTCCTTAAGAACTCGACTCTCAGAAGTAGAAACTTGTGGAAGTTCAGAATCAACAACCTGCCTGTTAATGAGCGATCCATAGCACGAAAACCGGATGAACTTCCTACCGATCATCACCGTTAGTAACTAATAAACAATCTATAAATAGATAATCTGGAAGTTTTGATGATTTTGGTATACAAATGTGCACTTTGTACACTATAACATACTAAAATCTCCAATGAATATTTATAGTGTTACTGGATCCTCAACTGAATATATAACTGTATTTACTAACTCGGAACGAATTATATCAATACACAAAACATAATGAGTATTTTTAATTTCAGATTTGCAGAATCTTATCGCTGTAGAGTAATTGGTAGTTTATCATACGTGATGATGTATGAATTTGATATGGATAATGATTAAAGATAATGACTGAGACGTTGATTCATTCTTTATTTACATGCGTTTTTCATTTTGGATTTTGATCATGCACATATTTTTGGACAAATTTATTATTTTATCAATATTAGATTTTCCCTTTTGATTACTGTAATAGTTCTTTGAGGACGTTTTCATTTGTGATGGGCTTCTGAATTTACATGATAAAGGCGTAGCCTAGTAGCATAGAAGTAACTTGAAACACAAAAACGTGAATCTATTTTTTTCATAGACCCTTTCTATCTTTGTTTATGTTTGATATGTGGATATCTGGCATAAGTTTACCATATATATATGAAAAAATTAGACGTTTATCAGTTTTTTAAATCTTAATAAAGAACAAATATTGTATTTGAAATGAGTTTCTCTCTCTCTCTCTCTCTCTCTCTCTCTCTCTATGTATATCTATAAGCGAATTTTCGACAATCATAGGAACTACAGTTGGGTCGACGAAAGAATACACATGCGTCATCGAGGAAATATACACTTTCACACAGCATCATGTTCTACAAGTGAAAGAGAAAGCTGAAACAGTTAACGTTAGTATAACAGCCTGTACGCAGTATACAGAGAAGAGATACCAACGTGGTCGTTGGCAATTTCTCAGATGTTGAGATAAATTCATGACATATACTATTGTTTGATAGATTAGTTTGTTTACATGCTGTTTATTACAAAGTTTCAACAATCCCTATTCTTTTGTACTAGACAAATAGTTTTCACAACTGATAAACTGGGAATTCCATATACCACAGTACGTAAAAATGAGGGATCACTCTGTTCGACAAGATAAAATACATTTACATTGCCAGATATGCAAAAATTGAATGGAATGATGACGAATTTTATGAGATTGACCTAAATTCGTTATTAGTGAATTTCAAAAATGGAAATAATTGACAAAATGGTTTAGACTTTCGCGGCTGAGGTTTTCAGTGTCACTGTTTTTCGAGTTTGAAAGCCGTGGATTTTTGGAATTTCTTCCTGTCATTCTGTTTGTTATTCTCGAATTCCTTAAAATGTGGTTCCATATTCGATTGAGGTTTTAAGGAATTCGATAATAACAAACAGAATGACAACAGGCAGCAATATTAATTGAAAGAGAAATGAAAATTTCTATGTTTTTTACCACTTTTAATTTTATTATATTAGTTTGAGAATGTCCATATGGGACGAAACTGCAGTAACGTTAGTTACAATTAAAAGTGGTAAAAAACATAGACATTTTCATTTCTCTTTTCATTATGATCTCCTACCACGTAGTAACGGCTACATCCATCAATTTATTGGCAGCAAGATTGTTAATGTTCCAGGTTCAATTACAGGTACAAGTGCAGGTACAAGTACAGGTACAGATACAGGTACCAATACAACTGATTACCTGACAAGGCATAAATACGGTTTACGAAGTCTAAAAGTTAGTCATCGGATAGCAAGCCTTGATGGTTAAACCTCTGAAGAAGCTAGCCATTCGCGCCAGCGAAACGTCAGGAAGAAATTCCAAAAATCCACGGCTTTCAAACTCGAAAAACAGTGACACTGATGGAAATAATTTTTCACAGTAGTAACCACATTCAGTTTGTCGATATTCCCTTATCAACCCAACTGTATCTTTTATGATTTCTCTCAACTCAATTAGGTTTAGAGATTTTTTCACTAAACTATTTGATTGTTTCGAAAGTATGACTTTTCCCAGTGACGGCTCGTGCATTGGAGAACAGGGGAGGCTAAAGTCATAAAGGCTATATACATACAGAAAAGCCCGCCGGAGGCCGGGATTTTTTTATGTTGTTGCACGCTTTGCCTAATACTGAAGTTAGGACATGGGCATGACAATGCGTAAAAAGTGCATGAGCTACTATGGACTTTATTTTAGTTTGTGAACCATTTAGGTGAACCATAGGTTTGCGCAATTAACTTTTGCGTAAAATTATAGGTGTCTCACGTACGAATTAAAAAATTAAACAAATCGTCAGCTGTGCGCCCAGATGAAACATTATGAAAACCCATGAAACGTTCTACCACATTACCATCTTTGACATATCTAAAAACGATTGAAAGTTGTGATAGGTAGTTTCATCAATTTCCCATGAAAAAAAAGAAACACTTTCAATCTCCTTGCTTATATTTTCCTTAATAATATATGCCACACTGTCTATAAGCTGATTTTGGATGGTTTTTGAGGTGCCCGAAAAAACGCTACCGTTTAAAAAAGTGCCAAATTGTGAATCATATTTGCCCCATAACATTAAAAGTTCCTTGTTATTGCCGCGATTAATCGAATCTTTGGTTTTATCGTGTCTACGAAAAGCTAATTCTTGGTAACCCAAATAAATCGTAATATCGATAATTTTTTTTCAATTCGACCGATTTTCCCTAAACTGATTATTAGAAGAAATTATGGCCTCTTTTTGAGCTGTATCTAAAGCTGTTGCTATATTTTGTTTGCTAAACAATTTTAATTTACAAGACGAAAATATATGCTCCTTAGATTTAAATGTTTATACGCGATGCGTGCGTTTGAGTTTTGTTGATGCAGGATACAGTGTGGAACGTACTACATAGTGAGTGAGTGATTGTTTTTTCGGGCATATTATGTATTTATTTTAAAAATTAATGGTAATTAAGTGGTAAGCATTTTTAGAAAAATATAATCATAATTATTCGTCAACATCTTTTAATTTATTGCGATGAATAGCCTCAAATTTTATGGGGAGGCTAAGCCTCCCTTGCCTCCCCTGACGAGCCGCCGCTGACTTTTCCTCATTTAGAATTGAGTACCATTTTTGACAAACTTATTTAGTGGACACTATCCGTTAACATTTACCAATGATACATTTATTGTCACTGCGGGCTAATCACCAAAATGGTTCCCATTTTGATATAAAATTATAGGATTTATTGCCAAAACAAATATAGAAAATACTATGCATTTTGTTTGAGTATGATCCACATTTTACACTCTCTGGCTGGTTTCTAGATAATAATAAGTTTTTGTTCTAATTATTTGTTCATTATTCATGTTGTACAGAGTATTTTTGGGTTTGGCTCTTCTAACAATATAAAAAAAAAATTAAGAAACTCAAACTTTTCCTCTGGTTCTAAACGATGTCACATGCTTCGAGCCTAGTTTGGATATTTCATTGGTAGAGAACACTGTGTAGACCCAACATTCTATATAGCTTCCTAACTTAAGGACTGTTCTAACTCTAGTGCGTCAAAAATAGTTGAACAATTTTTGAGTTGATAATCGTAGAGTCTGACAGAAAAATGTGTGTGTGGTTGTTTTTAAACTGTAATCAGTATTTTGGGTTGCGCATGGTATAATATTTATCGACTACTTCGAAAATAGAAAAACCACCGACTATTTATTGCATTATTGGAACGTTTAGAGGATGAAATCGCGGAAAAACGGCTCCATTTAAAAAAAAGCCAAGCTATTTCATGAAGATAATGCACCGTGTAGGGAATAAATTGAAACGATGGCAAAACTGCAAGAATTGGGCATCGAATAGCTTTCGTATCCACCGTATTCTCCAGATCTGGCCCCTAGCCACTTTTTCTTGTTCTCAAATATCGAAAAAAAATTATATGACCGCTATAATCGTTATAGCGCTCTCGAAAGTAACTAAATTGAATAATAAAATCAAGTTTTATCAAAAAAGTGTTTTTTTCTTAGTTTTTATTATCATTATCACTTATTATTTTCAATCCACGGTTTTATATTTTGCAAATACATTGAAAGTGTTGAGTGAAATTTTTAGAATCCCAGTTGTTAGTGATCTACCAAACAAAATTATAAGTGTAATTGAAATAAAACTAAAGGTGAATGGAAAGTTTTCTGTCGTTCACTTGAGAACCACCCGTAACATTTCAAAATAATTTTTACATTTCTTAGTAGGCGATATTTCCAAAACTATAAAACGGGATTTAAAGTTAACTGGTCCTATAATGAAAATTGCCATCTGGTAAGTAGACATTTGAGTACATCACACAGAAAAATAAGGTATAAAAATAATTTAAATTTTAATTGAATCAGCAATAACTTTCCTTCTATGTGCTATCACAAAAATACTCTATATAACAGAGTAGTTTCATAAAGAGCATCAACTCTTCAAATAACGATGCACATTCAGCAAAATAAATATCACTAAAAATCAAAATTGCTCATGACTTAAAATTGCTTTAAAAGGACCATCGGGATACAGCTTACACTCTTTTATAACCTAAAAGATACTCGGCAACTCCTAGATAGTAGACGGTTTGGGCGATACCAAATAGGGGAGCAATAACAATCATTCGACAAGCACCTCCTTTGAAGAAAGCTGTAGGCCCCTCATACTTCAAAATGTTCCTACAATGTAAATAATGTCATAAATAAATTGTTGAATCAAATAGCGGATGAACAATTTCATGAAAAAGACAGAAAGACCGGTATTTATCTCCAGTTAACACATATGTGGGCTGAAACTGATGAAATGTAGTTTCAAACACAATGAATTCGTTCAGTCATCAACAGATATATTATATTTTATAGCATATGACTGAGTTATATCAACTACTGTCCGGTACAAAGCCAATGAATAAAGTTTATTTATTTTGCACTTGATGATACCAGATTTCTATCCAATCTAGATGAAAGATGTGTAGGCAAGTTTTTGATAAAGTGGCAAATGTACTGCTTACGTTACTTACACAAATGCATTTCCTATACCAGAGTACGACCGTTCCCCTTCAGCTTTTGTCAGAGCTTGTAATCTAGTTTTGACTACATCGAAAGGATTTACAGCCAGCGCTGCAAATGATCCTGCTGCACATCCCGACAAAAAGGAACACCAAAAAACTGCCTCGCCTGTTGAATTATGTATGAATAAATATGAAATTTATCAGCCCAAGTCACTGATTAGTTAAACTCTTCAATTGTTTATATTAAGTAGTGAATATTTGAGGAGACTTTTTCAGATTATGGATGGTTGAGAATCCCAAAAACAAAAAGAAACAATAACTGTACCAAAGAATGATCATACAACACTAAAAATTATCAATGAGGATTCTCAAGGACCCTGTTGTTCTTCGCTTTCTCATTTCACCAACAATAGACACTTCAAGTCATCATTTGAATCCATCTATAATATTTTTACAGATGAATTTTCGAACTCACCTGACCCATCACTCTTTCTAGGACCTAAATCGTTCAGAGTAGCGAACAGAGGAAAATATATCACAGAAAATGAAACATCTCTCAGCATGGTAGCACCAGTGCCTTTATAGAGCCCCAGAATACCTTGCTGTTTTAGTAAACCTATCGCCAGAGTAGTTGCAGAGGTTTTTTCAACAGTCTTTCCCACTGTAACAAAAAAATTCTGTTGACATTTTATTCAACTGCATTTTCAAATATAAATTTTTGTTGTTGATGAATCACTAAAGTTTAGAAATGTATGACCTGAATTGGTAATTATTATTAATTATGAAACTCTACATCCCTTGTGTCAAATCAAATTCGTTTAGAGTGGTTGTTACAAAATCAAACTTGGGCTAACAAACCTCTAAACAACAATTAAAATTGGTGGTCAAATTGAGACTTGATCGGGACAGGTAATTTGTTGAACAATATTTGTCCAATGATTGTCGGAAAATTGAAGAGATTATTTCTCTAAATGCACAAACACAATGAAAAATTAATTATGATTTATAATTAGAAAAATGAAACAAGGACGGTCTTGAAAGACTTCAGGATGTTTTTTTGAGATCAGCTTTGAAACCTAACCTAACCATGGCAGTTTTAAAGAAACCCACCTTTATTTTTATGGCATCCCCAATTTTATACCTCCCTCGAGTATAAGAAATATATTCGAAATACGCTCCAACTGATTCCACAAAAGTTCTATATCGTCTCATGAGTTACCTAGTGCAGGCCTATGTACTCGTGGTCATAACAGGTGTGATAAGATTCGATTTTTGAGATCCTCCACTTTGTATACAATTTCTTTCAGATAACCCATTATAATGAATCTAGCGGAGTCATATCTCCGAGCATATGTATCAATAAGCTGTTGGATAACAATGTGGAGCACTATCTTGTTGACAAATTATCAGTTGTCATTCGGTCAGAGGGATATGCTCTGATAGTTCCGGTGAGATGTTAATTGTACAGTTCACACCACAGGTTCAAACTACATAATGTTTGGAAACGAATGTTTGCTATCCAATGGGGATTGTGGTTGGACCAGTAATGAGCGTTGTGTGTCTTGACCACTTCATTATTATGAAACCTGCTTTAATCTCTCCAGCAGATTCTATTTAGGGCACCTGGATTATCGCGTACCATAACATGCAAGTACGCGATAAATCCTAGCCTTTGTGTACAATTTGTGAGCAGCCGCAATTTGTGCACCAAATGAACCGTGAAAGAAGGTGGTGCAAATGTTTTTAAAAAACAAAATCTGAACGGTGATTTTACTAACCCCAAGTTCTGTTGCGAAGTATGGCACTTGAAGTAAAACGTTTCGTCTGCTACTTTGGCAGACATCAACAGTAGTATATCAGCAATGACTGACGGACGAGTTACGTGTCCCGCTCGTATTTATAATTCCAGAGGATGGTGGGGGTGATGATGACAGGGTTTCCATGCCAATGCTCACTCCTGATTGGTCCGCCCTTTTGTTGGGTCGTCCTGATTGGTCTAGACAGTTACAAGGTTGGTCTGATTGGTCCATTTTGTTGACAGGTATGTTGCTGGTGGAACGGCGATTGGTGTTATATTCTAGTTCATTTCTGGCCTTCTTGAGTACTGGATAACACGATCTGTTGACCTGATACCTTCCTCTTTTACGCTGAAATTGTTGGGGTGCTTATTGATCTCAATGGCCTCCCTACGGTCTTATGTCAAAGCATGTGGATTTTGTTCAGCATATGCCATGTTCTTCACATCTGGCTCTGGATCTTAGGCATATTTCTTTTGAACTTCATGAAAAGTTGCATGCGATAGCAGGTGACGATGAGATAAGCATTAACGATATGGAGCTGCCTAGCTATATTCTCCGTAAACAAGCATCATATCAACATATTCGTTGGGAGTCAATAGTAAAATCATCATTACAGGTAGTAATCTCCATTTCAAACTTTCGTTAAGTGTTTTGGAATAGATGAACTAACATTCGATTGAACGTTTAGAACTGACACTAGTGAAAAAAAATCATTTTTGAACTTCCGAATGTATTGTGTTGCTGACAAAGTTATTGCCCATTTGAGTGGAAATTTTTGATCAAAATATCGAAAATGGTTTGAAACAATACTAACAGTGACAGAGACTCAAATAGGGTGTACATTTTTGGGATGTCAGGGAATAGTTTTGTAATGATTTTGAAAATTTTGCTTTTAAGCAAAAAACAAGTCCAAATTCCTGAACATTAAAGGGGATTCCACTTTTAGAAATACAGTGTGTAACAACGAAAACTTAACAGAGCCGTTTTTGAATATAATAAGTAAGATTTTTAAAAAAAGCTCGGACACGTCGATTTCTAATTAAAGGGGGACACATTTCAGACTAATCAGATTTTTTGTAGTACGCACCCCTCGGAGGGGTGCGTCCGACGACCCTTATTTAGACAGGGAAAGTAGGTTGAGTGGCACCTTGTTTTAAAGGTCTTTCGAATACCTTCACATCTCTGTTAAAAGAAAATTTTTGTGACGATTAGTTTTCGAGATAATTTGAAGATTTAAAGGTATTTTTATTGAGTCCAACTCTTTTTAAAATAAATCAAATTGTTTTTAAGGTACAATTTACATTCAGAACTTTCACAAAACATTTTTTTTGCTTTTTATGACAACCTGCTAATACTTGTCCATTTGAATTCGTAAAAAAGTAAGAATTATTTGTTTATTACGAGGAGATTTTTTCGTATGATGGGGTTGGTTACCACCCTTACATTTTAGGTAAATTGAATGGCACCTCCTTATGAAGGTTGCCTTTTGATGTGGATATTTTATGCTTCTGATAAAAAAGTGAATCATACTATGAACTTACCTACACAACGAATACAACCTGCTGATTTCCTTGAATGCTGATGACACAGAAAAGTTTAAAAAACTGTTTTAGGGTTAATAAATCCCAATAATTGTTTTTAAAGCACACACAAAAAAAGTAACACCTAATAAGGGTAACTCAATTTAGAGTAAATGTTCATAATATGCGCCATTTTGCTCCATGCAATAATAAAGATGTTGTTTCGAATTTTGCTCTTACATTATTCAACATCTCAGGAGTTATAGCTCGGCATTCATCAATAATTCTACGACGTAATTCATCCAAATTGGCTGGCTGTGTAGCATAAACTTTAGACTTCAAATATCCCCACAAAAAGTAGTCCAGTGGTGTTAAATCTGGTGATCGTGCTGGCCATTCAATTGGACCTCTTCTGCCAATCCATTGTCCTTCAAAATGATTATTCAAAAAATTTCGAACCTGCTGGGCATAATGTGGTGGTGCACCGTCTTGTTGAAAATGGATAAATTCATCTTGACATCTTGGATCCTGTTCAATTATTTCAACTATACGAGGTTGTATTGCCTCTTCAAGAAGTTGTAAATGAGAATCACCGGTTAAATTTCCATCAATGAAAAATTGACCTATAATATGATTGCCTAATATTCCGTCCCAGACATTCAACTTTTGGGGATGTTGGGTATGTATTTCTGCGTATTGTCTTGGGTTTTCATCCGACCAATAACGGCAATTGTGACGGTTCACGCAACCATCTAAATGAAATGAGCTTTCGTCCAAAAAACAGATGTTATGAAGCAGCTCGGGATTTTGCATTAATCTCTCACTCATGCCCTCACAAAACTCCTGTCTTCGGTGAAAATCATCCTCATTGAGTTCATGAACAAGTTTAATTTTGTAAGCATGGAATTTGTTGTTTTTAAGGATTCTCCATGCGCTCATATGGCTTATTCTGGCCATTGCTGATAAACCTCTGGTACTTAACCTGGGATTAGCGATGACTTGACCAATCACTCCAATCGCATTATCGTCATTCACTACCCTTCTCTGAACATTTCTTTTCTTATTTAAAACCGAACCTGTCTCCCTGAATTTTGTGACCAAATCCAGAACGTGATTTCTGCTTAGGTGTTTACCAGGGTTTTGCTCGTTAAATAAAATTGATGTTCTATTAGCATTTTGGTCGTTGCCAAAAAATAAAGCAATAACTAAAACCCTTTCAGCAGTAGTGTAAGGCATTTTTAAACAAATAACAATACACGACCTGTTTAAACAAAACAATCGAACGATGTACTAATGAAAACTGGAAGAAGAGGAGTGGGTATTGATTTTAAAAAAGGACTTTTATTTAACAGAAAACTGATAAGAAGAACTACTCGAAATTTTTTTTATTTAGGCATACAAGTTACCAAGTGGTCTGTCTAATGTATTATTAACATGGCAATTTTAACTTCAAATTATCTCGAAAACTAATCGTTACAAAAATTTTCTTTAACAGAGTTGTAAAGGTATTCGAAAGACCTTTAAAACAAGGTGCCACTCGACCTACTTTTCCTATCTGAATAATGGTAGTCGGACGCACCCCTCCGAGGGGGTGCGTACTACAAAAAATCTGATTATTCCGAAAGGTGTACCTCTTTGATTAGAAATCGACGTGTCCGAGCTTTTTTCAAAAATCTTACTTTTTATATTCAAAAACGGCTCTGTTAAGTTTTCGTTGTTACACACTGTATAATTCTGTACATCGAAATTACTGTGTATTTTCATCATATTAGGATTGATAAGATAACACTAATGGGTGTAGAAATATACTACATTGATAACATATAGATGAGTTATTGGGAAACCAGTTCCTTTTGACCTCCTTCGTTGAGTGATTATAGGTATGACTGTGAAAAATAACGAACGAAACATGGTGATTTTTTCGAAAATTTACCTAAAAGAGCTTGTGCTGCCACTCGTCCAGCATCTTGCATTTGTATTTTCAACAATTCCATTGGCGTTGTTATAACAATTTGGCATAATCCTGCTAGACCTCCCGCCATCATCTGCCGATACATTGGAAGGGTCCTGAGAAAATATGCTATTTTAGAAAAAACTTTCTACTATTATTAGCATACGCATGAGAAGTGATTCATTTTCAAATCAAATTGTGGTCTGTGTTATTGATGCTCATAAAATTGAGAGGAATTCCAGAAATACCGTTTGTTGATATTACGACGGTGTCCGTTTCTCATGATCTATATCTCGAGGCGATCAGGTTTTTGTATCATTGAATCTAGATTGTCGAAGATGAGAATTCCCAGATAGATCCATAACAAACATTTGGTTTTTTTCCACGAGACATGACTTTTGTTTAATAAGTAAGTAGATACCTGTTTTGATACACCTTACTTATGTACTATATTTCCTCCATAAATGAACCTAAAATTTGAAAAAATGACCCAGCAGTAAAAAATCCAACAACGAAGATGTGAGGTGCGTGGTTGATTTGGGAATCCTGACAGCTCACTGTATAACATATATAGAAGTTCTGTCGCACGTAATCTTGTATATGAAGCCAATTACTATGGATCTTCATCAAGTAACGGCCGAATCAATTAGAAAAATAAAGTAGATTATTTGAAACCTGGTATGTCAGAGCATATGTGTCAAGTTTGAAGACGCTGCGCTGTTTAGTATTTGTTTGGCAGCCACCAATAGCGAACGTTATCGGTGAGGTTGTGAAAATGGAAAAAATTGGTCGTCGTTATGTGGTAGAATACTTTTATATATTAAGTAGCAGCGGTTGAACGAGGCCGTACGAGCTGCCAAGACGAGCATTGCAGTGGTCGACCAAATGAAGTGACGACTCCAGAAATAGTGAAGAAACTCCGCAAAGCGGTACTGAATGATCGTCAACTGAAGGTGCGGAAGCTAGAAAACTTAGTAGGTATTTCAAAAAGTGTGGTACATCAAATATCAGTACATGAGAAAACTGTGTGCAAGATAGGTGCCGCGTTTGCTCACACTTGAGCAAAAACAGTGTCATGAAGATGTTTCAATTGAGTGTTTAGCGAAGTTTCACAGCAACAAAGCAGACTTTTTAACATGGATCCATCAGTTCATACCCGAGACGAAAAAACAATCAAAATAGTAAACTCAACAAGGGAGAACCTGCTCCAAAGAAGGCGAATACCGTTTCATCTGCAGGAAGGTGATGGCATCGGATTTTGGGGATGTGCCTAGGATAATTTCCAGTGACTATCTTGAAAAAGGTACAACTATCAAAGACAAGTATTATGCGAACTTATTACAACGTTTGAGGAAATAAATCAAGCAAAAATTGCCGCATTTGGCTGAGAAAATATTAAATCATCTAAAATAATAATTCGTTCAACCCCCTGCACTGTAGATTAATGGACTGACACCTATCAGAAAACAACTATTTCCCTGGCTAATACCACGAAGGGCCTAGGATTATATCCGAGAGGTGTCAGTGCAGGATTCTTCACTGAAGTTATTCCTGCATATGCTGTTGGCGATGCAACTGCCGCAATAGATTTTCAATTACCTCAAGGATCTGTATTGGGACCTTTATTGTTCAATATATTTGTAAATGATATAATCAGTCTAATGGAAAGAAACCACGATATAAAAATAGTGTGTTATGCAGATGATACCAATTTACAGATTTTTGAAAAAAGCATAGACATGCTACTGAGTAAAACAAAACAAAACAGTCACAGTATTTTTTTGGGCGCTCCAAAGATCACCTGTATTATTCAAAAATACAGAAAAACAAATAACTTGTAGTGATGAGGTGAAACTTTTGATCATAAATTAACGTTTGGTAGATATATTTCACAAAAAGTTTCAGAATCTCTTAGAGCTTATGGTTTCGTTGTTAGAAATTGTAGAAACTTTCATAATATTAAAGCCATGAAGCTATTGTATTTCACCTACGTACGTTCGAAGATAGAATATGCAAGTATCGTCTGGAGTCTATGAGATTCATAACATAGCCATTGAAAGAGTTCAAAGAAAGTTTTGTAAATTTCTAATTTTCAGAATAGATGATTCTTACCCTGAGAGAGGTATCAGTAATGATGTCATATATGTACGTTTGGAACTTTTTAGTTTAGAGCATCGCAGAAAATGTGCGACGCTCATATTTTTATTCAAGTTAGTGAATGAGAGAGTTGACTGTCCTAAAATTCTTGAACAAATTAACTTCAATGTACCACGGCCAGCGTCACGATCTCAATCCGTTTTTAGACCTCTCAGAGCAAGAACTAACATTATTGCTCAATTCCCCAATATATGTTATAGTCTAGTCATTATAGTAAGTTCACCTCGGAATTCGAGATACCCAGCTGTAAGTCTGTGAATACTTGTATATTGACACCCTAAAAGTTGTCTCAAAATCTACATATGGTAGGGTGTAAGCAACTATTAAATTTCAAGGTCAAAGGTCACAAAAATCGGTTTTTTGCGCTTTTTTTCGAAATATCTCATTTCCTATGGGTTTTCTGNATTTCAATAGCATTTGTGCCTATGGTGATTTATTCTTCACTAACCTTCATAATATTATTAGAATTGCTAACATGTACTTGAAGTAGGTAATTAGAATTATTTTTTTCTTTTTTGTTCATTTTATTTTTCGTTTATGGTTAAGTATTGTGAATAAAATTTTATATTGTCCTGTAAATGGGTAACTGTTGGACAATAAAGCTATTATTATTATTATTATTATGTTGTTTCATCAAGACAATGCAACAGCTCACAATGACCAAAATTCGCCAGATTTAGCTCCCTCGGATTATTTTCTGTTCCCAAACTTGAAAAGATGGCTCAGTGGTCAATGATTTTCAAACAATGAAGAACTGCTGTCGGCAGTTAATGTCTATTTTGAGGAGCAAGACAGTTTTTATTATAAAAACGGTTTCGAACTCATTGAACGTCACCGGAAAAAGTGTATAGAGCTGCAAGGAGATTATGTTGAAAAATACATCAAATTTTTTCCAAAATGTTTGTGTTTTTTTTGTTGGACCGGGTACTTCTGGGCCACCCTTGCATGAAGGAGACCATATTGATAGAAAAAAAATTGAAATGTTCGTTTCCTCTGTTAGGTGAGGTACTTCTGGAACCCCAATAAAAAACGCTACTTGTACATCTGCGAAAATGTTTGAATTGAACCAACTCACCCACCTTTCTTTTGTCTGCAAATTATATCTGAAGAAATCATTGGCGGCAAGTTTGATTGCTTTTTCTGGAGTAATAAGAAGTATATTCACAGCTGATCCTCGGTACATTCCTAAGAAACCTTCTGCCGTATAGGTCTTACGAAATGCATCCACCCTGAAGTAAAAAAAAAAGAATTTTCAGAATATTATATGGATCAATATTCAAATGAGTGTCTGAAATATTCAGAACATGCGTTCTGTTGAGTTTTCTTCGAACTGGCAAGTAGCAATAGCCCGAAAACCCTAAACATTCATATACTCACATGCTTTTGTACATTTTTTCGCCATTAGGTCCAATTTGTTGGTTTTGCAGTCTAGTTTTGACAAGATCCAAAGGGAAGACACATGTAACTCCGATGATACCAGCAATTCCTCCATTGACAATTTTTGGTACGAGGCTAAATAAGATTAAAGTAAAATTATCATTATCAAAAACACTTACAATTTGAAAATTGCACTTTTTCTGGTTGATATTGCTATAGCTTTTGAACTGCTATGCTGCTATGTAATAATAATTTTTTTATTACATTATATTGGGCGTTCCAAAGAAAACTTGACCCCCCTATAAGTCAGAAACGAAACTGTAATAAAACATTTCAAAGAGCACGACAATTTTTATTTCTAGGGGGACTAATTCTGATATGGAAATCATACACGAAATTTCACCCCTCTAAATTTGTATTAATTTATTTAATTAGTAGTAAACGTTTTGAAATGGACGACACTGTTAGTTTTTTCTGCACCGCACCGGTAGTTTTTGTTGAATCTAGTTGTCGCAGAACAAAAAGTAGATAGTTGGCCACCGTCACTTCTTCGCGAATTATTATTCAGTCCAAAATGGTTTATTCTACTGAAGAAAGAATAGAAATTGTTGCAACCTATTATCGATATAATGAGTGTGCCAAAGCTGCTGCAAGAATTTATAATACGAACCATCCAGACCACAACGTGAGCCATCAATACGTTAAATAGTTAATGGATAAGTTTCGAACTTCAGGTTCTCTTCACAACAGAAAACATGAAGTTTCCCGTCCTGTTAGAAATGACAGTTGAAGTTGCAGTTTCAAGACATGTACAAATGGATAATCGATAATCTATCAGACAAGTAACTACACTGTCTAGTGTATTAGCTACTAGTGTTTTTTGTATTTTGAAAGCCTACAAATTCCATCGTTTCAAAATAAGGCTAGTTCAGGAGTTAAACGAAGATCCTGATCGTCGACTTCAGTTTTGTGAGGTCTTCAGCGAGAAATTCACCAATAATCCAAACCTATTATACAATATGTACATGTTTTTCAGACGAAAGTTCTTTCATGTTGAATGGTGAAGTGAATAGATATAATTGTCGTTACTGTAGCGATGTGAATCCTCATTTGGTGATGGAAACTGCACAAACTGCACAAAAATTGAATGTCTGGGCCGGCATTCTTGGTAACCATATTGTTGGACCATTCTTCATTGAAGGTAATCTCAATGGAGACACATACTTAAATCTATTACAAGACTATGTAGATCCTATGATTATACAAATGTTAGAAAATGATGACAATTCAGTACAAAAAGGAATAACATTCCAGCAGGATGGTGCACCCCCACATTTTGATGTTCGGGTGAGACATTTTTTGGACGAACGTTTTTCAATGTGTTGGATAGGCAGAAGGAATCCAGCTAGATCACCTGATCTTACACCGATGGACTTTTTTCTATGGGGACACCTGAAGTCGAAAGTGTACTCTACTGAACCTACAAATCTAGAAGACCTGCGACAGAGAATTGTTCGGGAATGCCGATTGTGGATTTAGAACATCTTGAATAATGTACGGAACGCTTTCGAGAGTAGACTGTATTATTGTATGGAACTAGATGGAGGTCATTTTAAACACTTTATCCGTTGATTTTGTTTCCACTGATATTATTTGATTGATTGATTTTGTTGATTTCCCCATTCAAATGAACGATAGCGAATCTTCTGTTTTTTTCTTAAATAAAACGTTCAAAACGTTCAACATTTAATTTCTCAATAACGAATGAACCAACTTCGAAAAAAAATACAGAGATAATAGAGGGACAAAATACCTTTCAAATGATGTTTTACTCGACCCCCCACGTCCTTGAAAAAAATAGGCAGGGTAGCTGCTGACCGCAGGGGGGTGAAGTTTCGGGTATGATTTTCATATCAGAATTAGTCCCCCTTAGAAATAAAAATTGACGTGTTCTTTGAAATTTTCGATTACACGTCCGTTTCTGACTTACAGGGGGGTCAAGTTTTCGTTGGAAAGCCCTGTATAACATTTCCGTAGGATAGTCTTGTGGCTTATGGAAAATAACTTTAAGAATTCTCTTCTGTATCATTTCCAGCGGAGACAGGTGATTGGAATATGCTGCTCCCCATGCAATTATACCGTAATTAATGAGGTTTTGCACAAGGGCATAGTAAAGTGTTCTCATTTGTTGGATGTTGAGAATATTGTTGTAATACCTTATTCTGTATAGCACATACGGGAGTTTCTTTTACAGTGGCATTTATATGGTCCTTCCATTTCAAGTGTGGATCTACAATGATACCTAAGTATTTCACATCATCTGCTGTGGATATTTTTACTACTTCCTCATCACTCAAAGTAATGCTGTGGAATTTATACGTCGGAAGAAATTTGGGGTATGAAGTGAAGGGAATAAAAATGGTTTTGTCAAGACGACTACTGAACACTCAATTTGAAAATTGCACTTTTTCTAGATGACATTACTATCGATTTTGAACTGCTATGACAATTGTAACAATAATTTTTTATTACATTATATGAACACATTGAAAACCAAGTTGAACCGATCACCATGAATGATATTCATACTTATGATGCACTGTTTGCAACCTTTGGTGTAGTAATCAATATTACAGGATTTTTATCCCAACACTAAACCGTTATTTTAACACCTCGACACGTGTTTCGATCACCAAGTGATCATCTTCAAGAGAAAGATCAAAATCAACAGTTTGATCTTCCTCTTGAAGATGATCACTTGTTGATCGAAACACGTGTCGATGTGTTGAAATAACGGTTTGGTGTTGAGATATAACTCCAGTTATGTTCAAGGATATTGGTACATTTGTACCAACTGCGGATTTGGATACCTATAACGTTCTTTTATCAATCAAAGCCTATGGTGTCTCACAATTTTATCCCATAATGTATTCAATTTTTGTATCATTGATGATGTATTTCTTCAAATCTGGAAAAAATATTTATCACTCCTCTACCTAAAACATCCAATCCAACTGATTTTAAATATATTCGCCTAATAAGCATAATCTGCTCATTGACAAAGTATTCGAGAAATTAATATTTTCCCAGATTCAGTCTCGCCTAGATTCTGATAGTATTACTGCCAAGTGTCAGTTGGAATTTAGATCCCAACAGAGCTGTGTCGCCGCCTTTCTGAATATTACCAATGACATCTTTCGGGCGTTTCACAAAAACAGTTGACTTCTTCAGTAATGCTTGATTATACAAAAGCCTTTGACCGCATCAAACACACTTTATTTTTTTTTGGTGTCATCGGCATTGACTGCATTGGTCATTATCCTCGTATCCTGGGTAGGCAATGTTAATAACTCTCCGAGTCACCTAGAGAGCACCATGGCTATTCGCAGTCCATTGGCCATGTAACGTTACAGAATCATCCCAACTTGAACTAGACAAATTCTCTCGAGAAAAATATCTGGTCGAGGTTGGGATCGAACTCACGACCTTCCGATCGTGAGTCGGGCGCGCTACCACTGCGCCAATTCACTGCTACACACTTCATTACTTGCTATCCTACAATACATTGGCTTCACAGAGGATTCAGTAGGATTACTTCAGGCTTATTTGAAAAATCCAATGCAGGTCGTTCTGACGGAAGGGAATTGCTCTAACTTTCTGCATACGGAGAATGGAGTCCCACAGGGCTCCATTTTGGGACCGGTTCTATTCATCATCTATACACACGAGTTTAAAAATTGTATCAAGTTCAGTTGCTGTCCCCAATACGGAGATGATACCTAGATTTATATTTCATTTTTAGACAAAGGTCTCCCTTTAGCACACTTTCAAGCAAATTCAGATATCGAATCTATCGTTACAAGAAAAACGCCAATATTTTCATCGCGCTGTACCCTGTATCATAACTGATTGCTTGAAACTTCAAGTTCAGCTAACAAGCAGAGCACACGATGTTTCGCAAATATCTCACTTACCTACCATAGTCGTTTATTGAACTTGTAATTACATGTTTATCAATATATCAAAAAATATTATTTCAAATACTCACGAAAACTGGGCTTGCTTCTCGGCCATAGATGAATTCCAGAGGGCAGTGATGACTAGAAAATGAAAAACGAAAAAATGAGCTGTCTATGTTAACTGAAAACTGTTTCGGTTCGATAGTAATGTAAGTGAAAATGAATTATTTCCCGGAAAGTCGACCATCTAAAGAAAGGTAAGTGAATAAATTTCATCTTTTCAGTTCATTATTCAATTTTGAAGCAACATTTACGAATACAAGTTACTGACAGGTGTCAATACACACTGTCGGATATAATCCAACGCCCTTCGTGGTATTAGCCAGGGGAGTAGTTGTTTTCTGATAGGTGTCTGTCAATTAACCTACAGTGTAGGGAGTTGAGACTGGCCTGAACGAATTGTTTTTACAAAAGTTATTAAAGGTGGATACTTTTATCTGAAAAGCACTGTATATGAAAAGTTTTCTTTCTTTATACACGAGGAAATTTCGGATATGCGGTTGGTTACCCCGTTCACAGGCAGATGGGGTGATGACAAACCTATTGTTTGTTATTCGCTTCAGCCTAGTTTGAGGAATGATACTCTGAAGGAATTTGATTTTCAATTATCGGAAATCATTGACTTTATGTTTATGATAGACACTGCCTGGCACTGACGAGTGGCCAAAGAGTCCGAAACAGGTCTGCAAGTGTGTTACAATCATTGAAAATCTATTGCGGCAGTTATATCGCCAACAGCATGTGCAGGAATAACTTCAGTTAAGAATCCTGCACTGACACCTGCCGAAAATAATCCAACGCCCTTCGTGGTATTGGCCAGGGGAATAGTTATTTCCTGATAAGTGTCAATCCATTAACTTACATTGTAGGGAGTTGGGACTGGTTGTAAGTTTAGATGATTCGATTTATAGCCAGTCTTCAAGTATTCCCACTGACTGTATGTGAAAAATTGTTGTTTGAGTTTTGTTTTGGAAAATCTTCTCCGATCTGGAACAGAACTCTTTTTCTTTTCGAATGGTTTTGTAAAAACGCTTCACTAATGAAACAACTGAATGAGCTGTAAATTTTCAATACGATTTTATTCATTGTATTAGTTGGCCACGAGTATTTATTAATGAAAGATCAACCTTCGTCAACAATCACTGATCAATCAGAATTTATTGGATTACTTATCTTTTATTAACTATCAATTATCAATATTGAGATAATTCATCAGAAATAAAATATTGATCAAACAGTGTTTCAATGAAGCGAAAACTTATCATCATCTAGGAATGCCACCACGTAAATGCAGTACAGGTTTATTTTGATATACTTTTAGTTGAAATAACAAAAAACTTATAGGTGGATATGATTTTTATGGGACTGGAAATCACCTTATTATTCAAACTCACGAAATACAGCATTTGAAACAAAGATATTTAGAAAAATTTCAAACTCTATACAATTTGTGTTAGGAGTTCAATATTTATGTCAGAAAATTTTTAGCTAGCTATAATTTTTTGTAAAAAATATTGGATTTCATAAAAAAATTTGGACTTCACAAAAATGTTATGTTAATAGTCCCCCCTTTAAACTTTTGAACGAGGCGAGATATAAAACTCGGACAAAATTTGTATGAAAAGGATTAGTTAGTATTTCTTTATCATCAAGACAGCAACTGACTTTTATCAATTTTCTATTGAAAAATTTCGACTACCCGAAAGAAGGGCAATATACTCAAAACTTATTGGTTGTTCAAAAAGTTTCGTCCGTTTTAATGTCATGTGTTTTTGTAGCTCCATATCTCAATAATGAATATTTATTATGTGTCGATCAGTATGTATTCAGACAGAGAATTTTGTAGTCAATACATCGGTGCTGTTCATTTTTCCCTAATTTTAATTTTTTGATTTGATATGATTTTTAGAAATTGAACCATAGCACCCGAACAACCCGAAAAATTAACTAGGCTTTCGCCTAGTTAATTTTTCGGGTTGTTCTGTAGTTGGTACTGTAACCTACAGTAATCCAGAACGAGGACTTAAGGACCCCACTTCAGGATAATGTTATTATCTACCGAGGCTTTGGCTAAATCTTGGTGGCACTCTAGTACTAGCCCTGAGGTAACACGTTGTCTGTTCAAGGCTTATAGGGCTTGTCTACTCTATTAGTGTAGATGTTTTTGCCAGAAGTTCCTTTCCTGGTTATTTCTTTTACGGCGATTGAGATACCAGCCAGTTCTGTTTAACCACGTAATAAACGTACGTACTAAACGTATTGGAAACGTCAAAAAGCTTGAAAAATGGGTGCTCCATGATTTGAAAGATCGACATAAATTGCCACGTGTCGAGGTCTGTTCTTCTTTGCTTTTGCACAACCGAAACAAACTTTTTTTGGATCAGATAGTCACGTGTGATGAGTAGTGGATCCTCTGCGACAACAGGAGACATAGTGGTTGGACACCAATGAGCCATCCAGGCATTTACCCCAAGTGAAAACCTACCAAAAAATACCATAGTTACTGTGTCAGCGGCTTGGGTGATTCACTATAACATTCTGCAACCGGGCCAAACTATCACAGCATAGTCCGGCACTGGTCAACATAACTGATTGAGGTCCGATCCTGCTCCACGACAATCACCGTCCGAAAATCAAACAAATTGAGCGTCGAACTTGTGCCTCACCCACCATACTTCCCAGATCTCTCGCTGACCGACTTTTTGAGCACTTCGATAGTTTACTCGCCGGTAGAACCTTTGCTAATCAGGACCGTGCGAAAATATCCTTTGTCAACTTCATCGAATCCCGAGCAAACAATTTTTATGCTGATGGGATCTATCGACTTGAGTTACGTGGTTAAAAGTGCAGTAATTCAAATAGCGCTCATTTCAATTGAACTGAATATGTATAAAACATTTATAGAACAGTTTGAAATAGACTCAAAAAACGGATAAAAAATTATAGTTTTCAATGAAGTGAATTTTCAAGCATAATAGCATAGGTACAATGAATATCTAACAATATTCTGTAAGAATTCAGTAAACTGAAAAATAATTATTGGAAACTTTGATTTAAAATCGTGGAGGTGGCAATTGTCACTCCAAGTCGAGATTTTCCAATTAAAATGAACTAGATTCAGTTGTTGGTATTCTGAAAAAATTTGGTGATGCTAGAACATTATTTTCTCCTTAGGCAGTCACAATTTTTCATTTCAAATCGTACAAATCGCTTCAAGCAGGTTGAAATTTTTCGGTGAAAAAAACTGGGGTATCAGATTATGAGATAATGGTGCTTTGCAATATGAAAATCATGTTCTGTTCAATAATAAAAACTCGTAAAATGACTCCTAAGGACCTTCATTCAGTTGCCACTCCTACTTTTTATAAAGAATGCTTGATTTTCTCAAAATTATATTTGAAAGAAGGTTGAATTGATTAATATACATGTGAGTTTCTGCAAGCGCAGATTTTAATATGTTATGACTGAATACTGTGTGTTGTTTTATTTTTGAGGCAAAGTTGAGTAAAATTGACGAAATTTGGCAACAAATTTTGCGTTTTTTAGACTTTGACATCTCGTGATATATAGGTATTGCCAACAAATAATAACAAAAATTGTAGTGAAGTGAAGATATCATTTGGGACATCATTTCAAAAAAGGATTCATACAGATATTCTTTATTGGGTGAAACCATTTGAGATAGGTAAATAAAGGCTCGCTACTGATGAGAATGTGCTATTTGACGTGTTTTCAATAACAAAATTAAGTTGCTAGATGATTTTCAAAAATTTTGACATTTTGACTTTTGGATGGCTGTATCTCCGAAAGGAGACAGGAGCGCCAGATTCGTGATCACCTGACATAAATGCGTAAGTCCATGTGGCTGAAGTTAGCTTTAGATTTAAATCCGATTCCTTCAATTTCACAATTGACGAGATGAATAATGCTCATAATGATAGTTTCTCGAAATATGTCTACTTCACAATGAATTTTGCATGAAGAAATGCATGATAATATCACGCATATTGGGATTCATATCAAAGATTACCCTAAAAAGGCGAGTCACTACCCTTAATAGAAATACCTTCAAAAAAGAGTTTGGCAAACAATGGTCGAGATATACTTGGATTTAAAACACAAAATAATGCAAAATGACAGCTTTAGTGGAAATTGAGAGGTGACCAGGCTACTTGAACCTAGAAAGGGTAATCTCACCCCTATTTCTACAAATAATTACAATGTCTACTGGTAATTGATATCTATCTACCACAAACATGACGAGACTGGTAGAAATTTTATATGTCAAATAATGAAAAATGTTCCTCTGTATAGAATGCACATGTTGATTTATTATAGTTGATAGACTGATTTTGTGTTAGATAGATATCAATTACCAGTAGACATTGTAATTACTTGTAGAAATAGGGGTGAGATCACCCTTTCTAGGTTCAAGCAGCCTGGTTACCTCTTAATTCTCACTAAAGCTGTCATTTTGCATTATTTTGTGTTTTAAATTCAAGTACCTATATCTCGACAATTGTTTGCCAAACTCTTTTTTGAAGGTATTTCTATTAAGGGTGGTGACTCGCCTTTTTAGGGTAATATTTGATATGAATCCCAATATGCATTACATAATCATGCATTTCTACATCTAAAATTTATTGTGAAGTAGACATATTTCGAGAAACTATCATTATAAGCATTGCTCATCTGGTCAACTGTAAAATTGAAGGAATCGGATTTAAATCTAAAGCTAACTTCAGCCACATGTAAGTCCGATACTTCTTTTTAAAGAAAAAATTGGAGGTTATCCGAATGATCACCCCAAAATCTAGTGCAATTAAAGTTATTGATAAAAATACCATATGATGCAGACTTTTAACTGTCACGCTGTATGTTGAACTTATTGAAAAAGAGGAATGAACTTGAACATTTTATGAAACCATTTAATTAATATAGTGGATTAAAAATATATTTGAAATCGATGAAAGGTTTCACTTCTCTCTCTCATAACCTAAAAACCAGTTTCTGTTGATAGGTAAGATTCTGTAGTTTTTAAAATCAATTTTATGTATACACTACACTCGGTTTACATAAGATATAAATACCTGTTATATTAGCGGTTCCAAAATAAAAAAATATTAATGCTTGACATGCAAATTACCGAAATAACCTAGTAAAGTACATTGAAGGTCGAAAATTATGGTTTTATACTTTGTTGTTACATTCCATATTGTACTAAATGTATATAATTTGATTAATTATCTTAGTTGAATTAATGTCTTTATCGAATAATTGTAACAATGAACAAAATTAAAATTTTCCACAGGAATAAATGTAAAATGTTTATTGATTGGTATCACATGACAGAAAAAGCTACACTATTGACTCACATACCTCAATTGATTTATTGGCGACGAAATGTGTCACTTAGTAACGTGTTTTTTTATAAGTCACTTGTTTTATTAATATTTTGGATCGAATTCAATTAATACCGACACACATTCACACAGTCCCCCACTATTATCAAAATATTATCTGACGTTTTGGTCTGATATTCAATAAAAGTACGGAACGTAGCTCCAGCTATTAGGAATGACTCTCATTAGCGTTGAAGTTATCTACTATTGAACTTTCAATGCAGTTTAGCTTTTGATAGCAAGATGGCACTGGAAGTTTTCTCATGAATGCAGCATTTTGACAACTTTTAAATTTAATAACACCATGAAGTGTGAAGGAAAGGTTTTCGTATTCTACTTCTCCACGTAGTAGAAAGCAATAACTTCTAAAATAAACTCTTTTCAAAAATGTGTAGATCATTCATACATGGATATGATAGTAAACAACAGTTGTTTTGTTATTTATTTATATAGACGAAGATAGGTTAGGTGCACAAAATGTCATATGTCACAGAATGTCTCGGAACTCGGAACATTAGTCAACAGAACAGCACGCCTCTGAAATATGTCATCTATGTTTGTCTCATACAGGTAACAGATTTATTGTCCTTCATTAGATATAATCGATGTTTTTAAAGTATTTAAATAATTTTTTAAAGAAAAAGGTTGAAATGATAAGTTTAAAATGCGAAGTTTTAGAGCTCTTTTATGAAAACTATTTGATTTTCGTCAGGAGGAACATTCCCCATTGGTTCATTCGTTATTGAGAAATTGAATGTTAAACATTTTATTTAAGAACAAAACAGAAAATTCGCTGTCGCTCACTCAACGAAAGTGATATCAGTGGCAACACAGTCAAGGGATAAAGTGTTCAAAATAACCTCCATCTAGTTCCATAAAATAATACAGTCTACTTTCGAAAGCGTTCCGTACATTATTCAAGATATCCTGAGTCAGCAATCGGCATCCTCGAACAATTCTCTGTCGCAGGTCTTCTAGATTTGTACGAATTTATTTAACCCTTTATAGGGCAACTTTATTTTTCAAAGAAAAATTGATTATTTTGGGCAAGTTATATTGAAACATAACAAAGTGAAGGATTCTAGCAATTTTTTTATAAGTCACTTGTTTTATTAATATTTTGGATCGAATTCAATTAATACCGACACACATTCACACAGTCCCCCACTACTATCAAAATATTATCTGACGTTTTGGTCTGATATTCAATAAAAGTACGGAACGTTGCTCCAGCTGTTAGGAATGACTCTCATTAGCGTTGAAGTTATCTACTATTGAACTTTCAATGCAGTTTAGCTTTTGATAGCAAGATGGCACTGGAAGTTCTCTCATGAATGCAGCATTTTGACAACTTTTAAATTTAATAACACCATAAAGTGTGAAGGAAAGGTTTTCGCTTTCTACTTCTCCACGTAGTAGAAAGCAATAACTTCTAAAATAAACTCTTTTCAAAAATGTGTAGATCATTCATACATGGATATGATAGAAAGTGGAAGAAAACCCCCGTGTTAGGAATCACACGTTAAAAGGTAAGACCTCGTTAGTCCTCAGCTCACACAAGTTGTCGTTCGTTTAGGGGAACAGCTGATTAACGGAAAAACAGATTTTAAACAGATATTTTTTCAAAATAACTACTTTTATATTAACAATTCATTTATGAATGAATTGGGTGATGTTTTCCAGATTAGTGCTGAAGAGGCAAAAATGCAAATGTCTTATTCCGAAACATCGGATGTCCGTTGAGGAGAACAGTGTTCCATGTAAGTAAAATTTTACCGCTTTCATATACTTTATTGTGTAGCAATCTTGTGAATGATATCTGATTCTATTCCATAATGAATTTTTGGAGTATAAACTGAATAGGATAACGGTGTTTTTTGTATAATTCGATGTTCGTATAAACGTATAGTTGTTTCCAAAATAATTTTTCTTTCGTGTAATTCAAAGTTTATGAAGTTGTTTCGAGAAGGTTTTTTCTACCAGTTTGTGTCTGAAAGTTACTGGTATTCAAAATTATTATAAAAACAGCGATTAAAATTCACACATTGGTGGCTATCAAGATGAACAATGTTACATGTAGTTCGCCATATAGACACCAGGTGGGGTAAATTTTAAAGTTACCATATGATAAGTGACAGAAAGCAATATTAAGTAAGCTGTAAAAAGATTATGTGATTCATCTACTGAACTAGGTGAAAAAATATATCATTTGCTAGATGCTACTTTAAACAGGTGAATGTTTGGAATTCTGGAAGGTGACTGACCACATTGTTGTTTTTCATTTCAATTTTTGTGTAATAATATTAAGTTGTTTCAAAAGTTTTGCCCGTTTTTATGAGTCTAAACTGTAATATATCAGAGAATACTTATTCAATTTAATCGAAATGAGCGCCATTTGAATCAGTGGACTTTTGCCAACGTTACACGATTCGATCAATTCCTTCAGCATGAAAATTGTGCTTTGTGCTTGGGATTCGATAAAGTCGAAGAAGGCCGTTTTTGCCTGGTCCCAATTGGCGAAGGTTCTACCGGTGAGAAAGATGGAGGAGTATGGTAGGTGAGGCAGAACTTCGATGCTCAATTCGTTTAATTTTCGGACGGTGATTTGTGAAAAGTGCGGACGGAAGTTCTTGTGGAGCAGGATCGGCCTACTACATTTCGTCAATTTTCTTACAAAATATGACTCTGCTGTGATGGTTTGGCCGGGCTGCAGAAAGTTTCAGTGAAGCACGGAACACCATACAGTAACAATGGTCTTTTTCGGTGGGTTTTTCTTCTCTGGAAAGTATGTAAGTGGTTCATCTGTATCCAATCACTGTCCTGAACATCTCCTGTTGTAGAGGATCCAGTTTTCATCACACGCGATGATATGATTTCAAAAAAAGATCGTTTTTATTGCGCAAAAGCAAAGAAGAACAAACCTCAGAACTTGATGAATTCTGTCGATCGTTCAAATCGTGGGGTTAGGTTAGGTTAGGTCCAAAGTGAGTGGGTCTATTGGACCCTCCACCGCAACTCGCAAGGGTTTATTGTGGCTCATCTATTCACACTCTTTCAGGTCAGATGGTAAGAGTAGAGGAACTGCAGCAAATTTGGAATACTGGTTTGTTTTTTGAAAATAAGTAGAGAAGAAAATGGTTTAGCCCAATAAAAAATACATCAAATGGTTAGAACATTATCAAACTTCTATAATAGAAAGAATAAAACAAAACAAAAATTAAGAACATTATCAAAATTTTAATCCACCTAAAAAACTCCAAAAGCTTCATTTGACTTATGGTGCAGATAATTTGGAATATATCATTCCAAATTACGATCACCTTTTTTTCTTTGACTTTTCCTTTTTCACACTTTTCCTTACTATCTAATAAAGTTCTTATTTTTGTAACAGTTTTATAGTTTTCAGTTCTCTTAGTAATAATTTTCATAACAAAATAGCTTACACTAATATAATCATTAAGTAATAATCAGTCGCAATAATCACAGATGGAGTATCCCAAATTATATTCACTTTCGGTATTCCAAATTAACAATATGATATCCTAACCTAAAATTTCATATCACATTTTTAATTTCAGGAATATTGACAAAATAAAAGTGAAACCATTAACTAAAAAGGTCGCCGTATCAGTTTCAATAATTACAATAAAGATTTTATGTATCATAGTAAATGATTATCAATGATTGCTTTCTTACCGAAAAAAGTTTGAAATTTGACGTTCCGAGGCTGGCAGCCGGAATGTCAAGATGGCGGTCGGTTTTTAGAGCTCATTAGCTCCGTATGGCGTGTGACAATAAGTTTACAAGAAGAAAACACAGATGGCACTTATATTAATTAGGTATCCACGGTATTCCAACTTATCTGCAGTATTCCAAATTTGCTGCAATTCCTCTATGGCTGTGCCGAACTCTAAAAACCTGATTCGATCCCTAACTGGGCAGGCACAAAGTATATGCTCTGCTGTTCCATCGTTAATGAGGTAGTCGGATAGTCAAGGTGCAAGATTCCCACCTTGATACCTGCGACAACTTTCCCATATGAGGGTTTTTGCACGTCAGATACACCAAGCTTTCTCGCCTCTGGTTTTGGTGAATCATCATTTAAGCGCAAACGTTTGCTAACCTGCTCATGGGGGGTTTGTTCCTCCACCTGAGACAGATTCTGCGTACGCCGCTCAAGAATTTGGTGCAAGGCGGTTTCATAAGGTACCCCGCTCTTGAGGAGACGACTTAGTCGTTTTCTGGCTGCACCACCAAACCTTTTTTTTGGTTCAGTTATTGGATCAGGAGTTGGAGAGTTGAGAAGCTCTTGCTCCTGATCTAAATTTACAGGGAGATCAGTTGGAGTCGTAAACTCGATATCTATCTACCCTGCAGACTCAGCGTCAAAAATAATTTTTAAGTTTACTCTGTCCATAAAAGTCCCACGAGTAGCTAGGGAAAGAAGGTCAATCACGACAGAGACCCGGATTACCGTGACAAGGCGATGCTACGACGAGAGGGCGCCCGGTATCTCAAAGGTTCTGTAGAGACTGCTGATAGGCTCAGTGTCATTCATCCTCTTGGCACAGATACACACACCTTAGGATCAAGCCGTTGGGATGCCGTTCAGTTATAGAATAACGGAACCACAAGTGATTCTGTCATTGCCGTATCCAGCGGGGCTACGTGGAAGCAGGCATCCGATGGCCGGTTTGCTCAACCCCCACATCCCAAGCAAATGCACTCGCCAAAAACAAGGACAGCCAACCCGCTGTGGGGTACTTACCTTTCGAACTTTTTGACCTTTCCAATATCTTCTAAACCACGAAAAACCGCATGGGAGCTGACGCCCACTTGTTCCTCTATGCACGCACCGTTTGTGATGGGTTATTCTCCACCACGGTCCTCAAATCGTCGTCCTGGATAACTGTAGCAAGACCACTTTGAGGCTCATCTTCGATGCTAAACTCTCCGTGACGATATTTCGTAAACCAACGTTGAACAGTGCGTTCATTAACACTATCATTGCCAAATATCTGGTCCATTTTTTGGGTTGTTTTGGCTGCGCTTTGGTTCAATTTGAATTCGTACAAAAAAATTGGCCGCTTAACGACATCCTATATGAATTGAAAAGGTTATATTTTTAGAAGTGAATAATTTTTGGGAAAGAAAGTTTTTGACTTTCTACTATAATCAATTTGAAAATAAGTAACTCTATACATGGATGTGTAGATCATGCAAAGAAGTATGTTTCAGACACCAACTGGAAGAAAGCCCTCCTTCCTTTCTTTGGAAGATTCCCACATTTTTTGTATCAAGATAGAGTAGTAGAAAGCCAAAAACTTTCTTTCCCAAAAATCAATCACTTCTAAAAATATAACCCCTTCAATTCGAATAAGATTCCTCTTGGCTGGGACTGAAGAGCCTTGGGGCAAGTGTCTTACGGCGAAACATCGATGTCTACCAGTGAGGATGACAGTGTTCAATGTAAGTGCAATTTCTTACCATTCATTTAGAGTAGAACTCCTGTGAATTATATCTGATTTTATTCCATAACGAATGTTTGGAATACAAACTGAGTAGAGAAAAGTATCTTCTGTAAATTCAGTGTTCATATAAAAGTATTTGTTTCGAAAACATTTTTTTCCGTCGTGTAATTCAATGTTTATATGAAAGTAGCTGTTTCAGCAGGGATTTCTTCCAGTTTGTGTCTGAAAGATATTTCTTTGTATGATTTACACATTCATGTATAAAGTTACTTATTTTCAAATTGATAACTTCTTTCCTTTCTTTGGAAGATTCCCACATTTTTTGTATCAAGATGGAGTAGTAGAAAGCCAAAAACTTTCTTTCCCAAAAAAGGTATCATACAGTAATGAGCTGAAAATGGACAAAAAATTAACTTTCGAAACAATTTAATACGTGATGAATTGAGCAAACAAAATCCGGGATAGTAGGTCGTAGTCGTGAAACGTTTCGTCTGCTACTGCGACAGAAATCATCAGTGGTATACCTCAGCAACGACTTGATCAGCGACGGCTGACGAGTCAGTCAGCAACAACTCACTGACTCGTCAGTTGTTGAGACTTGAAAGAGATATAAGTGTAACATATACCGTAGATAACTGGTCTTCAGTACACTGTATGTTGTCCTGTATGAAAAAAGTGCGTGTTTGAAAGACCCCAATATCCACTTAGATGTTAATAAATATTATATCAGGAATGTGAGAACACATACACGTGGATTTATTTAAAAAGTGATATGAAGTTGCTGTTAACATTCTGAAATTGATACCGAAGTTCGGTTGAAAGTTATTTTTCCCGATAGCGTTAATAATGAATATCATTTCTGAATAACCCAGTTAAAGCTGCTTCTGCAGGTGTTCTGTGCAAGTGTTTCAAATTGAGTAGGTATAAAACTTTTATGAAAAATTCTTGGGGTATTTCTACCAATACAGGCCGCGTTTATTAACTCTTCAATAATTTAGACTCAATTTCAAAAATAACTATTCAATATACACAGAATGGCACTTTCCAATAGATCTAGGGCTCTACACCCCATTATTAGTACCCGTTGAAGAACAGTAACGTTCTTAATAATGCAGAATTTCATAACCTCGTTTCTTCGAAGTCGGGATAAAAACACTGGCATCGAGCTGGCGTTTCAGTGTCGTGGCTTGTATTAAAGCTACGACGGTATATATCTACCTACTCAAATATGATAATAACCGAGAAACGATTCTAGGTCTTCTTTCAATTTGATTCGTTCAAATAAATCAATAACTCATTTTTATTGGATTATCTCGTTGATTCATTTGATATCAAATTATCAGAGGATCTTTTTGTTAATTTGTTTTTTGAAATACCACTATTATGTTCTTTCGAAAAATGATCCACTGAAGTAAATCGTTTCGGTCTATGATTTTTTTCAGATGCTTCAGTTCCATAATATATCTATCAAAAACTATTTTGGCGTTGAACTACTGAAGATAAAATCTTTAGCATCATAAATAGCATAAAATTAGAATCATATGGGTTAGATGAAATCAATATAACTATTATAAAAATTTGTTGTCCTTTTATTATAACGGTACTAACTCACAAAGTCGGAAATGTGCAGAAATTATACCCCTACCAAAAAATATTCAACCACAAAATTTTAATGATTTGAGGTCAATAAGTATTCTCCCGACATGTTCCAAAATTATAAAGAAAGTAATGGAAAATCAAATGCGCCATTTCATTATTCGTTACAATATTTTGTCACATAAACAGTCAGGTTTTAGAAAAGGTTATATTTGTGCAACATCATTATTAGAGATCGTAGATGACATAATTGAAGCTAGAGATAAAAATGAAGCCACTATTTTGATTCTGTTTGATTATTCAAAAGTATTTGACACCATCAATCATAAAATACTTTGCGTTATGTTACATTTTTTTGGGTTCAGTGATGCATCAATGATGTTGATATCATCTTATCTAGATAATAGATTACAAAAAGTACAGATTCACGATATTTCTTCTACTTGGAGAGAAGTTAAAACAGGAGTACCCCAAGGCAGCATTTTAGGCCCATTTTTCTATACCCTCTATACTGCTACATTTATCAATAAGATGAAGTCTTGTAAATATCACCTTTATGAAGATGGCTCTTAAATATATTTATCTTTCAAATCTTCAGATATCGTTCAAGCAGTAACTGATATAAATTTTGATTTAAATACGATTCTAAAAGTGTCCACTGACCATATGTTGAAAATCGATCCAAACAAATCAGTAGCTATTATTTTTGGAAGTGATAGCATCAGGGAAGAAGAAAAAAACTACAGCTTGAAAATGGGAAACTCTGACATACAATTCAGACCGTATTCAAAAAATTTGGGGTTGAATTCAGATCATAAACTAGGATTTCATCAACACATAACCTAAAAACTTAAAATTACTTATTCATCATTGAAACCATAGACAATATTTGGATGTAGATGTCTAGAAAATGCTATGTGATTCATTAGTTTTATCTCATTTTAACCACTGTGACGCTGTTTATCATTCATGTTTAGACAAGAACGACAGGTGTCGCATACAAAAAGTTCGAAACTTTTGTATCAGGTTAATATTTGGTATCAGAAGAAGATCCAGAATTTCACACAAATTACATGGACAATCCTATATATGAAAAATGTAGCCATATTTGGAGATCACTGTTTTCTTAGGACCAGAGCGACCTTGCAAGCAAATAACGGCAAAATAATAAAAACATTGAACCTCAACTACACAAACATGTTTATGAGAAAATATTTACCGTCACAGATTAACGATTTTTCTCTATTTATATTTGATATCAGTGAAATATCTCAAGTGTCTGCTGATTTTCACTATCCCCCATGAAACCCCACCGTTAATGAAATTGTATGTGCTCGTTGACGATTTTTGCAACATTTGATAACAATTTATGAATTTTTAATGGTTCCCAACATCGTACCCAAAAGATAACATTAATCTCCTAACCTTCGAAATACCAAACTAACGATTTGGAAGTAAAGTTGCCTTAATTGTTGTTATTCTCGGGCTGGACTGCAATCGGTCTAGTTTACCACTGCAAATGGCTAATACCAAAATATAACCTGAAATATATTTCAATTGAATAATCCAGAATAAGTGGCAATTAAATCTAGTGTAAAACGCCGACATCCGCAATACCAAGACCTGCTTTTATAATAGCGGCTCCAATAAAATAAACCATCGTAGTTATTGTTGAAAATTGTTTAGTGCAGTTGGTAATATTAGTAAGTTATGTTCAGTTTGAGCAAAGTCAGAAACACACTACGGAAAAGTTTGAAGAAGATTGCTGTTTTTTCGACGGATAGATTCTCAAACTATATATTTCAAATCACATACAAGAATTGCTAGGATTGGAGACAGGTAATTTGAAATCGTTTTTGACCTATTTTAAAAAAATACCTTTGGAAGGTATCTTTTTGAAAAAATACCTCATAATTGTACTATCATGAGTGAAAAATTGAAATATATCTGTGAAATAATTATAACAGAAAAGAAAGAGCGACACATGCTTCGATATCTCCTCTATTGAGCGAAAGTAATTTTTTTGTGTAGAAAAAACAGTTTTTTTCGACCTCAGAGAAAAATGTTCGATTTATCAGAAACTTGTATTTGATAATTTTGCCTATCAGAAAAAGAGCTTAGAAATCATACACTACAAGTTTTATATTTTTCAAATTGTGAAAGATAAAAATATCCAAAGAAAGTCGTCATGCAATATCTCATCTATTTTTCATCATCATTATTTATCTAGTCATTTTTGAAAATGAATTACTTCATATATTAGTTCTCAATCTGAACTTCCAGTAATACCGAACACCAAAAGACAATTTTTGGAGATTATTTCAATTGAATTATCATTCATTTTCAGTACAATATCTCTGAAAAAATATTCATGAGGAAATTGGAAAAAAAAGAAACATTTTCTCGAACTCTCATGAAGGGAGTCGATCCTGATTTTTTTTTATTTGGTTAGTGTTTAACTTTGAAATATAACGTGCCTTCTAACAGGGACTTCCAAACTTCAACAATTGATAACGGTCATCTTGTTAAAGTTACATCTTTCAAATACGTTGTCATTTATTCAGTCTGTTTTGCCAAATCACCATGAACAGATAAATCATTCAACAACACGTTTATTTAACAAATTCAAATAAAATACAGAACTACAATATTTACAATAAAGAGAAAAGTACAGAAATACAATATAAACAAATGAAGAATATGGAAAAATAAACGAAGGAAACCTCAAAAAAGATTGATAAAGCTTGTCTTTGAGGTGTTTTAGCTTTACATTTGGAGTAATTTCAGACGTTGTTAATTTTTGTCCGTATTCACACATATACAGGGTGTAACTGAATAAGTGTAAAACATTCAAGGAGGTGATTCCTCATCAAAAAAAAAGATAGGATCTTTCATATAAAGAAACTTCATTGGAGCATCCCTTGTTAAGATACAGCCCCTTAAAGGAAGGGGGTACATAAAATTTGTATAACAATTTTTTTCACAAGCACTGAAAAAGTTACAGTATATATTGAAATTACCCTGACGTTTTGTACTACCAAAACGACACTTAGCCAGTAATTTATTTGGTTTACCTCATGGTTGTAAGGGGTGGAAAACGCAACCCCTAAAATTTATTTCCAATGTAACTTTTTGTCTTATTTTTTGTTTACCATTTGAAAATTCATTTCCGATAGCCTGTTTCATTGTAAACAAAAAATGTATCTTAGGTTTATTGCCCAAAACAAACCAGTTCGCAGCAAAAAATTATTTTAGGAACAAATACAGAGATACATCGTCATAAATGCGAACTGGATTTATTGTTATTTTGTAGTTAGTACCTGCATTAAACGATGTAATAAACGAAACTAATTTATCAATAACAAAACACACAACGTGTAGAAATCATAGTAAATGTTCAATATGTCTACCTTCAGACATTACGCATGCGTCTAGACGACGGCGCATTGAGCCACGAACAGGAGTACGATAAACCAAATGCTGTAAATGGCCCCAAATAGAGAAATCGAGAGGATTGAGATCCGGGGATCAAGCGGGCCAGTTCTGTGGTCCTCCTCGACCTATACACTGATTTGCATATGTTTCAGTTGAATGCTGACGTGCTACTTGATTAAAATAGGCGGGAGCCCCATCATGCATGAAAAACATACTCTTCTGACGCTCAAAGGAACTTCCTCCAGCAGTACTGGATGCATTTCTCTTTAAAATTGAACGTATGCCTCTCTATTTAATCGAGGAGGTAGAAAATGAGGCCCAATTAAATCATCCCCAATAACTGAATTCGGCCACTTACGAGGAAAATTTGGAACTATTTTGATTGGCAAGCAATTCAATTTTCTGCCTCTGTCTCTGATTCTTTTTTTTACTTCACTTTTCTGTCTCTGTCTCTGATTTTTTTTAATTCACTTTTGGTGTGAGCTTCGCAAATCACCATTACTTCTGAATACACTCCTCTTTCGACTATAGTACTCATCGAATATTCAAGTAGCCAAAAACCTTAGAACAATCTCATCACTTTCTGTACCGGTACTTACATTAACTGAAATCCCTTTCATTTGACCAAAATCAACAGGACACCGAACTATTTTTTTCAGAATTCACCATGGCCGATAGTCTTGCTGACGGGTTATCCAGTACCTACGAGAAGAGCCTCATGGGAGTGTCTGAAATGGGGGAATCGATGCAACGTTTCGGCTGGGTGGATTACATCATGTTCATTTTCATGTTGGGCATATGCGTTTTTGTTGGACTGTATTTCGGAATTTGCAAGAAATCGCAGACTTCGCAAGATTATTTAGTTGCTAGCCGATCCATGGGTGTGATTCCAATCGCTATGTCATTATTGGCGAGGTAAGGAAGAAGTATGTTTCTGAAGTCATGTCGCTTGTTGAAAATAATGGAATTTTTGGAAAATTTCTTGATAAAATAGGGCACTAGTTGTAGATTTCATGTTGCCTATATACATGTATTGAAATTTATAACAATATTCTTCCGTTACTGAAATAATACAGGATGAATAAGTACCAAATTGCACTGACAAATTATTATATCAGTAGGTTTTCTATACGCTAGATGGATTTTTAAGAAGCTGGGTACAATCTGATAACTAATCGATATCCATCATTTTCTCAAAAAACTAGTAGAAGCTGGTCATTTTTTCTCTGAGTTCGATGCATGGTCACAGTTTGATTTGGAACATTGTCATTTTGATTATTAATAATAATAATGGCTTTTATTGATGCTTCCATACAATTACAACTGATCAAATGCCAGGATTCAATACCTGTAGAGATTGCTCTTCCATCCAACCGTAACAACAAAAGAAAATATGTTAAGATAGTGTATGTCAGTTCTTAATGATATTTTTTTGAAAAAATAAGAGAATTTGTCTTGTTTAAAGGAGTTTTTGAAAAAATGTTGCAGGATGTAATAATGTTCGCCTGGATTCCATATTCAACCAACCCATATCCCCAAACAGATATGAAATATGTTCTCGATTTTTCGTACCTGTAACGAGCCTGATTCTGGAGATTTTAGATTCTAAAACTGTCACTTTTCTAAATTCCTGGACCATACACCACGTCTACGTAGTTGGCATGTGAATGAACTAAAACATCGCAGAGTATAATTTAACTTTTTTTATTCAGAAATGCTCTGTTGGCATATATCATTTTCAATATTCAAATTTGAATAACCCCATTTGTATGAAATATTTTTGGATAGTGCTCAAAAACATAGAATTTGAATGGATTACAACAATTAGCTCTTCCCTTTCATCAAAGTCAAAGTCAAAATATGCTTTATTTTTGATCATGCCATAAACTATCATTCATTTATAATAAGTAATTAACAATTTTTTATTGCAGTTGGGTCAGTGGTATTTCTCTTTTGGGTATCCCAACCGAGGTCTACGTATATGGAGTTCAGTATGCTTATATCCTTGGGGGATTTTTCCTTGCCACACTTTTGATGAAATCAGTTTATTTGCCAGTATTCCAGGGACTTGCACTGACGTCGACCTATGAGGTTTGATATATTATTTTCTCCATAAATGGATTTGAAAACATAAATTCACATTTGTAGACTACTTAAAATCATTTTCAGCTATTGATATCATTCTCAATTGCCCTTGTTTCATGAAGATTTGGTTTATTGCTAATTTGAAGTATTGATTATGGTTTATTAGCTCACCTATATAACAGTTATATTTTTTTGATTGATTCGGCCGTTACTTGATGAAGATCCATAGTAATTTCATAAACTGCACCTCACGATTCAACTCCACAAACTTTATTTGAATTTAAATCACTTTGTAGAAGCTATTGTGTTAGCGAAACATATCATGATATATTTTTCAAATAAAGTTTGTGGAGATCAAATCGTGAGGTGTAGTTTATGAAATAACAGTTATAATAATAACCATTATCTTCTGAAGATACCAACTTGCTTGGTGAAACTTTATTCGACAATTGAAAGGAACGAATGTGCACCATTCGAAAAAGTGAGAGAAAACAATTTTTTCTGGGGGATAAACAGTGAATATTGTGATAAAAGAAATGAATCTAGCACATATAATAGTAGATGAACAAGGCGGTTTCTATTACACCGGAAATTCAACTAACAGAAGCAAGGTATAACGATCGAAAACGGTCGAAAACACATGAAAAACGATCGGAAACACACGAAAAATGATCGAAGATGCACGCATAACGATCGAAGATGCACGCAAAACGATCGAAGACGCACGCGTTCGCGTTTGTTTCGACTGTTTATCGTGCGTTTTCGAACGTTTTGCGTTCGAAGTCGGCGGTTGCCGACTGCATTCCTTTTGCGGTGATGTCATGTGTTTGTTCGCTGGCCGACATATCGGTCAGGGGCGGCTCCAGTTCTTCCATCTATTCAAATCAATTCATATATATCAACTGTTCAAAAAATGAGGTGAATCTTCAAATTTCGCGGCCTACGTACCTTCGATTAGCGATTTTTTTATGTTGGTACACTCGTCCCGAATATATGTTTACAGTTTCAGCTGCTCAGTATGTTTAGTTTGTTGGTGAGAGGCATAAAAATTAGAAGTGTTTTGCGTTTCCGGCGATTATCTGCTATCGAATGAAATTGATCAGAAAACTTGTATCAAATTTTGTGTGAGTAATGGAATTAGTTACTCAAAAACACTTAAAACACGTTGACAGTTAACGCACTGTGATTGTACTCTAAAATTATTTTAGTTCTTTCTTAAATTTGTTGTAGTTTTTCGTGTTTCGACAAAAAAGGTGGACAATTGAAAAACTATGATCCAGCATATGAACCACCGTATCCACCAGATTTGGCCCCTACGACTTTTTCCTGTTCTCAAGGTTGAAGAGACCCATCAAAGGACGGCGTTTCATCAGAAAAACTGCTTCGAGGATTGGAAAAAAAAGCTAGCACAAGTATATTTTATCTGAGGGGGTCTCCTTTGGAGGGAAAAAATTATAAATTGATGAATGAATAACTGTTTTTGAGGAGAAATGAAACCTCACCTTATTTCTTGAACAGACAGCATTTGTTTTATAGGGTTCAGTTTGTAAATTGTCTACACTTAACTATCACTGAAATCCTCACATTGAAGTGTGTTTTTTGTATGCGATATATAATTTTCATTAGATCATTCGAGAATCACAAAAGTTCTGTGATTTCCAAAGTTTCTAGTCATACCAATATTCGAATATATTTGCAGTACCACGAAAGAAGATTCGACAAGAAAGTGAGATTATTCGGATCCCTGTTGTTCACAATCAAAATGCTTTCCTGGTTACCATTGGTCATATATGTTCCGGCTCTGGCTTTCAACCAAGGTATACATATATTTTCCTATTTTATTTTCACTATGCGATATTTGAATATGTATTTGTAGTAAGAACAGTACATTCTGGTCGGTGTCAAAAATTATTTTTCATTCGATAACCAGCCCAAACACAATGCAATTATGATTTATTACTAGACAGCGTTGTTTCCACTCGCCATACACTTCATCATTAGACACACCTGAGTGAGTGAGGAAGATAACTAGATCCATCTATGGGATAGAAATAGAACTGGATGCTCAAACGGGGCTCCCCAAAGCGGTCAGTTGCAAAATTAATCTACATCGACTAACGATGAGATTCGTCCTCTATCTGTCACTGCAGCTTCCACATTTTTTAAGGACAAATCACAAGCACTACAGGAAAATCCTTGAGGCGCTCTAAAAGCGGTGCCTGTGCAAAGGTAGTGATTCACATTGGATTTCAATCGCTGGAGATCAAATCCATTTAGAAAAATTTTCTCAGGAAGTTTATTCCGCATAAACAAAATTCCAAAAATGGAAGAGTTCTTAAACAGCGGAAGTTCGAGTTGAAGCTCAAAACGATGAGCAGCCACAGTCCGTCGCGTTTTTATGATATGGACCGCTCTTGGTAGAATCGAATGTGCTAAATCACTTGAACATAAAAGTATCTATGGAAAAGAGAAGAATATCCAATTTTCCTTCGAGGTTGCAAGTGATGTTCGCGTCTTCAATCAGGCGGATGGCTCTTTTATGGATGAAATCAAGCAGCTTCAGGGCATGCTTAGGTGCGGAGCTACAAACATGAAAACAATAGTCCGAAGAAAGTCTGAGTTGCTGAGGTGTGCACAGTTTTCTGGTTTGGAACAGTGTTTCAAGCTTTTGAGAAGCAGCCTTCGAAATTTTAGAGATATGACATATTGGTGTCCATTTCAACCCCCAACAAACTTATCGAAGCAGAAAGCGGAATTGTCTGACTTGACATTATTATATCCGGTTAGGAGACATTTATGTTCTTGAATTGAACCTAGTTACTCTCACCCCAATTCGAAATCACTTCTAGATCCTCATTAAGATATGCAACCTCTTGGTGTCGGTGAAGATGTGCCTCCGTAGCCAATGTCCTGGAATCCAAAGGGAATGACGAGACAAGTGTGCTGTCGTCAGCAAAGCAATATATTGGATTCTTGGATTTCTCCAATAAATCGTTGATATGCAATAAAAAGAGGGTTGGAGACAATACGGATCCCTGGGGAACACCAGCGTTGATGGTGAAAGTATTCCAGAGATATCCATCGATGGCCACTTGCAGGGAACGTTCTTCCAGGAAGCTGAAGAGCCATACAAAGAAATGCTCCAACAAGCCATAGCATCGAAGGTTAGCCAGCAAACCCTTATGCCACACACACTAACCACTGACCACCACACAGTAACCTTGGTATTTTTTGGTGGGTTTTCGCCTTTGGGAAGTGAATGGGTGGCTCATCGGCTTCAAACGACTGTCTTGAACATCTTCTGTTGTAGTAGAGGTTCCACTTTTTATCACACGTGAAGATCCGATCCAAAAAAAAGATCGTTTTGGTTGCGCAAAAGCGTAGAACATCAAAACGTGAAAATTTCTGTTGATTGTTCAAATCGTTCACTTTTTGACCTTTCCAACATGTTTTAAACAATTAAAAACCGCGCTATAAGAAAGTAATTACATGGGCTACTAAAAACCATCTACCACTCAACATCAACGAAACAGTGTTAATGAAATATTCGCTAGGTAATATGAATGACCCTCTTAGTATATTCAAATACAATGATCTGGAGGTTACATCTTGCTCACCAGCAAAAATGCTTGGTCTCATTGTAGATCACAGACTCACGTGGAAACCACATATTGACCTACTCTGCGATAAATTACAAGAATATTTTTTGAGGATACGACTTTCTCCATGATTTTTTATATCACTGATGGCAAAGCGTTCTGTCTATAGTTATTTGGAAGAAAACCAGAGGCCAAACACATTGCGTATTTATTAATTTGGTTGAAGTAAACAACGGATATTCACTGTTGGCTTCCTATACTCAGAAAAATGTCTATATTGAACTCAGTAACAAACTCCGCCTGCCGACGGGACACAAAGTCTTCAAAATGTTTTTTTATTTTGCTTGCTGTTTTGTTGTAATTTTGTCCGTTTGGTGGAAATCCGCCATTGATCATTAATCCAATCAAGTTTTTGTTTCAATCGCTACATTTGATTCAGTTTTTTATATTAATTTATCTATTCATTATTTTAGTAACAGGAGTAAACGTCCATCTCATCACTCCGATTGTTTGTATTTTCTGCATATTCTACACTTCAATGGTATGTTTTAAAATAACGCACGAAAAAGCACGTTCTAGTTTCTTTCATCGCATGAATGGCATGTGTCTTTGTGGCTTAGATGGTTTCAGTATAGAGGAAGCTAAAATTGTATCTCTAAAAATGACCCCTGACATATTCACTGATTTTTTATTATATTGCCGAATAAATTTCCCATGTCGAAAATTCTCATCTAAAAAAGTTGAAAATCACACAAAGAAATTTATTAGCAGGTTGTTTTGAAGTTTCAATCCGTCTACTTTAAACTGTAATATCAGCATAAAAATTGTGTGTTTGATGAAGTCGACGAAAGCTGTTTTTGCCCAAGGAAGTTATTGAAGTGCTTGAAAAGATAATATTCGCTTAGGGAGAGGTCTGTGGAGTATGGTGGATGAGACAGAACTTCGACAGTCAATTCGTTTAATTTTCGAAGGGCGATTTGTGGAACGCGCGGACGGGTGTTGTCGTGGAGCAGAAAAATCTTCTGTTGACCAGTGTCGGCTGCTGATGACAATTTTGGGGGATATGGGAATATGGAACACTTTCAAGGATTTCTTATTATGGCCAACAGGTAGCATCACTAACCAGAACCATTAAAACTGAAAAAAAAACAACTCGTGTGGCCTAGTCGCTTCTCTTACTCAAGAATTCAATTATTTCGATTCACTAATTTTCAACAAAAATCTGAAAGATTGAATAAAAAATGGCAAGTCTTCAAGAAAACGGATCATCCACGGATATTTTTTGAAGAGCTTTTTGAAACTTTCTTCATGAATCTAACTCGTATGGCTGGCATTTAGGTAAGCTGGTTCAGATATGAAGTCGTGTGGATTATTGATATCGTTCCAATCGTTGAAAGGTGAAAATGATGCTGAATAAAATCAAATTGAAATAATAGACAGTTATCTAAGCGATAATATTATAATAATATCAGTGATAACGAATATAATGATGATGGCAAAAACGATGATACCACAAAAATATAGCCAATGAAGAACTGAAAATTCGTGAATATTTTCCAACCAATAATAATTCACCATAGAAAAACTGTGAGTAGGCAGAATCAACAATAGTTCTGTTGATTAATAGCTGGAAGATCAAAGCTCGAATTCAATATATTGAAAAAATGGTGTTTGCCATATATTAGACAGTGATCTCATTTTCGTGTTTCGAGAAAATCTCCAAATCCCATTCCTTGATGTTTTAGTCATCAGGGAAAGTGATCAACTAGGACATAAGGTGTAGGTACACCTACATAATTGATCCAACCATCGTATTCTAAAAAAACTTTATTGTGTAATTTTCACTACACAGTTTTACAAAAACGCAACACGTGTTTTTAGAATACATTAGTTAGGTATGGATTTTAATCAAGTATCGGCCGATTCCATCATACATGGATCCAACCATGATCCAAAACAAAAAAGGACCGTCATCAACACCCTAGTGAAAAGAGTTTCGAGAATATGGAAAGAAAGGTACGTAGACGACAAAATGAAACTCCTAACAAGTGTGTTACAAGCGATAGTCTACGACAACTAAAACATAATTTGCGCTACGCGTTCGAAGGAAATGAAGGGAAACACCAGTGAAGATCAACCCCAAAGCAGTGTCTATCTGCCATACATAGAAGATGTTCCCAATGGAATCGGGAAAATTCTAAAGAAGGAGAAAATGAACATCGTCTTCAAACCAACGGAAAAAATATCGACAGCAGCGACAGGGTTTCATGTAACTGTGGTAAAGTATATATCGGTCAGGCCAAAAGAAGCACTGGTACCCTCTTGGTCGAGTACAAGCAGAGTTGCTGACTGGGACAGGCCGAGAAGTCTGCAGTCACTGAATATGCACTGTGCGACGGAAACACAAGATCATGTTCGAAAATACCAAGAGACTAGCAACGTCAAATCATTATTCAACAAGAATGTATTTAGAAGCCATAGAAATACACAAACACCAAGAGAACTTCAACAGAAAAGAAGAGAGAGAACATATCTACCAAAGATCTGGCATACAGCATTGAAAAGCACCAAAATGGTGCCAAGTCATTCCCCGCAATCGCGCGGGAAATATGCGTTAACCCGCCATTAGTGAAAGTGCGCGAAAAATCAGCACTATAAATGAAACGGCAGAAATGAGAGCTTCAGTTTATTCAGCTGACACGTCAAGAAGAGTATTTCGCCACGCCACTGAAGATGACTGCCGCAGTTGCAGTCGAAACGTTTGGAGATTATAACCATAGAAAACCACGGCAAAACCCGGAAACTAATCAAAATAAATGAACTAAGGTTTGAAATAGTGGCTTGCATTGGAAACGAATTTGAAATTAAACACAACATTGTATATCTGAAAAACAAGTAATGTTTTGATTCATGATTCCATGGCAGTTTTTTAGGCATGGCTTTGGCTTTCTTTCAATAATAAAAAGTTAACATTTTTTCTCCAGTGAAGGTTAGATAAGAAATTATTCATAGAAGAAGGTGAGTAGTTGATCATATTTATTTCCTCACGAATTTTGCGCGAAGAGAAACTCTTTTCAGGGTTTGTTGGCCATGATCTGTAGGTTTTATACCTAACGTTTTGCCTACAACAGCGGTAGATATTATCAAAGGTAACGAACGAGGTGTTTTATTCTTCATCAAATCACACACTAAGTTGTTCAGTGTTCGGATTTCCGGTTTTATTAGCAGTTGTAGACGAAACGCTAAGCATGGAAACCTACAAATCAGAAAATTATTTTCGACATAGTTGTGACAGTTAATTTTTTCTGATCGGAATCATAGTTGTGTATTTTCTCCAATAATATTTGCAGGGAGGTTTGAAAGGAGTTGTGTGGACCGATGTTATTCAGCTTGTTGTTATGTTTGCAGCTCTTCTGTTAGTGATCATTAAAGGCACGATCAATGTTGGCGGTATATGGAATGTCATTGAACGTAATTGGGAAAGTGGAAGAATTGAAGGCCCAAAGTAAGTACATACAATTTATGAAATGAAAGCTGAAAGAACTGAGTGTGTCATCATCATGTATTACAACTCAAGTGAAAGACAACTCTACATTTTCGTAGCACCAAAGTACTTGACTTGTCTTTGGCTTCTTTCCCTGTTGAGTTATTTCCATATTTTGGTGAATTTTTGTTATACTGACTTCAGGGTGCGTATCACTACGTCACATTCTCACTACGTCGAAATCTCAATACGTTGACAACCATCCCTTCTATTCATATTACCAAAATACGAAAGTAGTCGAAACTTAAATCAATTTTACATTGCGGGAATTTGACACGATGATAATTTGACGTAGAGATAATTCGACGTAGTGGAACTTGCTCCTAGTCAAATTATTCTTCCTACGTCGAATTGCTACTACGTCGAAATCTCACTACGTCGAATGGACTGACCTGTTACTTGATGGAAAATTATAATGAAATGTGTTTCGCTACCACCGTAGCTTCATCGGTAGTGATATCTAGTACACACCGGACTAGAATTCTTATATGTAACGGTACCCCCCCCATGCCCCCTCCCGGGTTGAGTGCCCTGAAGTAGAAGCTTCCCCCCCAGATATTTAGCGAGGAGAACCTACTACCCCACTCCATCCACCACCGCTCTCCGAGCGGTCCTCAACTTGCTGATGAGCACTTCAGCAAGATTGACGTCTGACCTCTTTTGGTCGAAAGTCAGCCTTTAGGTGATTTTACTTTCTTATCTAATCGTTGTTTTATCTGACTATTCCTAACTGAATTTAACCATGGGGGCCCCCAAAAACTAACCGGCGGCTTTGTGTTATGCATCGAGCTTTTCTCAGTGCATCCAAAAAAATTTTTAGAGTCGCGATCGCGGTCGAACGTGCTTTCTGCTTTCTGTTCTCTCATATGCAAGTCCACATATTGCCTGTCCAGGTCTGAGTCTCTGTAAATGAATCTGTTGGGTATACAGGGTGTCCATGGACTTCCTCTTTTCCTCTCGGGAATGGATAGATGGGGTCAAAATATCACCAGTACTTCATATAACTTTTTTTCCTAAAATCCTTCGTTACCAANTTGGACTTTTTCGCTTCAAAATGAGATAGTTCTAATTTCTTTCAACACAAGTCAAAAGAATGGAATGTTTTCATTTTTTGAGATTGTGGAAGATTGTAAACCCAAAAAACAGTATAAAATATTGAGTCCTCCACAAAAAAATCGTTTAAATGATAACTGGGTGTTTGCAGTATTATATTGTATTTGGTAACAGTCACCTCACGATGAAACATTCACAGCTAATATTGGCCCACGATAATCATAATGAACTGGGAATTTTTAAGTAATGAATTCGGCCACTTACGAGGAAAATTTGGAACTATTTTGATTGGCAAGCAATTCAATTTTCTGCCTCTGTCTCTGATTCTTTTTTTTACTTCACTTATGTATCAAACCAGACAAAGATTCAGCTTTAAATTACCGCTGCCTTTTTCGACCCTAGTTAAAGATTCCATTATTTACAACGGTCTCAAAATGTTCAATCACCTTCCTCAAGCTATAAGAACCATAAATGACCTTAGAGCTCTTAAGAAAGAGTTGAAAGACTTGCTTTCTGTGAGACTTTATTATAGCTTAGCAGAATTCTACGATGATGATTTTAATTGAGAAGACTAACTGTAATATCTACGGTATTTTATTGATTTGATTTTATTCAATTTAGTTCAAAATTATTTAGTCAATTTTATTGACCATGTTCTTATATTCTGAACGTTTGTTATTATTTACATGTCTCTTTTCAGTTCATGTTATCACTTAGTTTTAGTGATTTTACTTTTGTGATATTTTTGTGATTTCGTGTATATGTTATTTATATTTCGCACAAGGCTTTCTTCAGACAATAAAGTATATTTGAATTCAATTTAATTGAATTGAATCAATACTGACTCAGGTAGTTTGGTGTGCTACTACCTGTACCTGGATTAGGTAAATTGTCAATAACACTCGTCGACATTTATAATGGCTTTCATATTCGGTTGATATTCATAGCTTTTCCTTTCCTGTTGAAATTTTCCGTATGTTTGTGGATCTCTATAACCTGGCGGCTATGGTATCTCTGGTTGAGGACAATGAGTTCCGTATTTTCGAATAGAATCCTGTAATTTCCATCACCGGGTGCGTGCTTCGCCACAGCCGACTTGTCCTTTTGCCCAGTCTGTCGTTTCTTTCATGCTCCTTGCCTTGTTCCCATAGATCTTTTGGTAGTTCCAATGTGTACCTTGCAACAAGTGCACGGTATGCGATATAGCCCTGCTGCTGAAAGTGGGTCATTCTTGTCTTTAGCTGACCTGAGACTTTGTTGCATCTTTTTGGTAGGTTTGAAAATCGTTTTAATGTTGTGTTCTCCCAAGTTTTCTAGTTCAGTCTGTGACCCTAATGTTATGATAGGTTATGAGGTTGACACGCACGTGCAACCATCTGAGCCTTTTCCCAATATTGAACCGTGGAACTTTTTAGTTTCATGTCCTTGTTAATCTTTGGTACACTGTATCCATTCGATATCAAGGTCATTTGAAGACGTTCCAGATTTTTCTGCAGATGCTCTGGTTCACCCATTTTTCGAGTTCGTTCAGTTAGAGTAGAAATGACTTCTTTCTTTTGACTATTATGGTGGTTTGATAATGTGTGCAGGTACCTATTCGTGTGCGTAGGTTTTCAGTAAACTTTGTGGGTTAGTCTAGCACATCGTTCGATGAGTACATCTAGAAATGCTATTCGCTGGTCCTGTTCAGTCTCCATGGTGAACTTGATGCCGTTGTGTTGAGTATTCGAGTGGTTTAGTGAGAGGTTCAAAGCGTCCCTTACATGTTTCCAGATGACAAAGGTGTCATCCACGTAACGTAGTCACAAGGTCGGTATCAATTCATAGGCCATATGACATTGATTCGTATTTAGACAACTTTCGTATTTTGATGACGTCAGGCGAAAAGATTGCTTTCGACGTATATGAGAATTCGACGTAGTGAGATTTCGAGGTAGTGAGAATTCAACGTAGTGATACCCCTTACTTCTTGGTGACACCATCAAAATGAAATCCGTCCACAGACTGTAAGATAAAAACAACCAGGTATTCCCAACGGTTGATTACTTCGATAGATAGCCATCTCCATCACTTTGGAGGTGATGAAAAGTAACTGTATCCTGGGTGTTTTCTAGGAGGCAGGAAATAAACCAAATATGTGAAGGATAGAAGCACCGTCGCATTCTCCTTTTTTCTTTGGTTTCGAATAATGAATTCAGTTAACAGTTGTCTCTGTTAACCTGAACAAATACTGTCTGTGATACATGAATGAGTGACATTGTAATTCTGAAGTATATGAAGTTCTGCCTGGAATAAAATATTTTAAGTTTCGATTTAGATCCGTTGTCGAGACACACCATATGGGCCTTGATTATTGGAGGAACAGCATACACAGTGCAGACTACTGGAGTTAACCAAAACATGATACAAAGATACTTGTCACTCCCATCGATGAAAGAAGGTAGGAGGTGAGTGAATACAGTATAAATTCGAAGTAGGTAAAGACACCAAATACATTTTAATCGTCGTCAGAGATATATATATACTTTCAATTATTGAGTATGTTTATTTCTATAAGTTTTTGAAGTAGGTGTGAAAAATCCAATGAACTTTTTAGACAAAAATTGAAACTTGTATTATCAGTTTTATATGAAACTGGTTCACGAGTATAACCCATTTTTGAGTAGAAAACCGATAACCTGTTGCACTAGAGTTTTCTGCGGTTTTTGTTCACTTAACCTAATAATAATGATCTCAATCCCAAGAATCAAGAATTTTAAAAAAGAAATGAATTTAAAATAGTGAATAAATGAATTATTTGAGTAATATTTTATCAATTGAGTTGTTTCGAGGTGGCTATTTCTTCCAGTTTGTGTCTGAAAGTTACTTCTTTGCGTGATCTACACATCTTTGTGAATAGTTTATTCTCAAATTAATGGATTTCTTTCTTTCTTCAATAGATTCTATTGAAAATAGTATAATGGTTTTTTCTGTAAATAATCCCCAGTGATGATCCCTGAATTGCAATATCCGTCTTTTTCATTTCAGGGCACTATGGGCGTTTTTCTTTGGAATCGTGATTTTGATGTCATGCTGTTGCTATTGTGGGATGCTCATTTATGCAACATTTCATAAATGTGATCCTCTCACAACCATGGTAAGTGGAGCAATTTATTCCATTATCATACAGTTGGTTATAATAACATATTGGAGTGACAATATAGTTTATTCAATATTCACCCAACTACAGAAGGCAATCAAAAAATTATTACACAAAAGTATTCAGTCCATTCAGATTGTTTCAAAAGTTTTTTCCGTTCCAATATCATGTGTTTTTGTAGCTCCATAGAGAATTTTGTATTCTATGTATCCAGGATGAGGATTCGAGGACTTGAAGACTGCCCCATCACAAACGGTGCGTGGGATGGAGGTAGAACTGGTCGTCAGATCTCATGCAGCTTTTGATGGTACTAAACGTATCTGTATCTGTAGAGTAGGGAGGGGAAAGATCGAAGACGTATGGTGGTTAGCGGCTGGTGTGATCCACTAGAACTTTCTGAAACCGGACCAAACTATCACTGCAGAGTCCTATTGTAAGAAAATCGAAGAAATGTACCAATAATTGCGTCAGAACTAGTCAACAGAAGATGTTCGATCCTGCTCCACAACAATGCCCATCTGCACGTTTCACAAAACACCCTCCGAAAATCAAACGAATTGAACGTCGAAGTTTTACCTCTTCCACCATACTCTCCAGACCTATCGCTAACCGACTACCATCTTCTCAAGCACTTCGATAACTTTACCACCGGCAGAACTTTCGGTAATCTGGATCAGGTAAAAACGGCCTTCGTCGATTTCATCGGATACCGAGCATGCAATTTTTATGTTGACGGAATCAATTGACTCGTGTTACGTTGATAACAATCGAATGAGTATTCACTGTAACAGTTTGAAGTGAACTCATAAAAACGGACAAAACTTTCGAAACAATCAATATTATCCCTTCAACTCGAATGAACTTCTTTGCATGATCTACACATCTTTGTGAAGGTTTCATTTTGAAAATAATTGTTTTTTTCGTTTCTTTGGAAGATTTGCACATTTTTATGAAAAGCTAGAGAAGTAGAGATCCAATACCTTTATTTTTTTCAAATTGAGAATTTGTTTACAATATTCTGTTGAAAACTTCACTTCAGTTTTGCTTCTTACATCAGATAAGTTTATTCAATTGATAATACGTTCAACTTTGATCAATAAGGAATATTTTTCAGTTAGCGAGAGAAAAGGACCAACTACTTCCCCTTTTGGTAATGGAAATTCTCGGGGATATACCAGGACTGCCCGGGATATTCGTAGCAGGAATATTTAGTGCAGCTTTGAGGTAAGTCAGACTCATTTTACAAATGAAAATGATTGTAGAACAACATGGAATAGAGGATCAATGCTAAAACCTATCGAAAATATCTATACTCTTTGGGAAAAACGCTTATTGCCGTCTTTATCTTCATGTCCATAAAAAAAATGTGGAGAACTTCAGAAGTTAACAGAAAACATTCAGATTCAAAATAAACTCTTTACACATATTATGTGTGGAACATGCATAGAACCTAATTTCAGATGAAAACTGAAAGAAAATTTCCATTACGTCACACGTGTTTCTCTCCCACTCACTTAAGTCTCTCTTTGAAACACCAACGAAGCATGACTTTGAAATGAGCTCGAACCGGCATTGTTTCCCTACTGATTTGAATTTCCCGCTGTACGCGCGGTAGCTTCTGATTGGTCGACTGGATGACGGCAAAAGTGGAGTAGGAGTGGTCTGAAGTGGCGCTACTCCTACTCATATTGAATAATAAAATCAAATTTTATCAATTTTTTTTCCATGTTAGCCTACAAACGTTTCAGTCTAAAAGTTATGATACCTATTATAGTGAAGTTTAGTAAATAGTAATGTTTAAATTACAGTTCCCTCTCTACTGGCCTGAACGCAATGGCAGCGATCGTATTGGAAGATTTCTACAAACCTTTCATCAATAAACAAATAACGGAGAAGCAAGCATTCTTTTTGATGAAATCCACAGTTATTATAACTGGTGCAATATGTATTGGACTTGTCTTCATAGTGGAGAAGTTAGGCGCGGTCTTACAGGTAATTGACAAGATTTCCCTACAAATATTCTTTACGTTGTACTTCACAAATTATTGAAACAACGTGGTTTGATACTGAATTTGCAAAATAATTATCTTTGAAGTATCTTTGAATAAAATATCATCCTCTGTATTTGATAAACAGTAATCACACATGTCTTATAATTAATGCATACATGTCTGTCAAATATAATTCAATGTCCACAGTGATATCAGCGGGGTATGTAGTTGTTTTTCGGCAGGCATTTACTGGAACCTGAAGTTTGGGTACTTTGGAACATGAACTTTTCGAAATATTTATTTTTCTTATGTGTATGTATCTCTCCTCGATACAATCTCCAAACTCATTTTGATTTCTGACATAGAATTGACACATGGGGTGTTTCTTCTCCGCTTGGGGCTGTATTCACGAAATGAGGCTGCGAGACTAGCCTCTGTGAGGAATCTTGCATAAATATCTGGTGGATTTAATTCAATATCTAGCGTGGTATTAGCCTGGGAAGTAGTTGTTTCCGGCAGGTATTTACCAGAATCTTACGTTGTAGGTACTTTGGGGATTTCATTTAGAATTATTTATTTTCTCTCATAACTTATAATAGCTTAGCCAATAAACTAGTCAGTAAAATAATAACTAATTAGGGGTACAATGAAGGAAAATATGAGACAAAATGAACACAGAATCATGAAAAAATGTTATGAGGAGAAATACATAAGCCAGAATATATTCTGTGGTATTTTGAAATGAAAGAATTAAAAGAAATATATATCTCATAGATCAATTATATATCAGATAAAAGCAAAATTAACCATTTACGTAAGTTTTCTCGAAATGAATTATAATTCAAGTGAAAAGCGAATGCAGAAAAAATCGCATGTAGAAGTTGGAATCCTTCATAATAATAATAATAACAATAACAATTTATTTTCCCAAGAACCATACAATGTTCATAGCAGGGAAAAAACAATAATTCAATGAATTAACCGAATCATAACTGAAACTTGAAAAAAAAATATAAATATACATACACAAACACACATATACACATATATACATACATATGCAGTGCATTTCTTCAATGTCCCCCTCTTTTATTTTTTGAACGAGTCAACTCAAAAAATTTAAATTTGGGATAATGGATGTAATGCATGAGTACTTTATTTTGAAGTGAAATTGACAGATCAAACTTTCAAGATGGCGACTGGGCGTCATCTGGGAAAAAAAAATAAATGGAAAGGGGGTTCTTGTGACACTTCTTTTTGAAGCTCCTGCAAAATGCTCCACAACCCTAGAAAATAATGTCAATATCTTCAACTACTACGAAATAGCGGAACTTTCAATAATTGACTGAATACACTGACATTTAACTACATAATATGAGGTAATAAACTTGAGGTTAGTTGAGAAGATGATCGAAATGGTTGCTTTGAACTTCTGGACATATGAACAGCCTATCCAGTATTTCACGCCGAACATTTTCGAACACAGTAACGTCAATATCTCTACAAATATTTATTATTATCTGCCTTATATCCAATATTGAAGCAGTTTCAGTTTCGTAAACCTTTTGCTTCAAATAGCCCCATCAAAAACCCAAAGGTGTTAAATCTGGTGAGCGAGCTGGCCATTCTGTAGGACCTCCACAGCCAATCCAACGATCGGGAAAAGTAGAATCCAAATAGGTTCTTACTTAACTGGAGTAATGTGGTGATGCTCCATCTAGTTGGAATACAATATCCATATCTAATTCATTAGATTTCGCTTCGACGATTTCAATGATGAGAGAGTCAACAGTAGTTTTCAACATATTCAAATACAGTTCCCCTGTTGAATTTTGATCAATAAATAGAGGTCCTACGATATGGTCTACCAATATTTCTGCCCAAACGTTGATTTTTTCTGGATAACAGGTATGTGTTTCCCGGAAAACGTGATGTTCATTGTCGTACTGAAATTTTTTGACGTTTTTATAAACAAAAAATAACTTAACAAACCTTATCGGGTTTTTGGAATTGCCATATGGCAGATAAAAAGAATATTGCTAGAAATATCGATATTAATGTGTTTTTCTTCAGGAAATCATCAAATGTTTCGGCATTTTATAGTAGATGAAGATATTGGCCTTCGTATTATAGGGTTGTGAAGTATTCGTCAGGTGCTTCAAAATGATTTATGATATGATGTGGCGCCCAGTCGCCTACTTTTAAGTTTCATCTGTCAATTCTACTTCAAAATAAATAGGGGGGGGAATGGCGACACCAGTTGCGGTAATGATTCCACAAAAAGTAACGAGGGTCCCTCTTTCTGAAGAATCACATTGGCCGACTTGCTTCATGCCGGTCTTCGTTATGATTTTTGGAGCTTGCATTACTGTTGAGACACCACTCTCATCCGTATTCACATTTCGGTCTGGAGAAAATTCATATTCAACCATAACTTCCCTATAATTTTTGAAAAACATTTCAACATTGGATTTGTTGAAGCCAGATGTACGTGCAATGCTAATGTTTTCTGGTTTTCTATACGACAATTCTGGGTGGCGTTTCATGAAGGACCGCATCCATTCAATTCCAACAATTTGGTTGTCATTCCAAACAAGTGGATATTTTTTGGATAACATTTTGGCAAATTGGGATGCTAAGGATCTCGTATGTAGATATGTTAGTCCAAAGTTCATTGATGATGCCTTAAGTAGATACTCTTTTAACTTTGTTTCTTCTGGGAAGGAGAACACTTGTTGAGATGCATATTTTGAGCTTTAGGACATGTCTACTTCTGAATGTTCATCACTGTCATTTCCTGAGTCTGACTTATTTGCAGACTTCGCTTTTCCAAGAAATAAAAGGGGGGAAATTAAAGAAATGCACTGTATGCTTTAATATGATTATCAACATGAACATAAATGTACTCATTAGGTAATATATCTATACAAACAATGAATATTTTTTCGAATTTATCCGGAATTTTTGTTAATTGAATTTTTTTAAAAGTTTGTTTGAGCCATTCATTTTAATGTTTGTTCAAAAGTTACTACATATAGTGTCCTATCTTATAGCTCACGATAAATATTGGTTCAATTGCAAATGGTCCGGCACTTGGTCTTTCTACTATGGGTATTCTACTTCCATGGGTGAATGCTAAGGTGAGTGTTGCAACTTAATTTTTGATCCAACTTGTGACATCTTCAGTAACAATACTGTAAAATGAAATACTCAGAGTTTGTGATCTTCGAGACTAAGGAGTCTTGAAATTTTTACATCAGTTCTTCTTGGAGCCATCAGATTTCCAGAGAAGTTACAATCTGGATGTTGGTTCCATGACAATGCTAGTGGTGTCACACGTTCCTTCACATAAGGCTATTGCTATTTGGAATTGGACGGTTGATGATTGTGGATATCAGTTCAGTCTAAACTACTTCAGTCTCAGTTCAGCTGTCACAAGTACGCTTCCTATTATTCTATTTTAATTACTGTATTTTTCAGGGTGCTTTGATCGGAAGTGCAACATCGTTAATTGTCATGTGCTGGGTCTGCCTTAGAGCTCAATCTTTGGTTGCATCCGGAGATGTAACTTTCCCAGAAAAGCCGGTATCTACAGAAGATTGTCATTACCATTTTACACCAAAACCTTTCATTTTGAATGACTTGACGCACACTGAGTAAGTACACCAGGTTAGATAGTGAACTGTTTCAAATCAAGAATGTTTACAGTGTCGTTGCTTTTCGGGTTTGAAAGCGTTGGGTTTTTGGAATTCCTTCCTAACGTTTCGCTGGCGCGAGTAGCTAGCTTCTTCAGAGGGTAATCATCATGGCTTGCTGTCCGATGACTACCATTTTAGGCTTCGTAAAGCGTATTCATGCCAGGTTCCAGGTTCAAGTGCAGGTACGAATACAGGTACAAATTCAGGTACAAATACAACTGATTACCTGACAAGGCATAAATACGCTTTACGAAGCCTTAAATGGTAGTCATCGGACAGCAAGCCATGATGGTTAAACCTCTGAAAAATCTAGCCACTTGCGCCAGCGAAACGTCAGGAAGAAATTCCAAAAACCCACGCCTTTCAAACTCGAAAGGCAACGACACTGAAAACGTTAGCCGTGAAAGTCCAAACCATTTTGTCAAGAATGTTTACTTTCATAATCTATACGTCATGATTTAATCTCCACAAACTTTGTGGGGATCGAAGATCAAAGTTTGTGGAGACCCAACCGTAAGGTCTAATACATGGAATCACTAGGGATCTTCATCAAATAACGGCCAAATCAATAAAAAAAAAGTATGTTCAGATTGTCATTTTTGTAATTGGTGATGGTGTTAGACGAAATTTGATGAATGTCTGTGATAACGTATTTGAGTAACTTCATTAAAAGATTTTCTTTTGAGTTAACCAAAGCGCAACACTAAGAGTATATCCAAGCTTTTCTCTAGGTTTCTTGACCGTAGTATGCAGGTTTTCATATCTTACGTTTCATCTACGTCTGCGCTAGACATCATCAGAAGTGATTTGATAACCGACGAAGTACTCTAACTGTCCCCATAGCAGTTTCTACAGTGTTGGATGTAGAAAGCTAGCCTTTATGATTGTTAATTCCCTGTTTTTCCATTCGTTTGGAATTGCTGCTTGGTTCCTGAGTGTCTATACCTTCTCTATATAGTCTTGGGTTCTTGAGTTATGAGTTCTACCCAGGACTATTTAAAATTGATAACATGGGTACTTTTTCTGAGTGCAACAAGTTGAGTTTTCCATGGAAAAATTCTTTCAATGTGCCTCAGAACGAGCTGTTGTGAATCCATATTGTTACCTGTGGTACGTTGAAGGAAAATTAAATGTATTTCTTCTATACCTGAATTTCGTAAACCCAGAATTTCAATTCACAATGGGACGAGAATCCAAAAAACAATCGTCTTCTTAAATATAGTGTATAGGAAATCAACGTAGCCAAACATGTATCTGAATAAAGACCCCAACCACCAGCACACCATTCACGAAAAAAGAAGAGGCTAATCAAAAATTCAGTTGGTAGAGTGTCCCCAAGAAGCTGAATCATTTGAAAAATGCTTTCAAATGGAATGGATTTGGGAGCCAATCGGTTATAGGAGACTTGATTTGTAGCGTCTTGCGACTTCACTCTTACGAACACTCAAAGACATGCCTGTCCTCAAATCACCAAATTTGTCATACACGAATTTGGAAATTGATAACTCTTATATTCAAATCAATGGAAAATATGAAGTACCTAAATAGATTCACCAATATATAAAAGCTGTATAAATAACGAATCGTTGGGTTGGGTCAGATTGAAGATGTTGACTTGAGCTGTTAATCAATTATTACACAGACTTAGTCGCAAACGGTAACTGCTTCTGTCTTTAAAGGATATGTTTGACAGCCATCTGCAGAGATCTGATGCCCTAAGTATTTCGTGTCTTATCATATTTCTTGTTGCATGAAGTGACATTCAGTCGGTTTTTTTTTGGATTAGCAGCCCTTACGTGTTCTAATCGAGTAAAGTGTTTGTCTAGGTGTACTAGATGTTTTGTGCCTGTCAATTTGAATAACTCCCATGAACGAAGCGCATCCAGCTGGCTGGGACATTCCGTAGGACGAAGGGCAGTCTGAGGAACTCGAAATGATCTTCCTGAGTTGAAAAGGCACTGTTCTCAATATCTCGTAGATCTACTATGCTTTTTTGGCTAGTTAAGCCCAAAACGCTGGGAATACTATTTTCTGTGAGTTGATCTGAATTGTCCTGCGGATGAAGAATATGAAAGAATACATTTTTGTCATAGCATTTGAATAATATAGCATAATCGAGTCTAAGGTCAGTTGAGGTCTCCAGAGGGCCTTTAACAATAATGTGGGTTTACCGAACTACGAAGAGAATTGCAAGCACCTGACTCTCGATAAAACTCAAGAGTTATTATCCAAGACTATCTGCGATCAAATTTAGAATCACAAAAATAATTTTGAATGGAAGGAAAAGGAAGTTAACATTGATAATGTCTGGCTACCTGCACTTGATTGCACACGTTCCACAACATTTGGGAACAATGGGAACGAAGCCACGCTCACCAACTATGAAATGGAACCGAATACTGACTGTACCTGACTGTAGTATCCACCAGTACTGTACAATCTACTCTGAGGACTTCGATAATTTCTAGCGCACTTGTGGACGAAACGTCAGGCATGAAAGTACGCCAAAAAATCGGGAGAATAGTTTTGACACAGATTTATCTCAGCGTAAACGTATATTTAGTTTGTATAGAAAATGCTGAAAAAACTATTTTTAGTGGAATACTGTTTAAAATTCATTTTGAATCATTGAATAACCGGAATATATGGAAATATTACTTCAGTTGTGTCTTTTCTTTCTATTTTCAAGATTGAGTTGACATGGAGTTGAGGGTTTTCCATGTTTGACTTCGGTTGCTTCAAGTTATACATTTTTCACTCAGGATCAGTCTTTTCGATTCATTTTCCATGACTCTCCGTCATTATTTTTGAATAAAATACTGAAAAGCACCAAACACCAAAAAGTTTGGAGTGAAAACCGAATAGAAACATATGTTTCTGTATAATTCAATGTTCCTATGGAAATAGTTGTTTCGAAGGTCTTTTTCTCCGTGGAATTCAATGTTTATATTAAGGTGGTTGTTTCGAGAGGCTTTTTATTTATTTGAGAAATAACTAACTCAATGTTACTTTTGTTACAGTGAACAATTCATGATATACAGACTGTCTTACATGTGGTATTGCTTACTGGGAATGTTCATTGCGATGTTTATTGGATTAGTTGTTAGTTTCCTCACTAAACCTTTGGATCCCAGAGACGTTGATCCAAAACTATTGGCACCGTTCATAAGAAGATGGATCAAGCCTCGAAAATATCCCAATCAACCAGATGACGGTATCATTTACGCTTATGGACCCACATTGAAAGATAAAGTAATTCTTATTCATTTCAATCAGTTAGACTAAATTTATGAAGGAAATATATTAGGACTTCTCATATATCGCTCTCTGTCTTCAATTTTGAATAAAACAAAGTGCGTCTGAGATATCATCAAATTTTTTTATTCGTTTGGAAGACTTATTGATGCTATTTTGTGTTGAATATAACTTCGTTCTTCCGCTATGGCTACTGTGGGTGGAGCACATTCGAAACGTCTGGCGCATGGATGAGGCTGAGTTTGACCAACGGTATGGGTTATTTCACCTTTAAGGACCGCTGTGGTTTGTGGCTTATTTGAATATGTCTGTGACCACAAGAAAAAATCTAACGTGATCAAATCGTACGATATCAGTGGCCAGTTCACATCACCTCCACGTGAGATGACCAAGCCCCCAAATCGGTTGTGCAGAATATCCAATGTAGCATGAGCTGTGTGGCACGTACCACCGTACAATTGAAACCACATGTCGTTGGTGTTCAGATCATCCAATTTAGACCAGAAGAAGTTGATAATAATCAACCTATAGTGTCCGCCGTTGACAGTGATTGCCTGGCCAACGTCGCTCTCAAAGAAATATGGACTAATGGAGCCGCCAGTCCAAAATCCACACCTAACAGTGACTTTTCTAGAATGCATTGAACGCTTTTGGATCTCGTGTGAATTGGTATCGTCCCAAATTTGACAATTTTTTTTGTTCACGTACCTATTTTTTCAAAAATGGACCCAATCGATGAAAATTAGGATCAGTCGCTAACTGCTCCACGGCCCATTCAGCGAAGCGACCCAGGAACCTTCAGTTCCTGGGTCAGTTGAATCTTGTATGGGTGCAAGCCTAAGTAACGACGCAAAATTCGCCAAGTTCTGGTCTGCGAAAGACCAAGTTCCTGTGAGCGACTGCCTCGGATTCTTATGCACACTCTCATAGACAGTGGCGATGTTTTCGGCGTTTCGTCGACGTACGGGTGTTAGTCGATCGTTTTTTGAGCCAGTAGACTCAAATTTATCCACCATATTGCAAATAAGCCTCTTGGCAGGACGATTTTGGCGACGGTCAAATGGGCGAAGCGCCCGGTTTGTTGCCCGAACAGAACACCTGTTTTGATAAAACAATTTCATTTTTTGCAAGTGTTGTTGAATGATATATTCACGCATGGGGATTTGGCAAAGCAGACTGAATAAATGACAACTGATTTGACAGATGTAGCTTCAACAAAATGGTCTCGCTGCTTCTAGAGTGGCGGGGAATCATCGTACATTCGCGCTCTCTCCACTACGTCACCATTGGTTTATGGCTACCAGTGGCGGCAGGCGTTATTTTCTTTCGGGCATGATTTACAACCATACATAGGATTGTCAGAGGAATAATCAATAGGTATTAGGGGATGATCCCCAATATATTTTATCTTCATTACTGATTTGGAAACAATTCTAAATTAACTGAAGAAATAACAATAAGAATCAGAGAAAATTCCGCATAGCTGATTGATTTCTCAATGATTAGGGGTTGAAAAATATAAAACTAGTTACCGGGAAATTGGTCATATTTGGAAAAATCTTTAAAATAAGACAATATTTTTTGTTAATTTATTGTTGTCTAAAAAGTTGTCACGGCATAGAAATCATTTGTTATGAGTGATTTATTACTGCATATCATTTTGAAAATAGATTATTGGAAAATGTGGAAGACTTGAGAAATCGAATAATCAGTGGATATTAATCAATACGAAACGACCCTGATATTTTTGAAAATTTTATGGAATCTTGCATCAAAGCATTGAGTAGTTATAAAACATTTTTGAACATTTCCAGAGAATATAACCATTTCAAATGTCCCGCTTCGTTATTCGAACACCTTGTGTACTGTTATTTATCGAGTATTTTCTTTTTTAGGATACGGTGGATGAAAAAGAAGGTGTTCAACTGAAAACCTTCAATGGGCCGACTTGATGTATGAAATACAAAATAAAGTATTGAAGTGTCACTTTATGTTTTTTATGTCTATTACCTGAATAAATGAGTCCTATTTTCGAACCTCAGAATAAAAAAATTCAACCGATCCTCTATTGTCCGTTTTCAAATACAATATTTCAATAAAGTATGAGTTTATATAGGGTGATCCAATCAGAAAAACAAATTGAAGAAAATGCTCTCGATTAAACATGCTTTTTTATATTGTGGTAATTGAAAAGTTATTCAGACGGAGACTTAATTCTCATCAAATAAATACGTATCTCGGGGGCGGAGCTCCATAAATGGGAACAATACTTCAAAGAAGGTCTGAGTTTTATAGCATCGAAAGTTGCTGGGATTTATACAGTTTTCTGGTTCGGAACAGTGTTCCAAACTTTTGAGAAGCAGCATTTGCAATTCCAGCGACATGATTGTGCCAAAACATAATGATGTCTATTTAAACTCCCAACAAACTTATCGAAGCAGAAAGCGGAATTGTCTGATCTAACATTATTATATCCGGTTCCGAAACATTTATCTTTTAGGTGAAAACCGATGCCTGGGTTTTCGTGGCATTGAATCGAACCTGGTTACTTTTACCCCAATTGGAAGTTACCTCTAGATCCTCATTGAAATATGCAACCTCCTGTTGCCGGTGAAGATGTGCATCCGCAGCCGATGTGTCGACGATGCTGTCGTCCCGTGAGTTGGGCTACCTATCGGGCGCGTCCCCAGGGGGTGGATAGGGGAACAGAAATGTCCACCCCAATCTACCGCTTGGAATGAGGCTGACATAACAGATCACCTCCAACAGCAAGGGCGCTTCCTGCGGCGGGCGCCAAGAGCTCCGCCTTGAATAAAGGCAAGGAACCGGCTGCCCCTGCAGGAAAGCTCCCTCACTTATGCACCTTCATGTAGGGAACCCCGAGAAGGTTGAAGAAGCCGCGTAATGACAGTAATATCGCTGCACCTTCCAAAACCTTCGCGGAGGCCACCGTGAGACACCTCAAGGTTGCCAAAGATAGTGTGTGTTCGGCGAGTCTTGGCCTACACCTGCCAATATAAAGGAGATGTCTCCTAGTGACCTGTCCACTTTCCTGGAAAGGATAGGATGGACGATGAGAAGGACAACTCCTCGGGAGGATGTACTATGGGTCACATGTGGCCTAAGTGCTATGAGCCTACACTCATCCTCCCTACTCTACAGATACAAAAGGGTGCTGTCGTTAGCAAAGCAATGTATTGGATTCTTGGTGTTTTTCAATAAGTTGACATACAATAACAAGAGGGTTGGAGACAATATGGATCCCTGGAGAATACCAGCGTTGATGGTAAAAGCATTAGAGATATATCCGTTGACGGACCACTTGCAGGAAACCTCTTTTTCAGGAAGCTGGAGAGCCATCATACACAAAAATGATTCGACAAGCCATATCACAGAAGTTTGACCAGCAAACCATCATCCACACACGGTCAAAGGCCTTAGAAATATCAAGTGCAACAGCTCTTGACTCTCCATATTTCTCGACATATATTATGTTGTCAATAATATACACAAAATATTGATTCGACATGTGAATGTTACTTCATCACAATGAATTATTTCTGTTTCCTAAATGGAAAGTGAAGCTTCTATTTCTCTGAATCTTTGCGGAATCTGTTTCAGTTTTTTCTATTTTTTGTTCATTGTTTTANTTGCCATTGTCGCTAAATTTAGATGACTCACGGTAGATGTAACTCGATTCGGTAGTTACATATTATTAGAACATGAAGAAGGTTCATATTGGAAGAAGTTTGCGAAGATTTCTCAGGAACTTTTCTGTCGATCGCTTCTCCAAATATATATTCCGTATTACGTTTACCAATATGTGAACAAAGGTAAGACATTTTGTTTATCATTTTTTATAGCAACTTAGTGTAAGAGTTTAAAAGACAATATATGTACCCTGTCTGTTCAGAAAATAAGGTTGTTGTACATTTTTCTCAAGTAATATTCATTTATTCGGTCGGTCGGTCGGTAGCCAGGCGGTTCGACGTGGGTGCCTTGTTCACTCTCTCGAATTGACTGCCGTGTTGGTCGGTGGTTCAAGTCCCAGTCTGAACGATCGATTTTCAGTTGCTATCGTCCAACCTGTGTTAGGAATCACACGTTAAAAGGTAAGACCTCGTTAATCCCCAGAAGTTTCGACTTCTGAGGGTTGTCGTTCGTAGGGGTGCGACAGCTGGTTAACGGAAAAACAGACAGACAGACACACAGATAGATTTCTATTTTGTCGCCCCCCTCTGAAATAGTAAATACACTTTACCAGCGTTTTTTTTTCAATGCTCTAAGCAGTTCTGATATGCACTTTTTGATATTTCCATGAGCTCCCACCGCGATTCAGTTTTTATCTTCTCAATCGTCGCAAAAGACAAAAGACCACTCTTTCATGGGTTTCTCCAATCTTGAGAACAGAAAAAGTCACAGGGGGCTGAATCTGGTGAATAGGGTGGCTGTAGCGTGATAGATAGATATATAGACGCATTAAAAAAATCCAGATAGTTTTTTGCACAATTGATTAATATGACAGGTCGAAGTGAGAGTACTATCGATAACTAATCCAAATAATTTAACGCTATTTGCACTTGATGCAGAGCTTGCTGAGAAGTGTAACTGTTGCGTTTCATCTGTATTCGGTTTGAGTCGATTTGTCACGAACCAACTTCCTGCTTTCTCATCGACTTCATTCGATATTCTAGATATTTCAATCGCATTCTTGTCAGAATAAATAAATGTAGTGTCAGCGGCAAACAAAAAACATTTATATGGATGCCTGAAGTTACTGATGTCATTCACGTAAATTATGAACAGAAGTGGTCCCAGTACTGATCCTTGGAGATCATCAAGTTCAAAATTC